CAGATAACTGCAGCTGAAATCACTCAATATCTTACTACATCTGTTTCTATATAAAGAGACACTACAAGAAATGAGTTGTAGAAATATTAGAAGAAAGTTAAATATATACTAGATATTAAATCAGTGATCACATTTAATGACTCTAATTATAAAGTCTAGCATATTAATATATTAACTGATATGAAAGTTATTGATGAAACTGATATTCTATTAAGAACTCAATGAGAATCTTCTTTTATATATTATATTAACTCTGAGAAGTAAAGAATTCATTTCAAGTCTCTATATAGATATATGCTATTGAGTCTTGTTAAAAACATTTGAATTACTATTAAAATCTTGAAAGCTGACAATACTGCAGCTCTGTGAGATAAGATTAATATTGAATATATAATATCACTGATAGAAGAACAAGTTAATATCTTCAAGAAATTAATAAAATTACAAGTTAAGAAGAATAATTATCTTACTTTTCAGAGACATTTCTGCTATTTTATTATCTGTTATAAGAAGCTCTGTCAGAGTACTGAGAATATATATTATAATCTTTTTCTCAACAATCTACAAGATTATCAAAGATCATTTATCAAGATATATTTGAATGAGTTTTTCTTCACTAATCAGAAACTCATTGTCAACATTAATATTAATAATTTGATAAAGTAACTGATTAATCATACATTCAAGAAGATCATCACTGAGTGAAAAAAGTAGCCTCAGATTAATTCTGTAACTGTGAAAAAGAACAAAGATAAGAATAAAGATGAGAATAAAAGCACATCTGTATGAAAGTGCATTCACTGTAGAAGATATAAATATACTATTATTAGATGTTTCATCTTACACTCTGATAAAAAGAAAAAGAAGGATGATAAGAAGAATAACAAGAAGAAAGAGAAGAAGAATAACTTGATAAGTTCTTAATCAGCAGCAAATGCAGTAATTACAAAGATTGAGTTCTATTTCTCTTTCACAGTCACTGAAAAATCATTCTCTAGATCTTGATATTTGAATACATATACAAGTCTGAATATAACAGATGAGCTTTATTCTTTTTCAAATATCAAATCTTTTAATGATAATATCTCTGTTAATTCTGTGACTGAGAGAACTGAGTTTATCAAGAAGATCAGAACTGTTATCTTGAAGATTGAGAGTGATAATATTAACTTACAGAATGTTTACTATATCTCTAATATTACAGTTAACCTGCTCTCATTTACAAAGCTTGAAGATCAGAGATTTCAATTTACATTATCTTTCACTATTCTCTCATTTTTCATTTGCAGAGCTCTGAACAGTGTTATTTTTCATACAGTTCAGACTGCTCAGAATAATATATATAAGATTAATAAATAGAAGTTCAATGAGAATCTCAATCATTCAAATAAGACAGTCAAGTATATTGTAATGCTACATAAGTATAATTTTAACTGAAAAGTTAATCTTTCTGTGACTACTGCTACTACTGTTAATAATATCAATTCTACAGATATAAGAACACAGATATTAAAGATATCAAAGACTCTTTTAAATTGATATTATAATCTCAGTCATATTCACACTGATACTATAATTACTATGATCAAGAATTCTCATACTGAAGTCATAATTAAAGATTCTAAGACTAAGTTCTTTTATAAGAAATATATCAAGACAGATATAATATGAGATTATTTAAAAACATCAATACCTAGATTTATTCAACTTATTGAGAAGATTCATATTAATCTTGTAGATGATAGATATATATTGAAAGATCTCTCTGATTATCTCTTAAAGTTCTGTCAGAAAATCAGATACTGAATACTTATCATCTGTGATACAACTCACTATCATTGAGTATATTTTTTAAAGTTCAAGAATGAGACTGTTCAATACTTTGAGTTATAACTCAGATTCATGAATAATCTCAGATATACAGTCTCTGCTTTTCTATAAACTGATATTGATAATGTTTTTCAATTCATATATATACACACAGTTATGAATTCATATGATATCAAATGAGAATTAACAGCATTATATTTATCATATTAGAATAATATTTTCAAACATGAGATCTGCACTATTATGAAACAGATTAGAGCTGCTCTTTTAAAAGATAATCTCTCTAAGAATTTCTGAGCAGATGTTCTAGAGACAGTGATTGTAATAATTAATAATACTCTCACATCTACAGTTCTTTACAACTCAAAATTTTGATTCTCTACTACAGAGACTTCTGTGATTTCAAGTTTATATAAGATTTCTTAATATGCACTTATGAATACTCTGCTGAATGTGAGGCATTTTCACTGATTAAGTACAGAGATTTTTATTCACTTATATGAATCTCAGCAGCCTGTGAATAAGCTTTCTTCATATGCTGATTTCTATTATATTATTAAATTCAGTGATATCTTGATATATTATCTATAATATTCTGAATCTGATAAGATTATTATCAGTAGTGATGTGAGATTCTCAATCACTGAAAAATCAGTTATTACATCTGTGAAACTCATTAATTATATTATTGAACTGATTATCAAATCTGTGATACTCATTAATAATGTCAGTAAACTGAAACCTGATATTTATCTGATTAATAATGAAGATGCTTCTGATATTAATGATCTGAATTTCACATAATTGTGATCTGTGAAATTACTAACTACTTATACTTTAAGTCTTATTACAGATAATCTTTTAAAGTTCTATAAGAACATTATATCACAGTCAGAGAGAGTAGAAGATTATTAAAAGAAGTTCATATAACATGAGATTACTGATTTAAAGAGATATAATATATGAAGTTTAATCTCTAGATCTGATATTCTGAGAGATGAACTGATTGCTTCAGACTATTAAGTGTTTCTTGAGAAAGATAGATCTGTGAATCTGAATACTGATTCTGATAGTATTTTTAGAAAATCATATTAAGTGATTTATAATAACTAACTTAAGAAGAATTCTAGAGAAGAGATCTATACTTCTATCATCACTGATACTGTTAATTGTATTCTTTTTATAATAATAGTACTACACAGTTGAATACTCTGTTAAGTAAATATAGTGATAATATATCTTTATAAACATCTTACTAAGAAAATCTATATAAGATAACTTATTAGATTTAAGACAGATTCACTGAAAATACTTATCTGTATAGTTAAGAGTAGTCTATACAGTCTGAACTCTGCAGTAAAGATCTGATATAATTACTTAATAGCTCTATTAAGTGATCTTGAATTTATAGTCAGTGCTTATAATTCAGTACTCTGATATTATATATTCAGATATTATCTCTATATAATAATCTATATTGATAATCTCAACATCATATCTGAAGCTTCTGAGAATATTAATTGACTAGTGAGTATACTTAGTGAGAAATTGAAAGTCAAGAATCTATATCAGTTAATCAAGTATTTAAGTATAAAGATCAATTATTTAAATAAGAGAATTAATTTAATATATTATTAATATATTAAATATCTTGTTAAAGATTTCTATCTTGATAATACAGCTGTTATTAGAATATTAATAAAGAATGAATTCTGTATTAATAATTTCTCTATATCTGAGAAAGAGACTGATTTTATAATTCAGTAATATTAATATGATATAAGTTACTTATAATATCTTACAGTTAAAACACATTCTGATATCACTCACACTATCTTACTACTCACTCAACAGAATATTAATTTAATATTTCAATATTGAAAGACTCTATTACATATTATACATTATTTAAAAGAGATTATAAATCTGAGTATTTTCTATGAATACAGTCTGTATAAGAGATTTATTTCTACTAATCTTTCTATTCTTATCAATCTTTTCATTATCTCTGATTTCTCTGATGATTTCTATCTACTCTTCAGCTACTCAGATTTTAATTGAGTCAGTCTTATAAATAATGATAGAAAATTAATATTTAACTATATTTTTAAGCTTACAGATAATCTGATTTCATGATATTCAGTGAAGTAATCTTATATATCTCTAAGTTTTAATGAGACTGAATATATGACTCTTAGTAAGACAGTCTGTGAGATAACATAGATTCAGAATCTTATAATTAAGCTTAACTTTATTACTATATCTTTAATACAGATTCTCACTAATAATAAGAATATTATAAATCTTATAAAGATAACAGTTATTACAGTCTGAAGTAAGCACATTGACATATGTTTTCATTTTTCATATTAACAGTTAAATCAGAGAGTTATTAATTTAAAATATATTCTCATTACTTAGATAATAATAAATGAACTCACTAAATCTCTAGATACTGTGATATTTATATAATTCATGATTTTGCTAGATCTTACAGATGTAAAAGTTAAGAATATTTAATTTTACATTTGTATTTGATTTTGACAGACTATCTTGATGATTTGAGTGTTTTTATATGTGATTCTTGTTATCTCAAGAGAGGGTGTTGACTCTTACAGCTGTTGCGGTTAGCAATCCCACTAGATCACATGACCCACCACTATATTATGTTCTTGTAGATAGATCTATCAATACAACCTTCAACTATCCTACACATATACTGTAGGCTACTGGGGCAAAAGAGCTCAATCACCACCAGCGCCTGCTGGTAGAAGGGCCGACCAACCGCGGGACCTTCAACACCCCCCCTCGGACCAGCTACCACAGAGTACAGTACTTCCCCTCAGTGGCCTCCCCACAATGGCTCCTTTTTTAATAATGGACTGGACCACTCAGTCCTAGGGCTCAATGGGACTTCTAGGGCACACTCCTGGGATGTCTCTTGGCACTGTTAAAATGTCCAGGGTATTTGTTAGGAATTTTTAAGTCCATTCTGGGATCAAACCCATGCATGTTGATCACAGCGGGGCTCACGCTTAACGGTCTCATAACCTGTAGGCTACTGGGGCAAAAGAGCTCAATCACCACCAGCGCCTGCTGGTAGAAGGGCCGACCAACCGCGGGACCCCCAACATATACACCCGATTGATTACGTTAGAGAACACGCCCTGGGTGACTAATCTCCATTCCCGAAATTATGTGACCAACCTTGTACTTTTCAATCAGACTCAAGCAAGCGCTATCTTCTAGGAACGACAACATTTTGAATATCCCTTCCTGGCCGGGGTATATAGTCATTATGATGACGACCCAACCGACTTGTCGCAGGAAGGGAAAATTTCGCCAGCCAAGGCGAGTGCAGGTCCATGACGAAGAAGGCTGGACACACATCACGACCACAAACCGAACGGCATCTAACAAGCTTTGCGTTCTATCTCCAATCAAAGACCTATTGGTCCCAGCCGAGTCCCCTGATGGATTGACTTTCCAGAAACTAAAGAAACAGTTTGAGTGGCACAAAAGATGCTGGGAGGAGTCGCAGAGCTGGCAGGCTTTGAAGGCGGCCTTGGACAACGAACTTTTGACGGGCCCTGCTAGCAAAGTGGACAATTGCGTCTGCGTTGGTTTGGGGAGCCCCAGTGGATTCCTAAGAGGCGGGTGGGTTGACCGCAGGGCTGTGTCTCTCTACCAGTTGGCCGCATTGGTGACGATGCTAGAATATTTTGGTGCGTTTCTGAACGGGGTGTATCAGCATTACCCAGGGTCCGATCCGGGAGTGGTTTGACCTCAAGTTTGGCCCTGAATTTGTGACTTTTTCGGGAAGAGCTGAGAGCTAACACGAAGCGATATTTGGCTACCCATAGCTCGCAAGGATACTCCGTCCATCTCCATCAAAGACTGCTCTGCCCAGGATCCCGTTTTCAACGCACTGGACAAACAGCTTCTCGAATATGCGGGCATTCGCGTCGTCCAGCACCCCGCAGCTTTTACCCTGATAAATGAGCGCACATTCCTATATGCCCCTGGTGCGGAGAGAGTACATATTCTGGATATGCTGTCGTCAAACCCTGCCCTCTTTTTTGGTGGCACCCTAGACGATGAAAACCTAGTTCGACTGTACGGAAATATATACTTTTTTTGATTACTGCTATTTCAACGTTGCGACAAAACTGACATGAAGCTGGATTTAGGCCCGATGATAATGAACAAGTCCTATTGCGATTCCTTAAGACGAGACGATCAATGCTACTTCCACCATTTGACCCAAATATACATTCATTTTGGAAATCAAGCTTATTTTGGAGACCCGAAGAGAGCTGATTGCATATCAAATTACATAATTTCTATACCATCACAAGAGCAAAACCCAATGGTTCACTGATAATGCAATTGGAAAATGGGAGTTTCCGCAAACGTGTAGTCACGTTTGGCTGAGTTTTTATCAAATATACGGATTAATGTATGCAGGACATCAATTCGTATCAGAACATTGTCGGACAAGGAAGACGCCCGAACTGGAGGAGGCAAAAAAATGGTTCCAAGCGCCCTTAGTTAATGTCCTTGCTCCATACCAGCGTCCCAAAGAAGTCCGCAACTTCTAGTAGAGCAACCTGCGAATCGCTATTAGCATAGGAATCGAAAGAGAGAGCACTGCAGCAGTCCGAAATAGTAGCAGGCGGTAGGCGAAGAACATGACTTACCTTGGCGATTTCATTACCCGAATATTCGCCAAGAGGACGACCCCCAACTCCATCCTGGGCGACGACGATATCATAAGCAAGCTCAGCAGCTCTTCTGGCTGTGGTAGATACGCAGACATGTGCCTGAGAGTCATTGGGTGACTGCAATTAGCGTCCAATCGGCAAAAATTGATGTTTGCCGCCTGGGACGGCCTCCGAAAGCAGGGAAAACCAAAAAGAAAATCAGTCCACTCACCATGTACCCCACCAATACAATCTTTCTCGCACCGAGGCTTTGCAAGTATTCGTGAAGATCCGTCTCCGCAAATGCGCTGGGGAACTTTTTGGTGATAACCTATTCATGGGACATGGAGGTGTCAGCGCTACCTCGCAGACACTGCCTCTGATATCCAACGAATCCTCTTCTCCGCTTCAAAAGCTGTTAAATGAAGACGGATTTCCAACCTTCTCACCCTCCAAGGGCTTTAACTCCTCAAACTCATCCGCCAATGTGGTGCCAGTGGTGAATACAGGCGCATCAGCGGCGGTTTGATGGACGATATGAACAAGGTTCTGCTTGCCCGTGGCTTTGGCGGTGGCACGGTATTTTTCAAGGAGAGATTTGATAATAACGCGGCTTTTGTCGACATTGTCGACTTTCAGAAGCCCGCATGCGTATCTAAATTTTGTTGTGAGAGGGGAGAGCGACGTCAGATATGGATATGGTTCCCAAAATAGACATATATTTATTCTCTTGTATTTCTTCCTTGTTTTGAGAATGATGGAACGAAAGAATGAATGAATAGAAAGGGTTTTCATACTCGTTTTGCGCGTCAATGATGATCAGAACACTGTCCGTGGTCGTCGCAGTCAAGGGCTTCATGCCCGCCATATCTCTGAATAAGGCCATGTTGCTTCCGTAGGTTAGTGGACGTTTTCTCTTCCAAAGCTTTAGAAAACGAGATATCGTCAATGTCAAGGCTTTCCGTTTATATGATGTTTAAAAAGAAAAGATGCAGTCTAGAGCTCCTGACTCCTCTTAAATACCTCTTATTAAGTTCCACGCCGTGATGTGAGAGAGAGTAGCTCTTACTCATGAAGTGGGGTGTTAAACTAGTTATTACAATTGCTTATAAATATTTTTTTTTCTCTTTGAATATTGTACTCCGTAATGATTTATTAATGTTGGCCGTTACGGCCGTTGCGGCTAGCGATCTCCCTAGATCACGTGACCCACCCCTATATTAAGCTCTTTGTACTCCGTAATAAGATCAATCAAATTGATAATAGAATCATCAAATATTCTGATTCTGATCTCAGACAGTCACACAGACAGTCTAAATACACTCTTTTTAAAAAATAAGAAGTGACTGAAATAAGAAGACAAAACTGTTTCATAACACTGTGAATGAGAGAGATACAGAACACAAGAAAAACCACATCAGACTCAGAGAGAGCAAACTCTTCTTTATTTAAATTCTGAGACATTCAAACCAACTCAACCGCTTTCAATGTATATGAGTATGTCAAGCATCGCAACTCATCCATCCCAAGTTTGCGAGTATAATCACAAAACATGAGCATGAAAAAGTTTAAAATAGAGATGGAGAAACGAATACAACTTGATTTTCAAACGAGACACCCAGGGGTTTAGGTGGTTAGATACACATGAGGGGTGGGAGAGAGCAAAAACATGCACCGAGGCATCATCCAACAAAAGCAGACAAAAGGGGAATAACAAAGAGATCATCCATCATCCATCCATTCCATCCATTAATATAGCCAAAAAAGATCGCCCTTAACTTCATGACTGATTTTTCATCATTTCTTCAGGTCACAGACGGGAAAACGTCGGAAATTGCGTCCAAATGTACTGTGGCTCATAGGGAAACCACAAAAGAAAAGAAAAAAACATGAAATCTAACCTGGTTGCTATGTTAGAAGAAACTATGAACAATTGAGATAGGCAACTAACGTGAAGAACATGATATAATTACTAACCCATTTGTTAATCTACAGACGGGAACCGTGGATAACCTTGTAGTCGACAACCAACTCGCGACCACCGTCGTTGATGACGAGAGCACGAATGCTGCCGCGGCCATCGCTGAAGGCATCGCTGATGCGGTTGAAGAGGTTACCTTGGTCAACAACGGGGAGCCCCTGCTTGACGTCACCGGTCTCAGTCATTGCGACGATGCGGCCATCCTCACGGATATCCAGGATGCGGTAGGTCTTGTAAACGGGACCGAGCATGCTCTGGACAACGACGGAGGAAGTGGGGTGCGAGATGAAGCTAGACTCCTCATGAAGCTGGCGGGTGAATAGGTCAACACCGAGGTAGCGGTGCTGGCCGGTCTGGGGAGAAACGGAGACGCGGATGACCTGGCATGGGCGACCCTGGAGAATCAACAGATCACCAACGCGGATGAAGTGGCATGGGATGGTGATTGTCTCGGGCGGGTGTCCGCCACGGGGTTGCACGACTCTGACAGACTCGCGGACGCCATCACGGACACGGGTGGGGCCGCGCTCGTCGCTCATGACGACCTCATCCTTCCTGTCATGGTGGTGACCGCCGTGGAGGATACGGTCGGCCGCCCGTTCAACGCCACGGCGGAAAGAGTGGTAGTTGCCGTCGTCGTCGTAGTAACCCATTTTGCGGGGCGATTCTTCGATGACTGTGCGTCGGTCTACGTTGACGTCTCTGTAAATTCGTTCGCTGCTTTTGGAAGCGTAGTTGACTTCACTAATGTGGCTGGGGGCTCCGCTGGTATCGATCTGCTCGAACTGGCGGTTGTTGAAAGACGGGTCGACCTCACGAACTACGGTAGGGCGTGGTGCGTATTCGACTTGGTAATTGGGATCGGTGCGTTGACGATACTCACGTTCAGTGATATCGAGCTGTGTTTCCCAAGCTTTTCGGTCTTGGTTACCGTAGTAGCTGATTACAATTGGTCAGTAAGATTGCGTCATGTGTTTACTACTGCCATTGGAGATATTACTACTTGCCGTTCTCTTGAGAGTTCTACTTCGGGATAGCGGGTTCTTGGGTATTCCTCGTGGTAACGTCGATCAGAGTGGATATGGATATCGACGTCTTGATGAGTGCGAGGTGGGAGTTGGCCTTCGTATCCAGTATCTTCCCGTTCGACGCGCGAAGCACCAGTTAAATTGACCTCTCCTTCTACTCTTGTGTGAGTAGTCTCAGAGACAGCGTCACTCCGGTACGACGACGGGAAGACACTGAAGGGGATGGGGACACGGGCGTCAAAGTCCAGATTTACTGTCCTAAGGTATCCTTTCTCGAATGCCTTTCGAAGTGTTTAAGAACAATTCGAAAGACGAGTCAAGAAAAGACAGCTGGTTGGGGTAAGAAGTAGATGAAAGGGAGAAAGAAAAAGAGAACTGGGTAGTTCTTCTGATCAGATTATGTATTCGGAGGAGGGATGGAGAGGGAAAATTGAATTGATGAGCTCGGTTGTCTAAAGATGAGGAAGAAGAGGAAGAAGAGGAAGAAGAGGAAGAAGAAGAAGAGGAAGAAGAAGAAGAGGAGAGGAGAAAGCTGGGGGGGGGGGGAGGAGTGAAGTTATCTGTTGTCCAGCATGAGGCTGGTTGCTGTGCAGCTCATTGGCCTTGTCGCTGTTGCCGATGTCTGTCGATTTGCTTGTTTTTGTTGTTGTTCTGGTGTTTGTTTACATTTGGCCGAATGTGGTTAGGTCGGCTATCAATCACCCCGGCTAGCGTTGATTTTTGCCGGGATCCATCGTACCCAACTCCCAAGACTTGTTTTCTTTGCACATGATTGTCGCTTGGCGTGGGTACCTAGGTTATTATTCTGTATTTCACCGCCTCGGCCTCGTCCAATGCCTTGTCAATTCCCCCAGCAAATATCCACAATGGCATTGCATTGTCTTTGGGACCCTCAAGCCCTTCAGAGTGCATCGTAGGTTCGTTAATGGATGGCTTTTCAGTCTCAATCGCCACAGTCTGGAATGCGTGTCTTGGTTTTTTTCTCCTCCAATCGATTCAGCTATTGCTCTCATGCCGCATATTTGCCCCTTGCCCAACCTCCAGAGTTTTCCCAGCCATCGTGTACCATCTCTATTGGGCTGCTCGTTTGTTAGACCCCGCCCAAAAGTGTTGCTGACAAAAGAAAAAGGCAGTCAGTGGCAGGCTCACTGGCTGGCTGAACTTTAAGACGGTGTGATACGGACCATAATCACATCAGAGTCACTTCTGATCTCGTTATTGTGCTTCAAGCTCCTTCTGCCCTGCACACTCTTTCCTCCTCAAGACTTCAACATCAAACTCCGCAACAACCTCCACAGGCTCCATAAAAATCTCCAGGCGCGCTCCCGGACTTTAACCTCGGATCATAGTCCTAGCCACCCGGCAACAGTCACCTGCGAGCTGAAGGCTGAACATGAGTATGGGATTCCCCACTCAGTTGCTCTGTCAACAGCCCGAACTTCTCTGGTCAAACTCCAGTTTCCAGGCTTTCTGGGCCTGACAGGAAAAAGCAAAAGTCGTGGAGCGAGGCGAGTTCCAGCTTCCCAAGGGACCAGGCTCCCAGCCCAGCTTGCCGGACCCACTGCGGTCCCAAAATCCGTCATGCCTTCGGCGGGGTTTGCTGCATTTGCTTTCCAGACCCTGACGCTGGTTTAATCATTCTTTCGTTTTGAAGAGCTTTGTGGTGATGGCTTCGTTTGAATCGAAGAACGCGACATCGAATCTTTCAGATAAACCGTACTCCGTATATTAACTCGATTCACGGAGATAATATGGAGAAAGCAGATCAATTTATTAAAGATGGTCTCCCAAAAACTGGAGAATGACAAAAAATAGTCTGGGGTCAAGCTCATTAATTATATATATATATATATTTAAATATCACCACCAAAAATTTAAGCCAAAAGCTGTAGTCGCCAACCGAATATTAATAATAAGCACTCCTCAAGAGTGGACGAACTGAATGTCAACGGGGTAACAAGGTGTATGGTTTGGCTGTAAACATGGGAATGAAGAACAAGAAGATGAGGAAGTCGAAACGTCCACGAAGCAAAAGAAAAAGCTATCTATGGGGAAATAAAATTGTATCCTTGACATTTAAAAAAATACTGGCGAATAAATTTTTGGTTGAAGTGCTTTCAACATGTAAAAGATTTCCACATGATATCGTGCTTCCAGGATAACGAAAAGAACGCGCACAAGGGCTTTTTTTCCAGTGGTCATTAAAATAAAATCCAAAAGAAAAAAAAAAAGAAAGAAAAAAGAAAAAAAAGAAAAAAGAAAAAAAAAGGCGGGGGGATATGGGGAGAAGCTGGCTAAATATTGTTGCGCACATGGTATATGAAGATAGAGGTATCGGTTTTGTAAAGGCAACAAAAAGTGGTATCAGGGCTGGTTATAAAACCGAAACATTGAAGGACACGGAGGAAAGGAGATAAACCTGAGTGGATAAAAAAAATAGAGATAAAAGAAGGTCCGCGAGAGATGTTCACGATGAAAAGATTTTTCTAAAAAAAAAAAAAAAGATAGGAGTAATTATATATTGTAGAGAAATAAAGTGAAAGATGCAAGCGGTTATTAAGTGAGCAGCAGAATATATAAATCGTGGGTCGTAAACATTGCAACATGGCTCGATCATGGCCGGTGGTTTAGAACGGACAGGTACAGGAAGCAAGAAGCTCACTCTCTGGAGCTTATTCGGAACGCCTTTTTAAGGAGCGAGAATTTCTTCCTCTTCTTCTTCTCGTCCGGTCTAGCACCGGCATCTGACTTCGCGGAAACGGACGAGTCTTCGCCAAATGTACTGCTGACCCTGCGTCGATTCTGCAATCGGGGACGGAAACGAGATGTCCAGCTGGATGACGATTCTGGCGCTGGGAGAGTTGGACCTGGAATCGACGCGCGGAAGAAAGTGTTGTCATTGTTTGGCGAAATGTCGTTAGCTGTCCCTGGTCGTACTAGATCTGGTTCACCTTTCTCAGAAATAGGTGAAACGGGAGCAGATATGTTAACGGGGGCGTTCATGTAGGAGCCTAAAGGCCATGAACCTGACCCCATGAGGCCGGAAACTTTCTCCACATCATCTTGAGTGGGAGGAATAGGGTCATCTGCTCCAACGTTGGATGAAAGTAGTTTGTTGTTACCGTTCCTTGATGACCTTGAGCTCTTATTTCGCAGGAGCTCGAAGCGGGGACGTTCAAGCGGGCTGTCGCGCCTCGCGGCACTATCCAGCTCGGATTTTCGGATTTTAGCCTCGCCATTCCCTCTGTACCTTGAGCGACCTAGCCTGTTAAAAATACTCCCCTGCCGCTTTGGAAGTTGGGGAAGAAACGCTCCAGGTGCATTGGGAATCACACTCGTTGGCTCGTTAGTGGCATCGGTAGCTATGACGCCATCTGTGATGGTGTCAGGGACAGGGGCCGGTCTAGCTTGGCCGTTGCTTGGGAATATCGAGCGGCGGCAAGGCTCGGCGCGTCTTAACAGCACTTTTTTGGTCACTTCCTCGTCAGAGCTATCTTCGAGATCTGTCGAATCGCCATCAACACCATCCTTGCGCTTGGGGATACCCCGGACAGGACTGAAATACGTGGGAACTAGCTCATCCTCACTCGAATCTTCATAACGGCTACGGAATGGACGAGCAAACCCCACCACATTATTGTTAGCGTGGCTAAGTGGGTACCTGGATTTCACCCCTATATGCGTATGCGGACTCAGCCCAGCTTGGACCCTTTTCAGCTTCAACGACTTTCCAAAGCTGCTAAATGACGAGGATTTGGCGTGCAGTCGATCCCCCGGTCCGCGTAGCGTGGTCCGAACAGGTAAGTTGTGATCTGAAGAAAACGGCCTCCGCTGGGGGGTGGGTGGGGTTGAACGGCCAGCGATGCCAATAGAATAGCCACCAGAGGAATATGGCCGAGTATCAGAGGGACCTCTCAGCGTGCGCTTCAAAGTATAATGTGTAGTACTCCGCGGTGAACGTCTGGTTCGCTTGAAGCTGCTTGAAGAATCACTATCATATACGGCAGATTGACTTCGGTCTTTCAAAACGAATCCGAAATCCGAGCCAGCCACACCTGGAGGAGGATGGCCATTTTCAATGGGCCGGTTTGTGGAAGACGGGTCATTTCTGTTCTGTGAAGTGTATTCCTTATCGTAGGAGGGAGTTGTATCATTTGGGGTCCGCTTAGAGGGTTTTGACCTTGGTCCCTTTTGCTGGGCAACATTCCGGAAACTCGTCGTTGACTGATCGGTTGGTTTCCCGTTGGACTCAACTTTGTCAGAGCTCGCTGGTTTAGCACTGGTTGGTACGACCCTTGCACCGTCTAACGTCGCAGAGACCCCGCCATGTAAGTCGGACTTCGGGTGCAGTTGCTGGTTTTTATGATGCAGCAAGTCTCGACCATCCTCTGAATCTTCTTTCTTGCCGCTGGGTACTGGCGAAGGCAAAGCTTCTTCCTCGACAGCGGGCAAAGGAGCGTTTGTATAAACACGCCCTAGTGGAGAAGAAGAATTTCGGGGATCATTACGTTGCGATGAAATGTCAGATGACCGCTTCTTATCTGCTTTGGATCGAGTAGGGCTATCTGGGGGCGGAGTGTGGGTATAGCTAGAAACGTGAGAGACGGGGCTATCAACTATTGCATTTATGGAACCAAAACCATCGCCCTCAAGATCTGTCAAATTTTCGGCAGCGTCACTGTAAATACTTTCACTTGAATCAGATTCATCATCATCGGTGGATGGAACTGAATGAATCTGGGAGCGAGGTAAGGACTCTGGGGTAACGGGTCTTGGTTGACGAGCATAATCTATGCTCAGCTGGGGCTTTTCGTGATCTGAAAAAGGCATTGGAGATGGAAACCCTCCTGGAATCCTGGTCCATTCGCCGCTAGTCTTCTCATCCGTAAGAGCAGGGGTAGCGGGATGAATTGAGATGCCAGGTACACTTCCACTCTGCCCCTGCGTGCCAGTAGTTTCATTTCCGGCCTTATGGCTGTTGCTAGAGGCGTTTTGCACCTCCGAAGGAGAGAAGCTAGTAATACTGTCGCCTGAAGGCGCAAAATCCAAAGGGTCCTCCATAAGGTCGCTGGACGAGCTGCTCTCAGAGAGAGAATCGTAGCCAGTCCCTTCGACCGACGTGACTTCTGGGGGTATTGGCTCACCAGGGACAACAGACCTGGAGTGGTCTGGGCGAGTATATTTGTTCTGCTGTAAAATTCCACCGAAAGGATTGCCACCGGTGGACGTCCTCGGTGAAGCAGGTCTGTCATGAACCAACCGCTTATCATGATCTTCGATCAACCCCCTTCGTCCGCGAACACTGCCAAAAGAAGGAAGCGCAGGTCGAGGTTTCAAGACTTCGTTAAACACATCCTCACCATTCCCATTACTTGTATTAAATCGGTGACTATTCCTTGAAATGCTTGAATACTTTGATCCTGGGCCCCATGAAGAGCTTGAGGAAACGGGTGATCCCGACCGTTGAGAAGTTAAATGGGCGCCAGCAGTCCCTACCACCTCAGGTTCATCCTCGAAGCTGACCTTAGGAGCGCGTTTTTTACTCCCGATCCTTCGCCCATCATCCGATTCAGCTGATGTGCCATCAGATGATTCGCTATGCACTTGGAGTGATTTAGACCAGTTGCTCGAAGTGCGATCGCGCGGGCTAGATTGAGGAGTCGGGTGTTTCAGTGCTGACTTTGCAGGAGACATCGACCGTGGAGGTGGATCATGAAGTCTTTCGCCGGTAGTGGAAACAATAAGGTGACTGGAGAAGCGTGTAGTGCGTGTCGGGCTAAGCGAATGCGGTCTTTCTTTATTTGTATCTGCAATGCTAAAACTGGATGGACCGTGCGCGTGGCCGTGTGATAGAGTTTCTGAAGGAATATGTAAAGTAGGGCCAAGATCTGCAGATGGGGAGGCATCAATCGCAGACTCAGTTGGCAGAGGTACGTTGTCGTTTTCGGCATCTCCTGTAGTACCACCTGGTAGTTGAGATTGGTGTAAATTACCCGATTCAGTATACTTGTCAGTTTGATATGTCTTTGATTCATGTGCATCTGGCAGATCCGGTGTTTGTTGTTTCACGGCCCTGATTTCTCGATGGTCATAATCTTGAGTAGTGCGTGTTTTCAGTTGGTTTAACTCAGTGGAAGGATAGCGGTCCTGCTCGGCGTTTTCCCCATCTATACACAAGCCTAAATTCGTATTGCGCATATGATGTGATAGCGCGGGATCTTGTACTTCAGGTGAAGTACTTGTCTCGGCGTTAGTAATTGCATGGGTAGACTCAATTTCAGACGGCTGCAAGTCATCATATTTTGTACGAAAAGAACTCAAATCAGGATATGATTGGCTTCCCCTGGCAGTTGCCGTTATCGGAGTTGTTATAATTTTGGGTGACCGGGCAGCAGCAATACAGTTTTGAGAAGGTCCTTCATCTTGGTCTCTTCCATTATCAGAGACTAGTGGCTTTGCGATAAACTTTTTAATCGGCGATTGAGGCGGGGAATTCGGACGAGCGTGAGTGGGGTAGGAAAAGTTGATTGAGCTTCGACTGCCTTGCCTTTCCAGCTCTGGAAGGCTACTCAAAGCTCGGGGGGAGCGAGGGGAACCGGGGCTGCGTGGACCAGGCGATCGACTTGAATCCCCGTAAGGACTAATCGCTCGATAGGAAGGATCATGGCTAACAACTCTTCGATGGGTCATAAAGCCCTGGGGAAGCGGCGGTACAGGGCTAATATCTCTCTCGCTAGAGCCAGTAATTGAACCAGTATGAGCCGGGGGCCGATCTCGAAAACTCCTCGTGCTCATCGAACCAGAGCTACTGCTCCTATAAAGGCGTCCATTCTGAGTAGTGTGTTGTTGAGCCACTTTTCCCTTTGAACTGCTGGTAGACAATTGCCTCTGAAGCATGCGTTTTGTCTGGACGTTCTCGACGGAGGTAGGGGTCGGAGTATGTTTCCGAAGGGCTGCTGCCGCAGCTGCCGTAGATATTGTGGCATTGGCTTGGGAGGCTCTGAAGGCCTGGGCAGCAGCGGTCTGGGCAGACGGTGATGGGTTGGGATTTATGGGCTAAAGGCCATGCGGCACTTGCATCAGTAACTGGGTGACAGGTTTGCATGGAAAAGGGGTGTAGAAAGGGAGGGGTTCCAGAGATTGTGGCCTAATGTAGGACGAGCTCCTAAGCTGCTACTCTATTGAGGAATCCAAGGTAACTCACCGCGTGCGCAGAGGATCTTTTGCGACGGAACATAGCGAACGATTCACTCGCCAGAAAATGATACCACCCATGGGGGAAAGGAAAGCTCGGAACAATGGGGGAATGGATATCGTAATCGGGAGACAAGCAAGCAAATAGACGCTCTAGGAAACTCTTTTGCTGCGTCGACTTGTCAAAGCTTCATTAAGGATTAAAATCTCGTGGTAGTAGAGAAATTAGTTATGATTAGTTCTCAAGGCATCGTCGCGCGCCACGATTCGCCGTCCAACATGAAATAAGTATACTGCGCCGGGCAGCCAAAAAGGAAAAAGATAACGCGATAGATTGGCAGAGGTAATGATCGTGATGATTGTGCGTGTTGGGAGTGGGAGGTGGTGTGAAGAAAGTGAGTTGTCCATGGCAAGCACAGCAAAAAAACAGATGGAGTTTGTCGTTTGCCGTTGGGTCTTCGTCACAATTATTTGGCCGGGGTGGCATGACATCAACGGCCTAGTTAAGTTATTTATTAGGAACAACAACTAACTTAACTAGTCAACTCGCCATTATTATTCTAATTAATTCGCCCCAGCTGTCAGCGGCGATTCTTAGATATCGCATTTCCCTACGATGCCAATTATCTTGCCCTAGGAGCTAGCTAGACGGTGAGTCCTCTGTGGGTTTTCTTTAATAATAATGCTTGCTGGTGGTGCTGTAAGTTACTCCGTATTATTTATTATTGAAATGTAGTTAACCCGCTAAATTTGAAATAGAGGTTGATATCAAGTCACCTGATAACTAAATATCAACCCCAGCTTCATCCAGAATAATAATACTCTTTACTGTCCATGAGGAATAGAGGAGCATGTTGACTATTTGTCTCGCAGGAATCTAATTTTTGTTCCTGAGACAGAACTCCTCAGAAGACCGTTGACAGAACTTGATTATTTTGTCTTTCGTTTTCCAGCTTCCCCAACCGGCCAACGGGTTGTCATATTGAAACGCCCCCAATTCCATTGATCCCCTCCGAAGGAACAGAAAACAGGGTTTGCTGAGGCTGCACTCCCAACCCTGCCACAGGATGCACTGGGCATTTGCACTTTGCCGCACGAGGGGAGCAGGAGGATGTCTGATTTTGCGATCTATTTGAAGAGGATGGAAACATGAGGACAACCCAGGCCCGTGTTTTATATGCGCCCACAACTGTTTATTCATTTCCCTTTGAATTATCCCCCTGGAAGTCTATGTGGAACCTACGCAGAACTTTGGCTTTTGTCCATGGAAATCCCAAAAACTGCTGTGCAGTTGAGATATGTGGTGGTGATGACTTGGAAACCAGAACTTACTGTTGGGGGTCCCGCGGTTGGTCGGCCCTTCTACCAGCAGGCGCTGGTGGTGATTGAGCTCTTTTGCCCCAGTAGCCTACAGGTTATAGCCCGGATAGCTTTTTTTTTTCATTAAACCTTCCGCAATCACTACTTTTTCTCTTATCTGAGGTATAAAACGTCTCGCGAGCTGCATCGCTGAACTGCAGAAGGAACCTGACGAAAAGCAACTGTTTTGAAAGCTTTGATCGCGGGAAAAGATTGATTCAAAGGGGGGGTAAACAAATGCCTCCAAGAATGCGAGCTACTGCAGGATTGTTGGATACACCTGCAAGCAACATGGATATGGATGAAGAATACGGGCAGGATACACCTACTCCCATGCCGAGGGGGGGTGAAATGGGATCTCAAACTGGAGGTCAAATGAATGAAAACGCCATGATTCGAATGATGATGGATTATATGGAGAAACAGGACAAACGAATGGAAATGCTCATACAAAAGCTAGGGAGCAACTCAAGCTCTCTGTCAACTACTCAGGACCCTATTAGTGAGTATCGAAAGGATGCCAAAGCCAAGCTGGAAGGAAAGCATGTAATCATTCTCAACGGATCCGTCAACTACTTGGAATGGAAGAGTTCAATCCTTGCGGATGCTCATCTTATTCAGGCAAAAGATGTTCTTATCAAGGGAGAAACAGTGCCTCCTACCACAGTGCCTCTGGATATTGAGCTTTGGAATCGGAAAAATGAGCTTCTCTATACCCGGATTTTCCAATCTTTGAACGCCACTGTACGCGATTCTCTGGGACCATTGGATGAAGATGCCTATCTTGCTGCCACTATATGGAAGAATCTCGCTCGACGCTATGCTATATCTCGCGCAGAAGAACGCCTTCTAACCACTAAAAAGATGAGAGATTTACGCCTCAAGAACAGCGATTTCCACACCTATCTTGCGAATTTCCGAGACCTTAAGGCAAAGCTGGTATCTCTGGGGGAAAACTGGGCTGAGTGTACCTATCATGATCTATTCATTCTAGGATTGGGGGATTGGCAACAGGAATTCATTAGAATGAAGCTGGATGAATTCTATGCTACTAAACAGGGCCCTATTCAGAATCTGAACCTTGATGATTTGATGGATCAACTGGCCACGCGAGCCACCACCAACATGCCTGCTACTATCACTCGTCCTTCCACTGCGAGCCCTGTCACTGAACGATTTGATGAACGCCAGTGCCACTACTGCGACAATACTGGCCATATCATCAAATACTGCTGGTTTAAGAACCCGAACCTCGCGAATGCTGAATGGAAGGAGCGTAACAAGGAACGTATCGAGGCATTGAAGACAGCAAAGGATAAGAAGAATAAGGATAAAGATGATATTCTCATGAGCCAGCCAGGCCATGGATTCTTTGCAGGAGTTTCCCCGGATGTCTATGAACTTATGAAGGATCAACCAAGTTATTCACAAGATGGATAAGGATATGATGAATATGACAGATGAATAAGATGGATTTGATTTCATGTATCAGACCTAGTCCTAATGAGGAAACTAGGTGCTGCTTTTTGTAATTAATTATTATTGCGGATTTGAATGATTTGAGAAAGATAGATAGGATAGCTGCACGGTAGCTAGTCCGAGGGGGGGTGTTGGGGGTCCCGCGGTTGGTCGGCCCTTCTACCAGCAGGCGCTGGTGGTGATTGAGCTCTTTTGCCCCAGTAGCCTACACTTACGTGGGCTCGTCGGTCGCTTGACGATGGCCCTGGTTAGCTAACTACTTAACTACGCTGTACGCTGTAGTTATCCACTGAACCCGCCTGGGCAGCTTGGAATTTGCCCGGCAAGAACTGGCCCTGGCATTGACCGGGTAGCCGATTCGAGAGTCATAAGGCTGTGTGGGGGTTCGATCCAATTGTCCCGAGGCTTAATCGCCCGTCCGCTTCTGCTCGTCCGACTCTATACAACCAACCACCACTACCACTACTTCTACTCTATAGACAACGTGAGAGTAAAAGGATAATTTTCATGTACTGGCCAGTCCCTTATTCATCTAACATACAACCATAAATTTAGTTTGCTAAATTCAGTTGCGACTGAATCTTAGAGAGCCAGCAATGTCGGCTCCACCGCTCTCTCCGCTTCCCTTCCCGCCAGGGGTTACTTCAAGACAGCTTGACACCAGGCCAATTGGCCTTTCATTCCACATCCTCGAAGCAGGTTATACACCTGACAGAAATCGGCCCTTAATAGTGCTCCTACACGGCTTCCCAGAGATAGCATTTTCATGGCGGAAAGTGATGCCACTGCTCGCCAACGCAGGCTGCTATGTCGTTGCTCCCGATCAACGCGGCTATGGCCGTGCAACCGGCTGGGATAACCGAGATTTTGCAAATGTTGACCTGAACAGTTTTTCAGTAACAAACCTGATCCGCGATGTTATTGTCCTTGTTCACGCCCTGGGGTATCAAAGTGTCAGGTGCTTGGTGGGACATGACTTTGGCGCAGCATCAGCTGCATTCTGCGCTTTGGCTAGGCCTGATATCTTCCAGAGCGTAGTCTTGATGAGCCACCCGTTCAAAAAAGTCCAGAGTCTTCCAAGTTTCCATACTTCTCCGCAGGTCACAGAAGCGCCTAAGGGCGAACAGCCACCCGCTGCCTCAGATATCCATTCGGATCTCGCGTCGCTGAGCCGTAAGCATTACAAATGGTACTACTCAACGCAACCCGCAAGCTCAGAAATGACAAACCCACCCAACGGGCTCCACGAATTCCTCAGGGGATACTTCCACCTTAAAAGCGCTTCATGGTCAAAGAATACCCCCCACCCGCTCACATCTTGGACTGCTTCCGAACTCGCAAAAATGCCAAATTATTACGTTATGCCACTTAATGCTACCATGCCAGAGGCAATAGCAGCAGACATGGCGCAGGAAGATCCATCCGCCCTCCAAGACTCTCAATCCTGGCTGCCAGATAGCGACTTGGCAGTTTATGTATCGGAGCACGGCCGGAACAGTTTCCAGGGCGCACTTAACTGGTACCGAGTGTTCACTAACTCGGATCCGGCGGCGGCCGGCATACGTGATGTTGACCTCTTCGCTGGGAAATGGATGGAATGCCCTATCGCATATATCTCCGGGCGTCAGGACTGGGGAACGTACCAAGTGCCTGGTGCCGTGGAGGCGATGATGACGAAGGACGTTTGCACTGATTTTCGCGGTATGACACTTGTGGATGGTGCGGGGCACTGGATTCCTCTAGAGAAGCCTGAGGAGGTGGTCAGTGGTATTTTGGAGATGATTCGCTCTTTGGAGTAATGGGTTATCATTGCTCTGCCCTAGAGCAGTCTCGAGGGCTATTAAACATATGCTAATGGCGCATGATTATGATGATGCGGGAGACGTCTTGCCTTCGGCTGTGTATATCACATAGTCGTCACAGCTATATCCCTACAACGGGAGCGGAGTGCTTTAGCAAGATGTATCTCCGTTGGAAATGGAGCTTCCTTGTCTGCGATGTAGGTTTCAAATAAAATACAACAAATCTTTCCCATGAATGGTTCCAGTATATCGTATACCAGGGTCTGTTTGACCCAATCGCTGGCCTATAAACTGAACGAGGTGAATCTTAACAAACCTACGCCTATTACTTTCTCCCAGATCAAATATGCTATTTTATATTTATCAGTATCAGTATTCATTATTCAATACTTCCCCTTCATACCATTCCTAAACCACTAACATATAAAGAAAGGAAGAAAATAATAAGGAGAAATGCATGCGAGATCCTCCAAAAACAGACTGTGCAATTTTATTTTGTGAAATATCACCCACCGACCAATCCATCCACTAATCTATCTATATTCCAGGTTCCCTGCCCCTTTCAACATACAAACCAAATCCATGACCATCTACTTCTATGCTAATGTTGACGCCTTCTTTGTATACCAACTTGAGTCGAAATACTGCAAAACCGGTAATGTTTATTTAGGATATCAAGGTGAAAGAAAATCTAGTAGAAGCGGGAAACTAAATGGTAATCATCACAAATGGCGTCGCGTATTTGTAAATTTCTGGGAAGAGGGATACATGCCATATATTTTTATTTTATTTTATTTTATTTTAATAAATTACAGCACGTTGTTGGTTGGGTACGGGGAAATAAATATAGCAGCTCGCTCGAGTGAAAACGTCCCCCAATCACTACAAATTGCGTTCCCCCAAGTGGCAAAACGAAGAAAGAAATTACTCTCAAGGGAGAAGAAGAGGGGGAATATATATATATATATTTATATATATTTATATATATATTTATATAACCTTCGGAAAAATAACCGAGACGAGAAATAGCAACTAAGAGCAAAGGGTTCGGATGACCTTGAGTGTAAGAAAAGAAAATTGGTATACAGCCTCAAATTCACCCTAACCATATGAAGGTAGAATGGATTCGGGGGTCCCAATACAAATAGGGAAGAAAATGATAATATAAAATGTGGCCCCTAGTTCAACCTAACGCCAATTTAAAAAAGCAAAAGAGGAAGAAAAACGCTTTGCGGAGGGAGTATAGAAGGGACAAACGGGAGAACAAAAGAGTCTTGAAACGCAAGAAATGGAAAAAATGCGGCGGATTCCAATTAAATAGAATTGTCAGGGTTTACGTTAGTTTGGTTTTGAAAGTTTTAATTTTTAATTTTCATTCTCTCTCCCCACCCTCTCCCCATTCCTATCCATTTTTTAGGCTTAAAACAGGAGTCCAAAGGAGCCGACCAGCAGCAATGGCACAAGAGCATAGCTCATTAGTGATGATGAGGTGGTGGTAGAGGGAGCCCTACTCTCGATATCCATGGCGAATATGTATCTGGCTGATAAGTGCGTGGAGTTGAAGCAATTATCCTTGGTCACCTCGGGGACGTCTTCGGGTTCTGCCAAGGTGATATCGACGCACTATTCAAGTGTTAGTTAATGAAACGAAGAGGAAGAGGAAATTGGGGGGAGGGGGCAGGGGGCAGGGGGCAGGGGGAGTATAGAGGGTTTATTTCGCAAAATTTGCGGGTAAAGATAGAAAGACAGACAGGAAGGACGGGGCTGGGAGTAGCTTACATTATAAAGCGCAGCGCCGTGTTGAGCAGTTTCGACGATTTGTATCGTTGCATCATCTCCGACTTTTAGGTCTGCATTCCGCGGCAGCGGAACTTGCGGAAGGCAAAAGGTGCCTGGGTATTCCTGGTTCGTAGGCGCGACTAACTGGAACGGGGCGATCATTGGATGACTCATGTTGGGAGGAATGGTCCCATAGCCCATATTTAGGTAGATAAATGCTGTTTTATGGCCAGGAAACCAGCCAGGCTGGAAGGAAACGGCGCCTCCTTTAATTGGCCATTTTGTTCGATTCTGGGAGGTTGGCATTCCACCACCTAAATCAAGTTTAATACCACTCGTTAGCTACGGGGCGGAACCGATAAAACATAAGGCATGCATTTTTTGAGCCAGCGTTGAGCTGAAGGAGAAATGGGGGTTAATACGGACATGGATAAGCCCATTGCATTCCCGCTGGATATAGCAGTTCTGAATCATTCGCCCCCCTTCCGATGCCCAAACCATTTGTCTCCGTGAAATTTCCGGTGGTATGAAGGTTATTTCCTCTCCATCCGGGGTAGACGATAATAGTGTGAGCTGTAACGGACGAGGCGAAGAGGGCGACAAGAAGGATTGCCCACCAAGCCTTTAGCGAAGGATTTTGGCGCATGATGTGTGGATGTATGTGCAGAGAACGGCAGGATGATATGTGAAATATCAAATATGTGTCGCGTTGGCTAAGGGCGAACCCTCGCGACTCGATCTCGAACGGGTTCTGTTTAATCAAAGATGGAGTTCGTAGGCTGATTCCGTTTCACACCCACACACACTACCCGGTCTGTCGATACCGATGTCTGCCTGGATAGTGTGAAGAAACAGGGACAGTCAACCGCAGTGCCAGAGACTTAACGGAGAGCGATGAGGTAGTTAAAAGGGGGTAGCAGCTGAGAGAAGTAGGCATTCGGCCCAAATGTCTTGGTGGGTTGTACAGTCCTTAAGAGGGGAAAAACGAGAGAAGACAGGGTTTTCGGTTCGCAGTGCAGTACACCCTTGGCAGGGCATCTGATGGGCTCGAAAATCACCGTTCGACAACAACAATAAATAATAAATGAACGCAAAGCACAAAGAAGAAAAGAAACAGCAAAAGGGGAGACGGCCCATGGGCCTACAGAAATGGCCCTGTCCAGTCTCTGTCCCTCCTCCATGATATGAACCAATCAAGGTGAAAAATGGGCCCGGAGCCATTGTGCAGCCCGCCCAGAATAGAGCCCAAAGAAGGATGCATGATTGGCAAAAGTGCCAGAATGCAACAATGCAGCTTGTCACTGGGCGGGGAAGGACATGCCCAGATTTTTGCTTGTTGGAGGTGGTGGTCTGCATGAGGTGCAGCAAGCGGCCCTTGAGCCGGCCACTAAAACTTCGCGACGGGGATTGTAGGTGAGGCTAGGTAAGCCCTAGCAGCATATCGTATCACACCGTCAACGAATGGCAAGCAGATCTGGTGCCTTGAAAAAACGTGCACTGCGCTCTGACTGGCCGAGTTTGAATGGCTGAAAGTGAAGAACCAATAGCTGCTACATAGCGATCCCAGCGCGATTGGCGTATTCAATTCGTTCAGAGCTCTGTCCACATAAGCGCCCGCGCGATGAGTGATCTCCCAGGCATGGACAGGCAAAATGCCAGGGAGGAAGAATTCTTTAGCGCCCGTGAGCTTCACCAGACCGAATTTCCGAGGAGGAGGGTTCTGGTCTTAAGTAGATGTTGAGATTCTTGAATATCGCAACTTCCAGAGCCAGACCAGAACTTGGGCGACAGCAAGGGTGGAAACCCAGGGCGTGTACGGAGTACTTTGCAATTGTTAGTTGAGGGCCATTCATGCACGGCGCGAAGGAGTCTTTCTTCATGCCTTTGAACAAAGATTTCACATCAGCAGCCTAGGAGTCAGACGCAGACAGCAGGAGCCGTAAGGGAGGATGAGCGCTCTAAACAATATCATCTTTGAAGAAGCATTAACTTACAGTAGACTTTTGGGGAGAAGATGCTGCGAAAGCCGGGGATGAAAAAAAAAAAAAAGAAAACAAAGAAAACAAAGAAAAAAAGAAAATTAACTGAGAACACAGAACCCCGGACAAACTGATCAAGACTGAAGAAGATCCCTTTGGTGAGGACATTGAAGTTTGTTTATTCAACTACGGAGTAAATAAAAACGATTTACGGCTGCTAAGTTCATGCTTCAGATTGCCTCTACGCAGAATGTCTTCTACCTATAGATCGGGAAAAGCAACTCTCATCAACGGATAAATAGTCGTACCAAGCCAGATGACATACAGATTTTTCCTCGACATGTAAATGAAGTATAATATTTTAACAATCTGTTGCCTTCTGAATCAATGGAAGAGCGAGTTTTCAATTAACCGCCCTAATCAACCTCAATCCTACATCGACAACAGACATTGACTCCGGATATAAAAACGGACCATCGATCTCTCGACTCTTCACTCTGCCCAATTCTCCAATTCGCTACCCACCTGCGCACTACCCCGGATGGATCAAGTCAATGTTTCTGTGGGATTGTTGAAGAATGTTATATGTTATTGATCTGGCTGGCTACAAAAGAATTTTTATAACCATAAATGCAGCATTGCTGGTTCAAAGGAAAAGTCTAAGGGAAACGGGTGGGAATGCCAGTATGAAAAAAAAAAAAAAAAAAAAAAAAAAAAAAAAAAAAAAAGGTCACAAATTTCGTTCCTCCGATAGTGAAAATGACCACATTAATTTTCATATCTTCGCGGTCCTTTCTCGGTAGTTATCATAAATATGTTGATGTGCTTCCTTCACCATTCCCCTGCGATCCTTACGAGCCTAGCCATTTTGCTCAACTCCAAAGGACGCCATCTTTGCATGTCCGATGGAGAGTGGCGGATAGGTCTTAATAGGGTTTCATCAACATTTCTTTGATAACTAACCTCTCCGGAGGAGTGGTGCAAGACTGACATTGATTAAGGCAGAAACGTACGAGAACATATTAAGCCCGAGAGAGTAAGCATTATTATTAGCCTTTGAGAGGGTAACAACAGTAGACGAGGAGACAGAAAAGGACAATATTAATAAAGACTGTCATCTGCTAAAAAGTCAAGATCAGACATTTTCAAATACTTGTCAAAATTGACCTTGATACAATATATCTTTTGAGTAAAGGACATTTGATCGATATAATGATATAATACCAACCAGCGTGTCCCAGTAAATAAGCAATTGTTGAAATATCAGAGATTGTGACAATTCTGACTGGTTCAGCAACAGAAGTTGGAAGCTTTGCAATCACACACATCGTCCATCATCAGTTGCCATGAGAAATGCCCAGCTAAACTAACTCTCAATTTTCTGATGATTTTTAATTGTTGTTGCAGAAGAGTGAGAAAGCCCTGAGGTCTGGTTATTCAGAGGTGGGGTTATACATATATACTGTACATGTACATGTACCTAGGTAGGTAGGTACCTAGTAGTAGCCTTAACTTTGCGACTTTAACAACTCGAACTAGGTATTTATTTACCATTGCCCATTAAAGGCTCAGTGATACAGATGCTCAGTGAAAAATAGTAGTGAAAGCAACAGACAAAACAGATGTCATGCGCCGCTGGTTTCCCCCCCCCCTCCCCCCAATATATGCCAAGATAATAACAAAAATGAAAAGAACAAAATCATAGAAGAAAAGTCCTCAGATAAGAAACATGCTAGCTATAATACCAATAACATGGGAGTAGCAAGACACGAAGAAGCCCGAGGGGAAAAGAACAAGCGTGTGGGGTAAATATAACAATAACAATACCAACAACAACAACGAAGAAGAAAAAGGGAGGACGTTGAAAACTGGAATAATGCAACATCGAAGGGGGTAGGCGCCGGTTGCAAAAATGGAATGGGGAATGACAACCAACCAAGCCAACAAGGAGGAGAGAAAAGAGATAAAAAAGCCCAGTAACTTTTTGTATACCCTTCTCGCAGCTCGCTTCGCGTGTTGGTATCATATGCCGGTTTTTCCATCGTCGGGTATGGTGAACAGCACCATATAGTAAAAATAGTATAGTCATAGAATAGGAAGAAGTTCGTGTCGAGTTGGCAAAAAGGCGGCCAGAGTGGAAACGAAGGGGGAGAGCTAGCTAGCTAGCTATATGGTTTGTATAGACAATAATGAAAAAGAAGGAGAACGCTTATCTATCGTACAGTACAGGAAGGGAGAGGAAGACTCAAAGCCATTGTCCGTATTTATATCAATCAGGGAACAAAATCGTAAGGGGATTCGGTTGGGGTTTGGGGTATATAGTAGAAGAAATTGGCGAGAAGGGAAAGAGACGGATTTCTGAGCTATGGGGATAAAATAATCGTGAGTAATCTAGGTGGTCGGTCGGGTTGGGTATCAGGAGAGTGTTTGTGCAGATGTCCATGTAGAGCATGATGTGTATGGAGCAATGAATGAATAGTGAAGGGCTTAGTTTGTCATTTTTCACTTCACTTTTCTTTCAACTCACTTCTCTCCATACTTCCCAAACTCCTGTTGCCACTTGACCAGATTCCTCGTTAGGGCATCCATCATTTCAAGGCTCGTTAGATCCTTAAACTCCTTTTCCTTGGGCTGCGTGCTCCCATTTGTATCCACCTTTTCTGCCACATCAGTCGTAGCTTGATCACCGTGAGTATGGTCGCCATTGGCTATTTGCGCTGCAGCCGCCTTCACTCCAGACGCCAGCTCTCCGCCAGTCCCGCTGATCTGTTCTGGGCTAGAAGCCAAGTCGAGCTGTAATTGCGATATGAATTCAAGAATGGCCGCAACACGCCTCTTCATCTCGTTCATCGTGGTACGTTGCGGGTTCATATATCGTGGTTTACTAGGTTTTCCAGATTCCCCGCCGTTAAGGTAGACACCATTTGCTCCAAGTTGGCCACCTGTAGGGGATTCGCCTGTCCCAGTGTCTCGAGATTGGCCCCGACGAGGAGAGTTGATACTGCCGGTGATGTCGTTGCCGTTTACCGAGTCGCGGTCTCGAGTATACTGATTTCGACCTAGTCGACCGCGGCGGGCTGGGGGACGACCCGTTTTGCGGGTCAAAGGTTTTGTGATGGATGGCTCGTTTATGACGCTGGGCGTGTCAGGGGTGGATTGGGTGATAGTGGGAGGAACCGAGCCCGTCTTTGTTGGCGAGACTGTCTCGGAAGGTTCTTCATCTGTCATTTCTGCATGGTTAATGATGGGTCCGTCGCGGCATGCGAAAGTGCGATATAACCACTCACCATCTTTCCTGCGATCTGAGCGACTCTTTCGTCGGTTTATAGGCTCTGCTGTCTCCTTTTCTGGCTCTTTGTCCGTAGTTTGAGCTTCCCTCTCTCGCTGGATTCTAGCCACGCCTCTAGTCTTTCTATTCCCATTGCCTTCGAGAGAAGTACTGGTGTTGGGTTTGCTTTCGTCATCTGACGGTGGGTGGGATACAGAGTTGCTATGTTTTGAAAGAGATGAGGCAGGAGACCCGGTACGTTGGCGCTTCGCAGCGTGCTTATTCCTGTTGTGCGACTGTGAGTTAGCAGCTTGTACGGTACCAAGGAAAATAAAATACCTCCACTTCCAAGAGCGTTAACATACGCTTCGCTGTCGCTTCGACTTCGTTTGCCTCTACGGCTTCCAAGGTCGTCAGTGATTGATTTGGTGTCTTCCTTGCTCTCCTCAATCGCTCGCCGCAGCTGTTCCTCGTCATAGGCAGCATCACGGCTATTCATAGTCGAGCGGCGCTTGGTGCTGAGGGGCCCTGAACTGCTGCGGGTCTTTTTATCCTTTGGGTTTCGGGAACTGTCGAGGGAGGAGGATCTAGAGGAGGATGAGGACGACGAGCCAACCACTGGTAGATAGCGAGACGATTTTTGGCTGCCTGATCGTAAGCGCGAGGTCCACATCTTCGAAGATGACAATAGGAAATGAAAATGAGTTGTACAGAAGGAATTAAAATAAAATGAAACAATTTTATTCTTTGCATTTCAGTGTAGTTTTTGGGGAAGGGACTCGAAAAGGAAGAGTGGTGGTGGTTATTTTGAGCGCACAAGTGGGCGAACGCCTCAAAATACGCAACAATCGGAGGGTAGTGAATGAGATAACATCCAAAAGGTGAATAAAAACCCGGGTGACGGGATAAAGGGAACAACTCAGTTTTCACTCACCCATTCGAAGCTGTAATGATCTTGTGTAGGTCTTTCCGACATTCTTCACAGAAGTATTCATCAGGACTCGATGCCACTTCCATGATCCCCACGCAGCCTCCATGCTGCCAGACCTTACAGGAGTCGCATTGGATGAACAAGCTCCCAGGCTCGTCGGACTGCATGTCCTCAGCTGAACCTGAAGCTCCCTGGGTCGAGTCCTCCTTCATACCCTGTTTTGTGGCGCTAGCGCTGCCTGCGTCCTGGTAGATCAGCGGAAGCCCAGGGTAGTCCTGCTGCCCACAGAGACATCTAGTTATTTCTTCTTCATCCCCCTCTTCTTCATCATATCCATCGCCCGGAGCTTGGAGGGCATCGTCTGGTTCGCCGTTGTTTCGGCCTCGATGGCGATGCCGCGTTTGTGGGAGGTCGGATCTAGCGTTTGGCTCGAGGTCATCGGTGGACTCGGAGCGTTGGATGGAGGGTCTGCGGGGGGAAGAGATTATGTTATTGGAGCGCGTGCTCCTTTCGGCACGGCTGAGTGAGTTTGACGAACTGGATGAGTTTGTGTGCTGCATTGCGGCGGATGGTTGGGATGTTCGAGCGCGAGAGGAACGACGTGGAGTCATGACTGAATGGATCTATCTCCTGCTGCAATGCAACTTGCGAACACAGCCTTCTAGCAAAACATAGAGATGCCAGAAGCCGTCACGATGTCAATTTTCTTGTCGAAGATAAAATAGAATGGCCGGTCGGTGTGAAAACGAGTAGCTGCTTTATTGGGGGCGGGATGTGGTTTTGGTTTGGGGTTGTTCGTAGCTAGGGGAGCTGGACTGGCAATTGGAAGCAGATTTGGTAGATCAAAAAAGAGAGCAATACCTCCAGATATACCATAGATGTCAACCTGAAGCGCTACATGCTCTGAAGAGGTCAGGGTGGAGGGAGTGGCCGATAGTTAGCGTGAGGGTTGAGGAGAAGATGCAAAGGAAAAGAGCGGGCGAGAGAGAGCGAAACCTTGGTCGGTCCAGCGAGGGTTCGCTAGTCCTCGTTCTTCCCCGCGCGCCCACGCCTGCGCCAACATTCCAACACCACGCGCCTTTAATTAATCAATTATTTTTGCTGGACTCGTACACCATTATCTTGACGCTGCGATGACCACGCCGCAGCAGCCATATTATGATAGTTGATTACCATCTCCAGAGCAGCAGATGGCGTTTCTCTTCTCTTGGCCCTCCGCTCGCGGCAGGCTTCTGAGTATTTGGTACTCCGTTGACCGTGACTTCTCCTGCGCTGATTTGAAAAATATGTACAAAAGTGCCAAATCTCTGCAGGACTTGAGCTACATACCTCCGTCTCGTCTTCTCCTATTAATTGCTTTGTCTACACTAACAATTACGAGACAGCCTCCGGCATGGATAATATGTTCCGCTCTACGCTGACCTTGGGACATCCATGTACATGTCTAGCAGATTGCTCTCATCGATACAGCAGTATTGAAACTAGTGCGATGTAATGTTGGATGACATTGATCCTGTTACCTAGTGCTGCTGTCTCTCTAATTGAAGTACATTCTAGAGCTCCCATGTGCCGGATCCCACCCACTTCGAAATCGAGTTCGTTGCCCTCTATATCCTTCTTCCAGCATTTGGAGCCCAGTGATTTCATTGCTTCAAGCCGTGGATGGATGAGTACAACCAGAGTGGACAGGTTGAAAACACGCCAGGGTTTCCTGGGTTATCATACGATATATACCCGCACGGCGGAAGATTAGCTGGGTATATATGGAGGACAACTTGCAGATGGCATACGGACAAGACGGGCTGCTGGTAAAGTCGGACTACATGGCCAAGACGAGACTTTCTGGTGCGTCATCCGCGGTTGATACCGAAATAAGAAGCTAATAGGTTCATCCCGGCCAAAGCAACTGGCTCGCGCCCTCTCATTCAGGTGAAAAAGGATGGACATGGGAAGTTGTACTGGACCTCTTCAAGCACCAAAACCTCTACATGCCGCGTAAGAGACTCGCCTCGCGAACAATTTCTGTTTTGCAAATATCTGGATTTTAATTGGAGAGTGAGGGAACATATCCAAGACTGCTCCATGTGAGCGTATGGCTCCAACGGGCGCTGGTAATCTTCAGCTCATATCGCTCAGTAACCCAGCCCAAGAAAACCGGCGGATCGTGTGTCCCCATTGGCCGTGTATTGTTGGCATTTTGCTGTCCTCTTTTCCCCCTTTCCCCTTTGACTGCTGGGTATAGGGAGAACACGTATCTGGGAAGGATGAAAAGTTTGTTGAGATGGAAACTTTGCCACGACAACGGGTGCTGCTGACATACTTGGAACGGGGTATTCTGGGGAATACACAGATTGTAGACGCGCACCAACGTAGATAGGTAGACATATATGTTAGATACCTAAAGAAACCAACCGGTGAAGCAAATAACCCAAGTCATACAAGCATCTCCCCGTTCGTGATGCCAGGACTGCCGTTGCTGGTGTGGTGTCGTTATGTCTGCTCGAATTGGATTCGGAATTCTGAGGCGGCTTCCCAAAGCGGCTAGTGCGGCTGCCGTCTTTAGTTACCGTGGACCGCCGTTCAAGGGTTGCCAGCGCCAGAAAGCTCAACACTCAATTACATCGACCTCACCAACGACCACGCTTCCTCCCAGTGCCGACAACCAACAACTCGCCAGTGTTCTTTGCCCTACCTATAAAGGATCTCAGTCTTGACTTCACGCCCCGTCGATTAGCTTGTTGGATTCAGCTGTATTATTGAAAATATATACACGCATTATATATTACACCCAGGGCCTGCATTCCTTTTGCCCGTCGACTTGTGGATCCCTTGTCCATATTTGTCATCTCATCTTTCCTCTTCGTTCTGGGCAAGTTCTCTCCGATCTCTCCTCTGCTAAGACATAGGTTTAACTGCATATATCTGTTTACTGGATGGACCCTGGGCTATTCAAGTTCTACGGAAACTAAGTGCTAACATCGTGGTTCTCCAGTTCGATTTTGGCTTGTCTCTCTCATTCGATACTTTCCCCCTCCCAGTTCCAACCTGAAAGTCGTCCCCCGAAACACACATTATCGCAACGGCATCTTGAAACCGAGCAAACCTGGATATCTTGTCTAAACTTGGATTCACGAGGTTGGAAAATGGCTGCTACACTGAGTATGTCACCTCCACTCTAGTTGACCACCGTATGCCTGATCTTCGGGTGGTGATGTGCTGTCCTCAGGTTTGGTGGGAAGGGCAAAAAAATAAAATAAAATAAAATAAAAAACTGAAAATCATTTCCCACTCCTCCTGGCCCGGGGAGCTTATGGGAAACCAACGCAAATTCACTTACTGCAATTTTGTGATCTTTGGATGCTGATGCGGTCATCACGTAGGCGGGACGTACACTTCCGCTCCTGACACTCCGTCTCCAGTGTTTCCAGATCGTTTGATCCGCCCCCTACCGAAGCGTCCTATCCGCTCTCGCTTATCCCACGAGGCTGCTGAGTCTATACTTTACCCACCTGCCCCGCCTGCCACCCAGGTTTTCTATGGTTCATATTCTGGCAATGGTGATGTCGTTAACGATGCCAAGGTTTACGTGCAACAGACTAATTACGGCCACGAACAAAGTCCTGAAGGTGACCACCACCATCCATATGATGATGGCGTAGATAGTGGTGATGAAGACGGCCCCGTGGTTGTCCGTCGGAGCGGAGGTTTTCATCGATCGTCCTTGTCCCCCACGGGCGAAAACCGCCAGAAATACGCCAAGCATCTGGAAGACACTCCTACCAAAACCTCTTCGTCTGGGCCCGACGGCTATGATGCTTTTGAGAACACGAACAATAAAAAGAAAAGGAAAATCCCGACGTCCGGTAATCCTGGAAACCATTCGAACCTATCTGCCGATATGATGACCCTGGGAATTTCGTCGAATGGTGGGAGTACTGCGTCTCTAGATGACGGGAGCGGTACTGGCTCGTATTACGGAACTGGGAATCCCGCTTCGCCCGCGGGGAATGGCATATCAGGGCCCGGACGAGGACGTTATGGGAGGAATGTTAGCCGTACAGTCAGCGGAAGGACGCCTCTCGCTACCCATAACCCGAATGCTTGGTTGGGAGGCCGATCCGGAACAGGGCGCAAGGAAGTTACAACTCCTCTTGGCCAAGAATCAATTGGTATAGCTTGACTTTCACCACAGTATTCATTGTTGAGAACGGGAAAAAATATGCTGACAAAAAAGTCCAAGGTGAATACCCGAACCATTCTGACCAGGGCATCATATCTGCGGCAATAGCCAATGCGGCCGCACTTTCTTCATCGGCGCCACAGGGGCAAGATAATACGAGCTTATTAGACCAGACAAGAAAGCCCTCCCCAACCAAGACACAATTCACCTTCACCTGCGAATCGGATTCGTCCAAAGGGATGGCCTGGCAAACCCAGAATTCCTATTCAATTCAACAGCAACATCGGGCGAGCAGTCAGCCACTTTCTGCAATGGCACCTGGTCAAAGGGGTTTCTCTACTCAGGGGACGCAGACGAGCCCGAACATGGCGTCTCAAACAAATCACCAAGGCCAGGCACAAACCCAGCACGCGTCGCAAAGCGCAGGACAAAACGCCATTCCGGGCAAAAAATCACGACGGTCCCCCAGCAGCATATATGCCTTGGCGGCTCGTCAACGTCGGCTACAGCAACAATACGCAAACCTCCACCACCCCCCGAACATTGACGAGATTTGGATATGTGAGTTCTGCGAGTATGAAAGCATATTTGGCCGGCCGCCGGAGGCATTGATCAGACAATATGAAATTAAAGACCGGAAGGAGCGCCGGCGGCTTGCAGAGAAGAGGAGGCTGCTCGAAAAGGCTAAGATGAAAGGTCGCAAGGGTAAAAAGGCAACCAAGAATGCTGCAAAGGCCGCAGCTGCACATGCGCAGCAATCGGTAGCTGCACATCAGCAAGGATATGACCGACAACACCACCCCGGGGGCGACCACGACCCCACAGGCCAAGGAGGAGGGTATGATGATAATTATATAGGTGATGAGTACGAAGACGAAGTTTCAGCACAACACGCACACGCTGCTCCTTCCGTACCTCCGCCTAGTGCGGCCAAACAAGCAGTGCCCGCCAGCAATCAACCTAAAGCAGCTGCAGGGAGTACCACATCGGGCAAAGGTGTAGCCGGGGGCGGAACGGTGCATACTGGGTGATGGCTCGCGGTGTGGCGTGGCATCCCTAGGCATGCGCAGATGTTGTCTGGATACTTTTTTGGACGAGACAAGTCGGAAATGATATTTCAATCCAACACCACCCCGTCACCTTCCACCTCCTCCACCCCCTCCTCCCACTGTCCCAAAGAAGGACCTCCAGAGCGATCACGTTGTCCTCCGCTGCGCCACATTGTCGCCTTCCCATCACCCTCCCTCCCCATATTTGTTATGGGGAGTGCCTTTCTCTTTTACTTTTTGTTTTACTTACCCCATTATTCATTCCCCATAGATAACTAACTAGATAACGTTACCCTTTTCTCTTCTCTTTCATTCCCTTTTTTCCTTTTGTTTCTTTCCCTTCCCTCCTGCACAGAAATGCTTTTTAGGTTTTGTTGTATGGCATGAACCATCACCGCTCATATTATTTACCATCATCATGCTGTCGGTTTTGTACGTCTCTTTTCTTCATTTATTTATGGATCCCTTGTCTTGGTCAATTGGTCATCACATCACCTCGTTCTTGCATGGCATTTGACCTTTCCACCCCTTATTTAATTACACTAAATCCTTCCCCCCTTCCCCCCCCTTCCCCGTCTCCATTTTGGAACATTGGTATTTTGTTGGTTTGTCTCACCCCCTTTTTATGTACTCTTGTAGGTACTATCCTGAACACACCCACACACCCACACATACCTGCGCACAAACACACAGCAGGGGTATTTGTTTTTCTGGTTTCATCAGCGCATCCATACACGCCCATTTGCAGAGATTCCATGGCCCTTGAAGCTTTTTTGTCATATGACTTTAGCGACCATTTTGACATTTTTGGCGGAACGAAACGAGTGGAGTGCGTGTATTCCCATTTTTTTTAAAAACCAGGAGAAAGAAAAGAAAAGAAAAAGAAAGTTATAAGCTCTTGTATACGCTTGTACCGCTCTATCAAAGCAGACAGGTGAAGCGAGTGAGAGATTTTTAAGAATATGGAGATAAGAGAATTGATCATCGCCTAGTTAATTCTTTACAGTGCCTTTGCTAGGCTCTTCTTTTCGTTTTCTTTTTTTTCTTTTTTTTTCTCTCCTTTTTTCCTCATCTCTAGTTTCCCCCGGTTCATCGATCTTGAATAGTTCTTCCATGTCTATTTTTATTGTTGGATCATGGAGAGAATGGGATGAAGGAGCCAAACGCTCGCAGGGCGAGCCTGGGATAAGCCAATGACATATTATGGCCCGGAGTCCGCAGCCAGCGAGCGGCTCATGGTCCCAGGCAGAGTCAGCCATTATGGAAACTAAGGAAGGGCTTGGTAGTTAGGCCGGATCGGGTTGGGTCGGGTTGGGGGTGATCTGGGATGATGGGATGAATGCGTAAGGGACGGGATACGCAAGATTCGAGTCGAGAGGGTTGGGGGTTGGGAGATGGAGCTGGAGCTGGAGCTGGAGCTGGAGAGGGGAAATCCCCAGTGCCCAAAGAAGCGGGAAGAAAGGAAGAAACTAGATCTTCTACAACTCAAATAAGTGAATAAATATATAAATAAAAGAGGGAGCAAGGAAGGAAGCAAGCAAGCTTTTAGGCTTGTTCTTCATATCCTCCTTTTCGCTATGTAGTTGAGTGATATAATAATCTCTTGGTTTCTGTTCGTTTGGCAGACAGAACCTTGCATGGGGATTGTTGACTTCGCAAAGCGTAAGGTAGAGTGAAAAGATGTATAAGTTGAAAAAGAAATAAGAAGAATGAGTGAATAAGAAAGAGAAAAAAAAGAAAAGAAAAGAAAGAAAGAAAGAATGGGAGAGAGAAAATACCCATTCTCGCCTCATCAACTTATGTCCCATCCCAGGCTTCGGTGGGCGTTAAATAATAACATTTAGTTATAGGGAGGAAGAATCAATTGAATTGTGGAAGAGTTAATAACTAAATAACTTAAGTTGTTGCATCTCCAAGGTTGTTTGTTTCATGAAGCAGCTTTCACAATAATCCTCACTCTACCAGCCAATTATTAGACAGATAAATACACTATTATTTATTCCATCTGAAACTTCTTTGCCGCCAGCAGAACTTGTTCACCATCCCAAGGCGCGTAACATCATCATCATCATCATCATCATCATCATATTCCCCCCCGCTGGCTGTGGCCTAGTCGCCGGGCGCTAATCAAATCACCTTCGACTTTTTGTATCCGCAGCTCACAGCCAACCGATGCTGTCTCCAACCCCAGGACCACAAACAGCTTCTGTTTCTTTCTTTAGCATCTTCGCATCTGCGATCTACCGGATGTTCTTCAGTGGCTGCAAGCTGCAACTGGGGAGGAGAGCGGGGGATTGGATTGTCCGTTCTGTTTCATGTTAGACACGATTTGCTTTTTAACATGGTTTCAATGTGTGTTTTTTTTTTTTATTATTATTTTTATTTCAATATATGTACATTACTTTTTGCCCTTGAAGCGGGAGAACTTGGACATTCAAAGCATGATTCGCTCCTGTTACACGCTCTGGCGCTGGAGATATCTTTGTTTTACCTGCAACTGTCTGGATATCAACTTACAAGATATATAAAGATCCCGCTCTGCGCTGGATTCAGACTCTCTTTGATTCCTTCAGGAAACAAATTCATCATTGTATCAGAAATCTTCTCTCTTTGTCCCTTTTTTTTTTTTTTTTTTTTTCCCTTTTCCTCTTTCTCTTTTTTTCTCTTCTGTCTCTCTGTCTATTTCTCTTTCTTTCTCTCTCTCCCTCTCTCTCTCTCTCAGTTCTTATCGAACTTCTGGTCCCCGCTTTCCCTCATTATATCTCGTCCTTTCTATATATCGCGTTCTCTCGGCTCTATTTAGTCTGTTGTACTGGGTACAACACTTCTCCGCTCATACGTTTTTCTCTTTTCTTTTTTCCTGCTAGACATACAATATACATTGCATTTTGGAGAAACAAGGGGGGATTTAATATCCAAGGCCTAAAGAAGAAGAAGAAGAAAAAAAAAAAAAAGAAACAGGAGAAAAGAGTGCTGCGCACCTTATTTCCCTTCTATACGAAAACCAACTTTTCCGCCTAATAGCAACATCGGGACATCGACCCATACATACACGTTCATACATACCTGCGAAGGTATCCATAAACAATCAGCAAACCATTCACTCGGGCACGAAATCCGGGGACAATAGCCCATTCGCTTTGCATTGTGGGGAAGATTCCAGCAAGAACACCCGCAGCTATTAAAGAGATTCCCAAGAGGATCAAAAAAATAGCCATTCACCCAGACGATTGAAGACCCCAACACTGTGTATAAAGCACGATACTTCCAGGTCTTATTCCTCACACCCCTCTAATACGTTCTCAAATCAACATCGCACCGCGAGAGCAGGGTCTGGAACCACAGAGAGCTCCACTACCTACCCCGTCCATCAACCCATCAGCGCACTGTCGAAAAAGAAACCCACCACCATCTCGAAGGAAAACCATGACTATCAAAGCTCTCATCCTCGACGGTGTCCGGAAACGCTACAGCGTCGGTTCCACAGTCGGCACGGTTGTCGGATGCTCGCTCCGCTTCCTACAGTTTGTCTTTGCCATCGCTGTCATCGGCCTGTACGCGCAGGACCTTGTCAAGCAGCGCAAGGATGGCGGTGGATATGACCCCAAATGGGTACGTTTCTCCCACCTCCCCCTTTTCCTATCTTTTTTTTTTTTTCTTCGATATCATATCTAGACAAAGACATCTATCTACCTCTCTACCTAGGGGTAGATATATTCCTCTGACCCTTTCCTCCGCTAACATGCCAAATCAAAAAAAAAAAAAAAAGACCTACGCCACCTCCCTCGGCACAATCTCCTCCCTCTCCGCCGTCGTCTACTTCACAATCCCCCTCGTCATGCCCGCCTTCTCCCTCCTGCCCACCGTCAACCTCCCCACCCTCGTCTACGACAGCATCCTCAGCATCCTCTGGCTGACCCTCTTCGGCATCTTCGGCAAACTCTACATCACCCGCGACGCGCCGGAGGGCCACGTGGATACCATCCGCATGAAGCATGCGGTCTGGGTGGATTTGGCGAATTTGGCGCTGTGGACGGCCACCGCCGCCTGGGCGGGTGTTCGGTGGTGGAAGAGTGGAAAGGGGCGGAGACGGGAGGAGAAGGAGAGTGAGAGTGAGATGGGGGAGGTGTGAGGAGGTTATTAATTGGATGCTCGCTTGTGTTTCGCTTTTGTTCTTTTGTCTTGGGTTCTTAGTTTTTTTGGAGGGGGTTCGGCTGGATTTTTGAACTGCTCTTGTTATTGTTGTTGTTGTTACCCACTAGCTCTTTTTTATTTTATTTTTTATTTCTTAATTTTTTTTAAAAAACCTGTCCTTGATTATCTGGCATACTAAGGGCGTGGGAATTGACTAGGTAACTAGGTCTAACTACTGTCTGTATTATGTTATTTTATTATTTTCTGTTTCCCTCGCATTTCCCCCTCCCTTTTAACTACGTTACTCCCAACTGGTTATTTTCTTTTTGTTTGTACCTGGGTCTGTTATTGGACCCTTTTTTCTTTTTTCAATTATTGCCCATTTGACAGGAATCATGGGCCTATATTCTTAAAAACTTAATATGACAGACTAGTTTTGTCTTACGAACGCTTGACTGGATGGGATGATGGATGATGGATGATGGTGCTCCCCCCCCCCCCTTAAAGCACGGTCAGGTCATGCGGCGCAACATGATAAAGTTGTCCTCACCCAATAAATAATAATATAATGGGGTATTTTCATCACCTGCCATGCACAAATTCTATGGTATTTCTATCGTGTTTAAATAATATAATATAGTAGGGATGAAGCTGGAGGAAAGGAAGGGCTCAGGCTGCTGCTATCTCCCCGTATTTAAGCCGCCACACCACCACACACACCACCACAGCCATCCAGCCAGCAAGCCAGTGCAAGGCAACGACAGGAACGGTACGGTTAGAGTAAAATGTCTAGGAGGAGTGAAGTAGTAGGTAGGGACGGGTAGAATGGAATCGACGCAGGTCAGGCGCTCTTTTATAATTATGTTATTATATTATAATCTCGTTCTATGAAAAGCTCTTTTTTTCTTTTGTCTTTCCAGTTTGGTGAAGAGATTGAGTAGGGTATATTATATATATATATATATATATATGCTAATTATATGATTATGATGAAAATTGTAAGGAATAGGTCATCTACGCAGTGCCCAGGTTCCCTCCCTCCCTCCCTAGTAAGTAAGTAAGCTGAGCGAAGATATCAGGGATTGAGGGGCAGATAGATCTGATCTGCATCATCCCCTGCTTGCTTCGATTGGAGGTTGCCTTTTTTTTTTTACCCTCCTTTGCTGCGTTCAGGGGTTTATCGGTGGCGTGCGTCGAGGCCGGCTAGCTAGATAGATAGATAGGCGAGCTGGAATGATTGGAATCCTGGCCGGCTGCGAGGTTTGGTTGTGTCTAATCCGCATATTTTTCTCTCGGGGTCGAAGGCGAGGGGTTGTTTTCATTTTTATTCGAAACTTGAGGAGAGGGGGAGGGAGGGAGGGGGGGGGGGGGGGGGTAGGTATGGATGACTTTTTCATTCGTCGCCGCTGCGCACCCCCAATTACCCCCTTCACCCCGCCGGTATTTCACACTCGTTTCCCCTGTTTCTGCATCGTCGCACTCAACTTCCTCTCCCGCTCGATCATCTCGCTTAACTGACTCTGCTACTGACCCAGCGATGGTCTGCTGGATGCAGGCACGCCGTGCTGATGCGGCGGCTGCGCCTGTGATGTGGATGGCGAAATTGAATTCGCGGGGTCATCATCGCTGTCGATATCCTCCCACTCCCCGTCCTCGTCGTCCTCTTCCTGGACATAATCAACCACGACTGCTTTGGTACCGGCACCATTGTTCCGGGACGGATGTTGCTTCTGTGCGGAGGAATGGCCTCCTCTTCCTTCCTTAACCTTTCCCCGGCCTCTAACCGCTTGGACACCCATAACCGGCCCTGCGTCGCCTGATGATTGAAGCTTCCGAGAGCGCACGGTGTCCGGGTTTCCCGAGACGACGGTTGTAGCGCTTGCCTTGATATCGGCTTGTGTTAGCAATGAGCTGCCTAGGTTAGTGAACGACGGGTTGCGCGACTCCTGTAGCCGTTTTTCAACAAATCGGGAACGGAAATCCTTTTCTACGAGGGAGACTTTGGATGGTTGCGTCGGTTGCGAGGTCGGGGAGCTATTGCTCCGCTTCTGTTGTTGCGCATGCTGCTCGTGGATAGGGTTGGCTGCTATAGCAGCAGCAGGATGTGACGTGGGGTTTGAGGTTGGGCCTGGTCGTTGCATTGCTGGGCCTAGCCAGGGGTATGGCCTTGAGTTGGGGGTAGGGGTGGGGCTTATGGAGATTGCGGATTCTAGAGATATAGCAGGCATTTTGTAATTAGTATGATATCTAGGGTTGGGCCTGTATAAATAGTTTCTGTAAAGCAGAGATTAAGAGGGAGAAAAGTAAAAGTTTCTCCCACCGTTGGGTATGGGATATATCTGCCGTCTAGGTGCTGATGGGCCATACAGGTCGGGTGAAGCTCTGGTTTCCCCGGAGGATGCGGGGGTAGGCGAATGTCTTGCAGGTGGGGGATCCAAAGGTGGCTGAGAGATATTTTTCCGCATTGGCACCGGCTCCGGTTCCATAGAAGTTATATTTGATGCAAAAGTCGCCTTTTTCCTTCGTGGCTTCTCCGACACGGATTCTCCCAGAGGGTCTTCGAAAACCGCAGTCGGTGATATGGACAGAGATGTATTGCTTCCCGTGAAACGATCAGTGGCACCGGCCGTAGAAACTCCGGGAAGCCTCTGGGCATCGTTGGAAGCCTGTCGCGGCTTCTTTAAGATAGAAGGTAGTAATGGCGCCCGAGTTGCATTTACCGAAGGTTTTCGGGATACATTTGGAGTACTTTTGCAACTAGTTCCCGTTGGGAGCTTCTGCGGCTGGGCGCTCGAAGTAGATGGAACTGCGCGCCGTCTTGATTGGATCCGCGGTATCGAGGGTGAGATCTAATAATAATATCTATCAGAACGAGATCTCCCTTAAATTCATCTAGCCATGTGGATGAATGTACTTCTCTTAACCCGCCTGGACCCATTCTGGTGATGCTCTCTCCTTCAGAAATATGGAGGAAGAGGCCGGCTAATGTAGTACCTTGTATAGTACGTAGAATGACATTGTTGCTCCATATTCTCCAGAATAGATTTTCTAATCGCCTTCCTTCATCTGCTTTCATCGTAGACCTGTTTGTGGTGTAGACTACATTGAAAAAAAATGTTAGAATATATATACAAGAGCTTGCTGTCTTCTGCCATTGTTTATTCGCGGATTGCTTTTTCTCATTGTGTCTTAAACCAAAACATAAATATCTTCTTTGCTTTGTGGTGGTTTTCTTTCGAGAGCATAGACAAGGGGAAGTAAGTATCCTTACCTCGCCATAGTTTTGCAAGATCCTCAGCATCCACACCGCCAAAGCTCTCGATTTCGGAACTAATGCGCTCGGAGTGTAAGACGATGCCTTTAGGCAAAGCTTCTGTCATTGTAACTAGCCACTAAGAAGACAAAACCCGCCAAAACAGATTCGCAAAATCCACTTCTTTTCGGATTGACAGCCTTGGAGCTGAACTCTCTTCATCGAAAGAGGAATAGGCAAAATAAAACGAGCCGTCACAGCACACAAACACGGAAAAGAGAGCAGTAAGTAAAGGAAGAAGAAGAAAAAAGAAAGAAAGAAAAGTTAAGTGAGCAAAGAGGAAGAAATAAAATAAAGTAAAGTAAAATAAAATAAAATAAAATAAAACAGAAAATCTCAACAACAGACGGGGAGAGCGGGATAATCGCCACTGGTCAGCTGAGCCTCATGGTTCAGCAAGGGCACTGGGCGATGGAGGCAAAGCATTCCACAGCCGGGCACATGCAACGGTCCAATCTGTAAGGCGTGGACGACACAGACGTGGGAACAGGCAGCATACGGTCACATCCGGTCACACAGGGGCGAGGAGAGGAGGAAAAATCAAAGGGAGTTGGAGTGGACAGAGAAACAGCTCGGCGTAGGAGGTGTTATGGGGATAGATAGGTAGGGAATCCGATTGGCTTCACGTGAGCCTGTCCAGGTGACCGCGTGGAAGGGGCGCCTTTTGCAGGGACTTATGAGATAGAGAGATGGGATAGAGACAGAGAGAGAGAGAGACCTAGCTAAAAGGTTAGACAAAGGAACAAAAAAGACATGCGTGTTTGTTGTTGGAGTTATGGAAGATGAAGAGACAATGTGATTTGTTTATTATTATTATTATTATTATTATTTTTTTTATCGCAGTTGTCGGTGAGCTTCGATCTCCTGGCGAGCACACTTTCACTGAGCGGAGCCGGGAGGACCGACCCCAGCAACGAACGACCTTGGAACCTAGCGGAGATCAGAGATGAATGAGCGGTAAGCTGAAACAAAGAGCGCCAGATCAGATCAGACCATCAAGTGGCAAAGTAGTTAGCGGTAGAGAGCGAGCGGGAATGGCGAATATTAGCCTGGGGGGGGGGGAGAAGATGAAAGACAAGGTGGTGAGGGCGGGCGGAGAGAGTCGAGGAGTCGAGATCGAAATCAATAATAATAATACGGCCCAAGCTAGCAGCTAGTGAGCTATGTAGTGATGTATTTATTTATGTAGGTATTTATTAGTTGGCGGGTCATGTGGCCTGGTGGCAGCGGGCGAGCAAGCAACAATAATAATAAACAATACGGGACGAGTCAATCATCAATCATCAATCAATCAATACTGTACTCTCACGGGGGATAATAACGATAACATGCAGGAAAAGAAACATGGCTACCTTAGTTCTATGTCTAATCCAAGCATCAAAGGGGCAAATAATCTGGGGAAATGGCGTTATTATTGTGTTGGGATCTCTTCCCTGTGTTTTGTATCACTGACATAATAACTACGGATTAATTACACCCTGGGAGCTTGGTTGGGCGCGGGTGTGAGGCCGATGATGATGGTCAGTAGCATCTTAACCAATGAAAAGTCATGGTTTAGTTATCCAAAAAAAAAAAAAAAAAAAAAAAAAAAAAAAAAAAAAAGGGCATCAATCTTGCTTGGTCCTCTTTTGTTTTCCTCCCTGGGCGAAGTGTGCTCAACATCTTGCTCTTTCATCCGGGGGATCCGGGGATCCATAATTATTAGATATATGTAAATCGACGGGAGCAACGGCTGCTGGAGACCTGGGTGGATCTGATTAAGTAGTCTGGACTCTAGAGTGAGTGAGTCTAGAAGGAAACCAGCAGGACGACGCCTCCGCAAGTGCTGTGTCTCTGTGTGTGTGTGTGTGTCTTCGTCGCTTAGCAGCGTAGGTAGTTAAAATAACGTACTGGTTATGCAGAATTTTCCACGTTGCTTCTAGAACAAACACTCACCTCCCCTGTCCGTTTGTTGTTTCAGTCAGTCAGACCGCTGGTTGGGGGGGGGGGGGGGGGAGACACGCCGTAAGAAAAATAGAGGAGGCTTGATTACTCTTGCGTGGTAGTTAGCTAACTGGTGAACCATTACGGAGTAATCCTGGGCGTTGACATCCATAGAAGGTGGCGAGAAGAGTCAATGAGGAGATAGATATAGGCCATGGCAACTCACTCAAGCATTGCCCTATTCCTCCTATCTCCTGGTGGTGACCTCTCCTGTCCGCCAGATCTCTCAAATTCCCGCTTTAGGTCCGGAATTCAGTTCTCTAATAACTACCTCTCTCGCCTTTTATGTACTCCGTAGTAACTTATGGATGGAAGATCGTGAAACGAAGAGAGATGTAAAATAGCTGCCATTGTTATTTCCGGGGCAGGCAGCGGGCGTAACCCATTATTATTGATGTTCTTGTTGTTGTTCTTGTTGTTGTTGTTGTTGTTGTTGTTGTTGTTGTAACTCCGTCTCCTTTCCGTGGTACGCATAAATACGGGGTTAGTAATTTCCCAAGGTTCAGTCAGACCTTGCTGGCCCTTTGCACCCAACCAACCACGATCGATCTGTGCTGAGTCGACAGAGGTTAACTACATCTTTTGCCCCTGACGGAAAACCTAGGCCTCTTATTAGAAAAAGTGCAGCATTTTAAACCCTCCATTCCAATCCCCCAAGATACTAACTTACTGGATTAGCCCGTCCGGCGCTGCCGAATAAGCTGTCCCCGTAACTTCTCATCCACATAAGGATAGTAGGAGTAATGCATCACTGACCCCCCCCATCCCGTGGGTTGGAGGATGCATCGGCAAGATAAGCTTAAACTCTAAGTTATCGATTGAGTGGATCCGGACCGTCCCGCTGCGCTTCCCGCAGTTTATTTATTTATTTATTTATTTATTTATTTATTTATTTATTTATATATATATATATTTTTTTTTTGAAAAACGGCGAAAAAGAGCATCATTCTATCGACTGCACATCAGTTGGTCAAGTCGTCATTATTCTACCCTCCCTACTCCGTACATAGACCCAAGCTACGGCTTGAGAGGAGGTTGAATCTTCTTCAAGGCACTGTCCGTTGCTTCCCTGAGTAGACTCCATCTCCTCCTCCTCCTCCCCCTTCTCCCAAGCAACTGGATTTCCTGTTTCTACTAGTTAACTGTAGTCTTGGTGTGAGAGAACTATGTGTATGTACACAGCATATCTCCTGTATTTAACCCCATTCAAACTCTGTTAAAGTCATATACCAACTGGCAAGTACAGAACAGTTAGAAAAAAAAAAATCCAGTACAGAAAATATTGATCTCGTCTAGATCTCCGCTAAATGCCTCGGCACAGTGGGGCCCCCGGTGGGGTTGCCACGACGCCAAGCATTTAAACATTTGCGATGGAGATATAAATTTATTTGGCTCATTCCTGTTTGTTTGTTTTTTTATTTTTTATTTATTTTTTATTTATTTTTTATTTATTTTTAACAGAAAGCCAAGGCAGGCTGTGCAGCATGGAGGAATAATAATAGGATACAAAACAAAGCCAGCAAAAAGAGACCAGGCGGGAATTCCAACCCACTCTCCACCCAATGCACGTGGCACGTCCGGCACGTCCAGAGACATGGAATAATGTCGAAATGGGAATTGTATCTCCCCTCTCGATAGGACCCTGCCTGCCTGCCTGCCTGCCTGCCTGCCTGTGATGGATCGAGACGGTCGGAGAGAAGAAGATGTTCGAGTCGAGAGGGAAAATCGAAGGGGGGTCAGGGCCAGCCAGCCAGCCCAGGGAAACCACTATTCTGTAAACCCCCGGCCCCCCGCCCAACCAACCTTGGTCCCATCCCACCCACCCATACCATACCTGACACTCGAGATAAATAAATACATGTATGTATGGATGTATGTGTGCTTCTATCCCCCACTGTCAATTGCTGTTGTTGCTGCTGCTGTTGTTGTTGTTTTCAAGGGGGCAGCCAGGGTATGGAAAAAATTGGGTGGTGGAGAATGAGGACTTTTATTATTATCCAGTTTTCAGATTCATAGGAATAGGTGTGATATATATATATGTGTGTATGTATACCCGCTCCACTGCCTTGTCGCGCGTGGCCTGCTGCTATATGACTTCGGATCGATGGGGTTGAAAACACGCGGCAACATATAGGTGTGGGGGAGAGAGAGAGAGAGAGAGAGAGAAGAGAAGAGAGAGCGCGGATGGGAATGTTAGCAATGTTAACAAGGAGAACAAACATGCAGCTATAATACATAATGAATAAAGCAACGGTGGTGATAGATCAATGAGAAAGTACTAATAATATATAGAAATAGTAAAATAGTTAAACAAATACCCGCCGAGAAAAAGTTCATGGAGAGGACAATAAAAAAAGATAAAAAGATAAAAAAGATAAAATGGAGCAAATGGTCTAGGGAAACTCGGAGCAGGCGAAAACAAGCAAGCCAATGAACATACGCGTGCAAAGAAAACAACACACAACAATATTAAATAATTGACATCGATGTTCCCCACGCGAAGATAAAACTATAGGGGCAAGCAAGTGGGAAGAGAAAGAAAAATACACGAAGGGTTTGGCTGATGAAGAAGAAAGTCCCAAAAATTAATTTCCTTCTCCTTGTCTACGTCAGGGTATATCCACCATCGACTCTGAGATCGGCACCGGTGACATACTTGCTCGCGTCGCTGAGGAGGAACGTCACGGCGCCCATGAGATCCTCGGGCACGCCCATTTTACCCTGTGGGATGAGCGAGGTCCATTGGCGGTTGAGCTCCGGGTTGTCGTCGAGGATTTTGCGTGTTCTGTGATTTGTTAGTTTGACGATTTCTTTCTTTTATTTCCTTTCTTTTAGGGAAACCCCCTCCTTGGAAGGCCTTTAGGGGGGTGAGTATTTAGACAAAAATAGAAAAACCAAATCTTACAGCGCAGTCAACATATACCCGGGACTAATACAGTTAACCCGAATATGCGCCGGCGCCCACTCCACCGCCAGCGACGCGGCGAGGTGTCTAATCGCGGCCTTGGCAGCATTATACGGCGCCTGCGGCTGCGGCACGTTAACAATGGACCCGGACATGCTGCCGACCATGACGATGGAGCCCGGCGCCTTGCGCTCCAGCAGGTGCTTGGCGACGCCGACGGCGAACAGGTAGGAGCCGTCCACGTTGACGCCCCAGAGCTTCTGCATGCGGTCGTACGGGTAGGAGATGGCGTCGAAGTTTTCAGTGAAGCCGGCGGAGGTGACGAGGTTGTCGATGCGGCTGTGGGAGGCAAGGATGTTTGTGAGGCACTCGTTGACGGAGTCGGGGTTGGCGACGTCGGCGTAATGGGCGGTTATTTTGGGCATGCTGGTTTTTTTTTTTTTGTAGGTTAGGACCAGGGGAGTTTGATATATATATCGTGGGGGCAGGGGGCAGGGGGCAGGGGAAGGGGGACATACATTTCAATGCCTGGGTTTTCTTCCCGATACTGCGCCACCAGCTTCTTCACCTGCTCCTCAGCTTCGTCCTCTGCATTTCTAGTCAGTATCTGATCTAGAAATAGAGCAAAGGCAGGAGTCACATGTAAATCACATGATCGACAAAGCTATCAATGATTGACAAAAATCTATCCCATCCGATACTTGATATCACAAAAAAGGAAAAAGAAAAAGAAAAAGGAAAAGAAAAAGGAAAGTAGAAATAATTGCTTACTGTTCAAGTCCACAATGGCAAGATCAGAGCCCGACGCCACGAGCGCCTGCCCCATAACCAGCCCCAATCCCCGAGCACCCCCAGTAACGACCGAGACACGACCTTCCAACGAAAAGGACGCCAGCGTCCGCTTGAAGTGCATACCACCGCGACCCTGAACGATAGGGCTGCGAGGCATCTCGTGGTCCTCGGGATACTCGACACGAACGCTCTCATCGGTCCGAGCATAGCGACCCTCGTGCTCTGCCGTCTCTTCCTTGGAAGCAGCGGTGCTGGATTTCTTGAAAGGGTCCTCGTCCTTGTCATCCCTTTTGCTTTCTCTTAGAGCAGGGGTTGTGGAGATGCAGCGGGCCTGTGTGGTGGTGAGAGCCGGCCTAGAAGAGGTGGAGCGGATAGCTGCTGGTGGCCCCTTGTAGCCATGGCTGGCAGCCCGGAGTGCCTGGCGGGCAATTGATGGTTTGAACATAGTAGCTTTTGCTTGTGTACTGCTTCTGGTGTGGACTTTTTTTTTTTTTTTTTTTTTTCCTTTCCAAAGGGGTTAGGTATCGTATCTGCATGTGGATATATGTCAGTAATGGGGATGCAGGGCAAATTGGGAGAGATATTGATAGGAATGAATAATTGAATAAGATTCAAGTGGTCGGGATATTATATGTTGGCGAGAATTTGGAATTGGTACATAAATGCTTCTGTTGCTCATTGGTATCGAGGGATTGAGACAAAAAGACTCACCAGATCAAATTCTGTGTAGTGGTTTAATTTAACGTCTCAGGTACGGTATCACGCAACACGATCAGACAATTCAGTTTGATAATAGAGGGAATATAGAGCCGTATCAGGGATGGACAGATAAATTTTTGCAGTGATAAAACCGACCAGCTGGCAAAAAGCGGAATTTCAAAAAGATGGGGAAAAAAATAAAATAAAAGAAAAGAAAAGATTGGATCAAAGCCAGGAAAACGAGCGTTGTTCGATCGAAAGAACAAAAATCGAACAAATTTTTTTTTATCTAATATCAAGATGGATGTGAAGGATTCTCGCCGCGGCCAACATTGCTTGAAAAGGTAAGGGAAGGGGAAGAAGGGGAGGGAAGAAGAAAAATCTGAATTTATTTTGAGCCAACACACCAGGCAATTAATTGGAAGCTCTCTCTGGCAATAAAACCGCGACTGATCGCTGGCCACTGGGGGTCAGATGACGGCTCAACTCCAACTATCGTGACTTTTTTTTCCCCCTTTTTCTGCCAGGCGTCGTCGGCAGATCAGAACTTCCAAGGGGAAGACGCGCGGGCAACGGTTGGGCTGGACCCGGGTCTAGGCTCTGGCAAGGCGGTGAACACTGGACAGCAACCACCAGAAGGCCGCCACTAACGGTCGCTACGGCGGCTGCAGACTACAGCAGTCGTGGGCCTGGTCCCAGCGGTTCTGGCTACCCTTTTAGGCTCTTGGCTGGGGGGGGGGTGTGCGTTGGGCGTTGGGTGTTGGGGCCCTGGTTTGGGGGGGGAGCATTAGGGCACTGGGACTTACGCAGTAGTCTGGGGCACTGGTAGCACTGGGAGGGTCACCAGGGCCACCACCAGGGCCACCCCGGTCCAGGGAGCTTGGGTGGGGAGCTATGGTGGGTGGTTCGGCGGCGAGATGCCCCCCAAGAGATCGGCTGAAGAGTCAGATGAGTAGCTGATTTTTTTTTATTATTTATCTTCATCACTTCGACCCATGCAGTAGAGTAGTCGCCGCTATCAATCTATCCTCCATACCCAGTCGTAATGCCAAATGCAGGGGAGGTAATCATATTTGCAAGCTCCATATAAAAAATCTCTGAAACTCAACCTTCAATCTGAATACAATATGGAGACCTTTCAGGAAAAAAAGTAAAAATAAAAATAAAAATAAAAATAACCCCACCCCACCCCACCCTCGAAGGAGAAAATATATAATGTAAATTCCCTCAGTTTCCCATAATTTTAACATTTCTCTTTCAAGATTCATACAACTCAAATATATCGAAGTAACAAAGTTTTAGTTCTTGGATAATGATATCCACAGGAAAAACTCACTATTTACAACAACCATGCGACGCCGGGTGATTGCTGCCGACAAGGCCGAGAATAAACGAAAGCATTCTCCAGTAGTTAACTAGTGACTGGACACAAAATCTTTTTTTTTTTTAAGTTTTTAATTTAATTTATACTTTCTTTCTCTCTACTGCGTATATCTACATACATGCGATCTAATAATAACGATGATAGGATATTAATCCAAAAACATTCCTATATCCTATATACACATAGAAAAAGAAAAAAAGAAAAATCATATAAAAGGGCAGAACAGGCGAGTGATGGGAATCCTTTTTAGCAACGCGAAAAAAAAAAAAAAAAAAAAAAAAAACCCTCTTCCTTCCAACATAACATGATGGGCGGCGGCCGTTCGTGATTCTCCATTCCATACAATGGCCCCGCTCACCACTTCAGCACAACGCGCAAACGGCTCAACGTATGCTGGATAATGTATGTATCATTGTTATGAAATCTTCGTGTCAGCGTCAGAAGAGGCATCCGCAAACTCCACAAGCGCGGACCCAGCTTTGCATATATCCTAATAATGCCGCGCAATTGCGTTAGTGAGAAGTTAACCTCTTTTATTTGGGATTTTGAGAGGGTTATCTAAAACGAGAAGGGAAGGTGAAAGGACGGGGTGGGGTGGTGGGGAGTTATTAAAAAAAAAAAAAAAAAGGAAAAGAAAAGGGAAATAGAAAAAGGAAGAGAAAAAGAAAAAAAGAAAAAACTTACCCCGGCTTTATGCACAACCTTCTCAATCTTCCCATCCTGCGGACTCCGAATCACAGTCTCCATCTTCATACTCTCAATAACCACAAGCGGCTGATCCTTGACCACCGTCGCCCCCTCCACAACCTCCACCCGCAAGACCTTGCACGGCATCGGCGCAAGCACGCTGTTCGCCGTATCCTTAATCCCCAGCGCCTTCTCCATCCATTTCGCCCGCGGGATCTTGAACCGGTACTGTCTCCCCCGCTGGAACGCTGTGATCGTATCCTCGTCGCGGACTACCGTCGTGTCAAGTCTTGTGTGCGGGAAGAACGAGGTGACCACGTTGGACTCCTGCTGGCGCTGATGCTGGACTTTGACGTTCTGGAAACTAGTGCCGTTCACGACGACGTTGAATGTTGCCGCGCCAGTTTGTTGTACTTGGACGTTGAAGGGCGCTGCTGCGCTGCCGGATGCCTCTGATGAGGGGTTCTGCGCGGTAGCTTCTACGAACGCGAATTGTCGCTCTTGATATGCCGGGCTGAATCCTACTGTTGTGCCTGCTGGGCCGCTCGATTTTGACTCGCTGAGTAGGCAGGACAATGCAACTTGGGCCAGAACTTCATTCTCCACAGGCTCCTTTGCGAATAGTTCTGCCTTGTGTTTATCGATATAGCCCGTTTCGACATTGCCGGAGACAAAGTCTGGGCTCTTGCATACCCGTTTCAGGAATTCGATGTTTGTGATTGGTCCCGCCACTTCATACTCTTCCAGCGCCATGGATAGATTTCGCAGAGCTTCTGTCCGATTCGCGCCTCTGACGATCAGCTTCGAGATCATAGGGTCGTAATGCGAAGATACTTCATCTCCAGCAACGAAACCAGCGTCAATCCGCACGTCCTCTGAAGCTGCAGGAGTGCGAACATGCAACAGACGGCCTGAATCCGGAACGAATCCCTGATCGGGGTTCTCAGCGTAAATACGCGCCTCGATGGCGTGGCCCTTCGTAGCCATAATAGCCTCGATCTCATCCTGCGTCAGAGGCAACGGGGCACCCTCCGCAACCAGAATCTGCCAATGGACCAGATCCTGTCCCGTAACCATTTCCGTAACCGGATGCTCGACCTGTAACCGGGTGTTCATCTCCATGAAGAAAAACTCGCCCGTGTCATTGTCGAAGATGAATTCCACCGTTCCCGCTCCCTCGTAACCAACAGCCAACGCCGCAGACCGCGCTTTATCCCAAATATCCTTCCGCGTCGCCTCAGGCAGATGCGGGGCGGGGGATTCTTCAAGGATCTTCTGGTGACGGCGCTGGATGCTGCAATCTCTCTCGCCCAACGCAACACAGTTCCCATGCTTATCCGCAAACACCTGCACCTCGATATGTCGCGGGGTCGTAATATATTTCTCAACCAGCATCGTGTCATCGCCGAAGGAGTTCATCGCCTCCGACTTGGCTGAGATAAGCTGGTCCCGGAATGTCTCTTTGGAGCTGGCGATCCGCATGCCCTTGCCACCGCCACCCTTCACGGCTTTGATGAGGACTGGGAACTTGATCTTCTCCGCCTCCGCTTCGAGGAAATCCATATTTTGATTCTCGCCGTGATAGCCCGGCACGCAGGGGACGCCTGCTGCTGTCATGATTTCCTTTGATCGACTACACGTCCTCAAAATAAGCATGTAACCCATTGGAAGTAAATATATATATTATGCGTATGCCCACATACCTCTTATCACCCATAGCCTCAATAGCCTTAGGCGGTGGGCCAATGAAAACAAGACCTGCTTGCGTGCATTTCTGCGCAAAGGCCGAGTTCTCACTCAACTGAAAGTTTTTGAAATATCGTCAGCCCACAAATCCAAAACAAATACAGAAGCTTTTAAGCTCTTAAAAAATCCACCCCCACTGGCCAAACAAGTAAAAACGGTACAGAAAGATTTTTTTTTTTTTTTTTAAAAAAAAAAAAAAAAAAAAAAAAAAAAAAAAAAAAAAAAAAAAACCCATTAACTACTCACAAACCCATAACCGGGATGTATGCCCTGGCAGCCCTCCTTCTTCGCAATCTCAATTATCCGATCTCCATCGAGATACGCAGAGGTGTCACCCAGATTGAACGCGAACGGGGAGCTAAGGGCGTGTTGGGCCCGCGCATCCGGGTCCGTGTAGAGAGTCGTTACTCGAATGCCATGTTGTGAAGCTGTTCGTCCTACTCGTCTGTAACATAAAAAAAAAAATTAAAAAAAAAAACAAGACGTACGTCAGCCCCGTTCGTAGACTCCCAAGAAGTGTACATGTATGTATATGTAGATAGATCCAACTCACAGCGCGATCTCGCCACGATTGGCGATGAGGATGGAACTGAGCGCCTTGATCTCGGGGCCATTTGACAGCGCGGAATTGGCACGGACTGTTGCTGCTGTTGGTTTGAGGATAGCCGCCCTTGTCCCCAGGCGGGAGGTGGTGGAGGGGAGTCGAGAGATGAAAGACATTCGGGCTGGTGTCCTCATGGATAGAATATATCAATCAAATGTGCCACCCCCCCCGGAGGTTCTATAGATATAGGAATTAAGAAAGAAGCGTGTGAAAGGTATCGTCGTGATGATCAATTGTATATTGTATGCATAACATGAGGAAATAAAAAACATCAGCGTAAATTCTCACAAGCTCTGTACACCGCCAGGATCACAGATCATATGGGATGTTGGTTTGATGTTGCAACCCGGAATCCACGATTTGCTGTTTTGGCCGATGGAAAGCGCTGGATTGGCGCGGGGGATGAAATCGGGAAGGTCAGCCGAGCCCGAGAGTTCTCCGGGGCTAAGCTAGATTTGCGGGGCCCCGTGACTCGGCAATGGGCTAGAGGGTGCCAAGAATTCCGAGCCGCGGAGAGAGGAAATTACCTAAAACGGGTTGAGAAGGACTGCGGTGTCGTGTTTGATTGGTTAGGAGGGAGGTGAAGATGCGGAGCGCTACTTCGAAACACCTCTTCCGCTGCTCCATGATGGAACTGCTGCGGTTGCATTATCTAGCCTGCTCCAAAGGGAGGTGAATAGGCCGACAAGAACATTCACGGGGGTAAAAAGCCTGTTGCTGTGTTGATCCACATCTGTTCTCATGTTTAAATTGTGCATTGTTGTAGATGATAACAAATAAGTGATTACTTAAACAACAAGGGGCCGATAGTTTACCTGACGTATGTATATCGCGAAATCCGCATCACAGAAAAAAGGGGGACTCCCAGAAATAGAATAATAGCTGTACTCAAATCATATCCACCGCCATACGCCATGGAAGGACAAAAACAAGAGAATCTCAATCCATTTGTCCCAACCTAGTTCCACCAATCAATTCACATGTGTATCCATCCCCCTTGCTCTAAAAGCCTCTAAAAAAACTACAACTTCTTCTTCTCTCTCAAAGACCGTCGTGCCCTGGTAATAGGTATCCGCGCCTCTTTCTTGCTTTTGCCATTATCACGACCGTCACCGTCACCGTCACCGTCACCGTCACCGTCATTTTCATTTTCTCGCTTCCGCCTCGTCGCAACTCGCTTCGATCTCGTCTTCCCACCCTGCTGATCTCCGTGAGCGCTATCGGGGGGACTAGACGCTTTTCGTTTCCGACCTTGGCGATGATGAGTGCGGGGCGAGCTGCCCGCTCTCGCTAGGGGTATATTATCGGTACTGTTAGTTTCGGTATAGCTATCTTGTAACAGAGTGCCGGGTTCCATTACATCTTTCCCGTTGTGCAAGATTGAGGTTGTGGGTTGTGTTGCTATTGTTGTCGTTGTCGTTGTCGCCGCTGCTGTTACTGTGCTGAGGGCGGTGGAAAGATGGCCGGAACGCTGTTGCTTGGAGCTCGCTGTTGGCAAGGATGGCGATACCAACACCGGAGGGAGTGCTGGGATTTCCTCCTGCGCTGAGGCGGACATGACGGATTTGAGATGTGATCCAGTGCGCCTATTGTGACCCTTGTCATTGGTGTTGTTGGCACTGCGGGATGGCACCGTCGTTGTCTTCTTCCGTGATTTCTCATAAATCTCCTGCTGGGATGCGGGCAGAAAAGACGGAGGCGGGGTTTTATATCCTCCATCGTCCTCGTCATCCTCACTACCATCTCCATCTCCTGCAAATTCCAACCCCTCTTCACTATTCCCCTCGCTATCAAATATAGGCGCGTTAACAACCCCACCAATTCTGGCACCCAAATTCCGCTTCTCTGTTATCTTCCTGAGGCGAGCTGGCTGTTTCCTAACAGAGGCAGACTTCGAGAACGTGGACGACGGAGGCGAGACACGGGGAGGAGAAGGAGAAGCAGACTTCTGAAGCCTTTGGCCCCTTTTCGGCTGCGAATCTTTAAATATCTCCCGCCAATTCTTCAACAGCGCCACCTTCTCGCCATGTCCCGGCTCATACAGCTCACCCTGGTCAACCAGGAAGCCGGACGGCCGCCAGAGTATGCAGCAGAAGGACTCGGAAGTGTCCTCCTCCTCATTAATGTTATCATCATTCCCGGCGCGCTTCTTGTTCTTCCTGTTCTTCTTCTGCTTCCCGCCCCGCATGCCTGTGGGGGGGGATGACGCGGTTGATTTAAGGCTGTGCTCGTGCAGAACGGACAGGTCGTCATCGAAGTACTCGTCCGTGTAGTAGTCCCAGTCCGACGCGCTGTCAATTGCATCATAAGCGCCCTGGTCCATGTAGACGGGAGAATGCATTGTGCCTTCTGCTAGATCGTCCTATAAAATAAATGAATAAAAAAAAAAAAGGAAAGCAAATTCCCTTTTTCTCCCGGAAAAGGAGGAAGGGAATTTGCCCGAGTTTTTTTTTTATCTCTTTTTCAGCTTGATGAACATATATAAAATCAACCATGAATATTTCAGGGGTGAGGAGTATGAGTATGGTTGGAGGGGCGCGTTTTGAAGGAATATAGCATGGATGGGATGGGATGACATGACTGACCGCAAGCTCTCGCTCCCCTTCATCGCCCCAGAACCAATCACCATCGAAATCATCGTCGTAGTAATCCTCGTCATCAGACATTGTTCCTGTAACGGGAGTGTTCCTTTTCTACTCTTTGATTTGATTTATCCTCGTTTGAAAAATGTAGTATGGCATAAATATATCAATGTCGAGCAAGGGCCGGGAGCTGACAAAACAAAAAGAGAGCGGGGCTGCTCGTTTCAGCCAAAAACCTCAGCGCGGCTAAGCTAGATTGTGAAAGAATATCTATCTAACCGCCTCTGTGCCTTGGAAGGGTAACTGTACTTCAAAGTAGTTATGCAAAAGGGAGCAAACAAGCAATAGTGAGGGTGTTTTGTATAAAGAGAGTAGTAGTAGTAACAGCAACAGCAGCAGCAGCAGCAGGCAGTTGCCAGCACACGCGGCAGTAAAGGTAGATAGATAGTTCAGTAACTAACTTGCAGTGAGTTGGAAGTTGGGGGAATTCTGCTGCCAAAGAGCAACTTATAATAACTTATTAACCACTTGCTCCCTAATGGCATCCGGTTTAAGCGTACCCCGCCACGCTAAAACTTGTTCTCGTTCTTGGTGGCTGTAGCTTAATTTCTTGGTGGAACTGTTGGTGAGGGGTGTAAGGAGATAGAGATCTTATCATATTCATCGGAGCTGTTTATATATATATGGAAAATAATTACCCTCTGCCTACACATTGAGATGGAGTATAGCCAACTGAGATAGTTTCACAAAACAAACAAACCGTCCTATCAATGGCAAACGAAACAAGGTTCTCTCTATAGTATACCTGCATACGGAGTATATAGGGAAAAAATAGAAAAGATAAGAAAGACAAATACAATGAAAGAAAATCCCGCATCGAGCCCTACAATCTACAAGTATTCCTTATTGAACACCCTCCCAATCAACATCCTCCGAATCTCACTCGTCCCCGCCCCAATCTCATACAACTTGGCATCCCTCAGCAGTCTCCCCGCAGGAATCTCATTGATATACCCGTTCCCGCCCATCAGCTGGATGGCGTCAAGTGCACACTCCGTCGCGCGCTCGGCAGCATACAGGATCGCACCAGCGCAGTCCTGAGTGCGGATGGCGCTGTTGCTTGCCTCGCTGCTGGAGGCCGCGGCCTCATCGATTTGACGGGCCGTGGTGTAGGTGTACGCGCGCGATGCGGAGAGCTTGGTGTACATGTCTGCGAGTTTACCCTGGATGAGTTGGTTGCGGGCGATTGGGATGCCGAATTGTTTGCGGGTGTGGGTATATGGTAGCACAAGGTCAAGGGCCGCTTGCATGATTCTAAATAAGAAGAAAAGGACGGCAACGCGGGGGGGGGGCGTGTGCCGGAGGGGTTTGTTCAGTTAGCAAACGCTGTGTACATTATCGGTGGGAATTTTCGGCTTTGACGCTATTTCCCGCTACCTCAACTTCTTATATTGAATGGTAGCAGGGGTTCAATCGCTTACCCAAGTGGTCCTGCGCTGAGGACGAGACGTTCCAAGTCAAGCCCCTCCATAAGCACCTTCACGCCGCGATTAAGCTCCCCCAGCATATTCTCCCGTGGCACGAACACGCCTTCAAAGATTAACTCGCCAGTATTTGAACCTCTCATGCCGAGCTTGTCGAGTTTCCGAGCGCAGGAGAAGCCCTTGAATGTCTTCTCAACAACGAAAGCAGTGATACCCTTTGAGCCCTGGTCAGGCTTTGTTTTGGCGTACACAACTATATAGTCGGCATCGGGTCCCTACAGGTCATGCGAGCAAAAGACAAATTTAGAAAATTATATTCCATTGTCATGGGTTGATGACACGCAATTGGGGTTAGCTAGTGTGGTACTCACGTTGGTAATCCACATCTTTGTCCCGTTAAGCAAAAATCCTCCATCCACAGCCTTAGCAGTGGTCTTCATGCTGACGACATCCGAACCTGCAGAGTGCTCTGACATTGCCAGCGCACCAATCTTCTCCCCTGAGATCAGACCTGGGAGAAATCTGGCTTTCTGTTCCGGGCTGCCATTCAGAGAGAGCTGGTTAACGCAAAGTTGGGAGTGGGCCGCGTAAGATAGACCAATGCTGCCTATTGTCCAAGAGTTAAAGGATTTGTCAGTGTATTATATCCCATTGTATACGAGCCCTAGCCGCCTAGAGAGGTATATGCACCTGAAGCCCGGCTAATTTCCTCCAAAACGACGCAATGCGCTTGGTAGCCCATTGATAGACCACCATACTGTTCATCCGCCGTGACACCTAGGAACCTTTGATTCAAAGAAAAATGGCCAGTCAGTACAAGCGGATACCAACTTAAACCACTCAAGAAGTTGGTGGCTTACCCAGCCTCTCCAAGCTTCTGCCACATGTCGGCGGGGAAGTCATTCTGGAGATCTGTGCGAGCAGCGACCTCTTCCGGAATCTCTCGTCCTGTGTAGCAGAGCACGCTTACTATTATTAGCCCTCCACTCAATGGACGAGAACGTTAACAATATCACAAAAAAGACACCCATACTTGTAAATTCTTGAACTCGCTCTCTCAGTTCCACTAGTTCCTCGTGTGTTGGTGGCACAAAACCCTGTGGATGCATTGTTGACGCCGCGCGCCATTGGGGAAGCTGGACCACCTGCCTCCGCGGCCTGCAGAAAGTTCTGGAAGCGCGGCCAAGCAGGCGAGGAAGACAGGGAGATGCCATATCGGGAGGCGCGTGAGAGTAGAATGGTAGAAGGGATGAGGAGTATACAGATACGACTATTATTTGTCAAGAAAGCAGCCAAAAGCAAAAAATAAGAAAAAAAAAAATACAAACAAGTCAGACCAGAATCAATCGATCGAATCTCCGTTGCCGAGCTTTCGGCAGACCTTCCCGATTGGGTGATGCCGAAACCCCGAGCTGCGGCTGCCGTCGGCTAACTGGCCCTGAGCCGGATCACGGGGGACGCAACGCAACTCTCCGCCTTGACAACACCCGAACATCGTTCCTTTTTTCTATACAACTTTTTTTTTTTTTCTTTTCTTTCTTTTTACCACTTCCAATTTGTTTTTGTGAGATATATACCCCGTGGGGGAGTGAGGGTTTGTTTATGTTGCTTCTGGCTCTATGATATGACAGAATAACCCAACTTATTTCTAATTCCTTCGTTGATCGCCCCTTGGTCATGGCTACCTCAATCCGTGCTCCCTCCACAATGCTCCTCCGCAGCCTTCGCACTGCCCTGACATCCAGTCGCCAATTGCGAATAGCGGCGCCTCGTGGTGCAATTGGCTCCCGCCAGAGCACAAGATCAATTTCCAATTACACGCATTCGCACCAGTCATCGGCTATATCTGTCCTGCCAACATCTGTCGACACCTCGTCGGCAGATTTCAAAGAGAATGCCGCTCAGATGGATGAGCTTCTGGCCAAAATGACTGATCTTCATTCCAAAATTGCCAAGGGAGGTCCTACAAAAGCGCAGGAAAAGCACATTGCTCGCGGAAAGATGCTTCCTCGAGATCGCGTCACGTCGTTGATTGACCCGGGAACTTCATTCCTCGAGCTCTCCCCGCTGGCAGGATACCAGGTTTACCCCGGCGAAGATGTTCCCTCGGGCGGTATCATCACCGGTATTGGAACAGTTGAGGGAGTCTCCTGCATGATCGTAGCAAACGATAGCACGGTCAAGGGAGGCACCTACTACCCCATCACGGTCAAGAAGCACTTGCGCGCACAGGCAATCGCCCAGGAGAACAAGCTGCCTTGTATCTACCTGGTTGACTCCGGCGGAGCCAACCTCCCCCACCAAGCAGACGTCTTCCCGGACAGAGACCATTTCGGTCGCATCTTTTTCAACCAGGCTAGAATGAGTTCTATGGGCATCCCGCAGATTTCTGTAGTTATGGGACCATGCACGGCAGGCGGAGCGTACGTCCCCGCCATGAGCGATGAATCCATCATCGTCGAGAACCAAGGCACCATCTTCCTCGCTGGCCCGCCACTCGTCAAAGCCGCTACCGGAGAGGTTGTATCCGCTGAAGACCTTGGCGGCGGCCACCTGCACAGCTGCGTCTCCGGCGTCACCGATTACCTCGCCGTCGATGACGCGCACGCCCTCGTCCTCGCCCGCAGATCGATCTCCAACCTCAACTGGCCCAAAACCACCCTCCCACTCCCACCCTCCCCCGCAAACCCAGCATCCACATCCTCCATCTCCTCCACGATAAAAGAACCCCTCTACGACCCCGCCGAACTCTCCGGCATCGTCGGCACGAATCTCCGGCGCCAAATACCCGCCCACGAAGTCATCGCCCGAATCGTAGATGGCAGCGAGTTCGCCGAATTCAAGCGCGACTACGGCAGCACACTGGTCACGGGCTTTGCGCGCATCTACGGCATGCAGGTCGGCATCGTTGCGAACAACGGCATCCTCTTCTCCGAGTCGTCACTCAAGGGCGCCCATTTCATCCAGCTGTGCGCCCAGCGCAATATCCCGCTGATCTTCCTGCAAAATATCTCTGGTTTCATGGTTGGCGCGGATGCGGAAAAGGGCGGCATTGCGAAGAATGGAGCTAAGCTCGTGACGGCCGTGGCGTGTGCTGATGTTCCTAAATTCACTGTTGTGTTTGGCTCCAGCGCTGGTGCGGGTAACTATGGAATGTGGTATGTCTCCTCTCCTTATCCCTTCCTCCTCTTTCTTTAATCCTTCAACAAAAATTTTCAATTGTTTAATCCAAGCTAACCACCCAACCAGCGGCCGCGCCTACTCCCCCCGCTTCCTCTACATGTGGCCCAACGCCAAGATCGGCGTGATGGGCTCCGAGCAGCTCTCCTCAGTCATGGAGGCTGTGGGCCGCACGGTCGACCCGAAGCTGAAGGAGCGCATCGACACGGAGTCCGAGGCGACGTTCTCGTCGGCACGGTTGTGGGATGACGGCGTGATTCCGCCGGCGCATACGCGGATGGTACTCGGGTTGAGTCTTACGGCTGCGCTGGGCGGGAGGGCTGAGGAGGAGGTGAAGACGAAGTTTGGGGTTTTTAGGATGTGATGATGGTTTGAAGCGGGATTGGTTTTATTATTATTTTACCTTCGTCCCATTTCCTTTCGTTTTATTATTCCCTTTGTGTGTGTGTGTGTGTGTGTGTGTGTGTGTGTGTGTACGTATGTATCGACAGCACTTATATATGAGATTTTTCCATATGATCGTTTTATACTCTCTGACTAGAAAAAAAAAACATTATATTATGCACTTAGATGGAGGTATTAACTATTACCATTTCTCCCTTTGAGTAACACCCCTCGCCTCCGGATTTATCTTACCCGCTCCAGAAGACGGCTGGAGTTAAAACAGGTGGGAAGGTCATACATAGATAGATAGGGGAAATAGAGTTTTCTACGGCGACACATACCCCTAGGCGTATGAACATCGTATGTGTGTGTAGACGAAGGAGGTGGTGATAGATAAGAAAGAGCAAGAGCCACAAAGGAACGCTTTTCTCAAGTACAATCTGTAAAAAATGATTTGAAAATGAAAGAAGAGGAAAGTTGTTCCTCCTTCTCCTCCCTTCCCCCCCTTCTCTCCCGCGCGGGTGGTTGATTAGACGCCAACACTTTGCTTTGCTTTATCCACAACGTACGGTACCTCAGATCCCTACATAATTTCACATTTTCACATATTCTCTCACCTCACCAAACCAAACCACAAATCAAGAAAAAAAAAAAAAAAAAAAAAAAAAAAGAAGAAGAAGAAAAAACAATAAGTCCACCAATATTCAGACCTGCTATTCTTTATATATGTATGTAGACATGTATACAAGAGTATTTTACCACGTCTGTTGAAAACCCTCCGACATATACACAGACCCCCCCCCCGTACACACAAAAAAAGAAAAAAGAAAAAGGGGGGAAAAAGGGGTGAAGGAAGACAATGTGCAAAAAGAAAAAAAAGGGACTTTATATATAAAGATAGAAATTTTGTTTCATCCATGTGAACATTTCAGATGGCGTGGCGGGTCGTTAATAGTTGGGCAATTTGATGAAAGTGAAGGGAGGAAATGACGTTATATAGATAGAGAGAAAAGGGGAAGTTGGAAAAATGGATAATGGAGACAAAAAAAAAGAGGGGGAAAGGAAATATATATGGCCTAACGAAGACAAAAGAAAAATATCATCCCATTGCCTTTTTCTTTTTTTTTTTTTTTTCTTTCTTTCGTTGAGCAACAAAAAAAAAAAAAAAAAAGAAAGAAAGAAAAGAAAATTCTGTCCAGGTAGATAAAGTAAAAAGAGAAATGGGGGGGGGGGGGGAGAAATATCATAAACAGAATAGAAAAAGGCCCAGTAAAGAAAAGGGGTAAGTAAGTACGAAGAGCCATATATCATGTATATAAATAAAGAAAAAGAAAAAAGGAAAAAAACCCCATTTCAACGAAGAGGAAGGGAGAAAAGAAAAAAAAAAAAATCACAAAATCACACAGTCCCCTTTTGCCTTCGCTCTCCTCCGATTCCTTAACCGCCCACCACTTTGTCGATTCTGACCTTCCGACCCACCAATCCCATCTGCTCCACCACCGCCGCCACCGCCACCACCACTCCTCCCATTCATCGCCAGCTCCATACTCCGCTCCTGACTCGCCTGAATATCCTTGCGGATAATCTGCCGACACAGGTCGATGAAGACCTCGTTGACGTTCGCACGGCGGCGGGCGGAGGTTTCATAGTACGGCGAGTTCCCCCACTGTTGGGAGAGGGCGAAGGCGCGCGATCGCGAGACGGCGCGGTCTTCCTCGAGGTCTGATTTGTTGCCGACGATGACGATGGGGACGTTCTCGTCGTCTTTGATGCGGATGATTTGTTCGCGGAGTTCGGCGAGTTCGGAGAGGGAGGAGGTGGAGGTTATGGAGAAGACGAGCAGGAAGCCTTGGCCTTGTTTCATGTAGAGTTCTCTGGGGTTGGGGGTTAGGTTAGATGGGGTTTTCTCTTTTAATTCTCTCGGTTACTTTTTATGTTTTTTTGCTGCGGTTTTTCTTTTTGGGTAAGATGCATGTTGGAGGAACGGGGTAGAGGTCTAAAAAGGGGAGAGATCGGAATGTATGTCGATGGTACATATTTTGGGAAAAAAAAAAAAAAAAAAAAAAAAAAAAAAAAAAAAAAAAAAAAAAAAGAAGTAAATCAAAGAAACGTGGGGTACAAAATGCAGAAAATTCATACCTCATCGCAGCTAGAAGTAGACCATCAGATTACAATCCAATCCAAGGGTATGTAGAAGAGGGAATCATCAACTCACTAAATTGTTCAGAGAAGACGATGCCCGAGTCAACCCGGTCAAATTCTGCAAACTGAACCCTTGTCTCGCGTTAGAGCAGGCGCTTGCGGAGTCGAGGAAGGGATAAAAACAGAAAAAAAAAAAAAGAAACGAAAAGAAAAAGAAAGAAAGAAAAAGAAAAAGAAAAAGAAAAAGAAAAAGAAAAAGAAAGAAAAAAAGGAAGAAAGAAAGAAAGAAATCTCCTCTCGTCGATTTGGCTGCCTGGGACCTCTCTTATACAGCTTGTATAGCTCTCTTAAAGTGACGGACTGAATAGACCAGCGAAGAGGAATATATATCCCGGTTATCCAAAAAAAAAAAAAAAAAAAAAAAAAAAAAAAAAAAGATTGATGAGCGGAACTGGCCCGCAAGCAGAAGAGGTCGGGAATGTTGTTGTGGTCGCGACACTGACAACTAGACAAAGCGTGTAGGTATTTATCCTTCTTCGGGTACAAATATAACTTTGTACAAGACCCTAAACACGCCGCCGTCCGCGGAAGATAGCACCTCTAGGATGCAAAGGCCGGCGGACCAGCAAAATGCGATGCGGGTTTACCGGGGGAGCGGCGCCACGAGCAGCACAAGGATCTAGGATGTTTTCGAAGGACAAAGGACAGATCCGGGGGTCGGTAGGGGAGAGAAAAGCTGGCTTTTACTATTGGGGGTGGGATGGAGCAGACAGGCGGCTTACGCAGTAGTAGGTAGGGTAGGAGGTAGGGTTGAAGTAAATATAAATAATAAGCAGGGCGGACAGCGATTGGGGCGCTCGATCGGCGGAGTGGGACAGGACGCAGGAGGCCTCGATCACGTTGTTTTCGGCGCTGCGAATAGAATCCGGCGGACAAGGATTGGGGGTTGATATGGAGGACGGGGGGACGGGGGGAATGGGGAATGGGGAATGGGGAATGGGGAATGGGGAGGGGAGGGGAGTGAGGCAGAGAAGTGGAGCGGGAGGTGGCGGTGATGGTGATGATTCAGTTGGTGTTGTTGGCTTTGCTATTGGCGACGGCGGGCGCAGGCAATGGGTAAGTTAATCAATGCAGCCCTGGAACGGAAGACGAGACGAAAGTTAAGGATGGACAATCAGCAGCGTGGATGTTCAGCAGCGCATGGAAGAGTGCGGTGTGATGTTGGTGTAGTGTGGTGTGGTGTGGTGTGGTAGGGTAGGGTAGGGGAGGTTAGGGGGGAGTCTTTTCTACAAGTCAATGAGAGAGAGAGAGAGAGAGAGAGAGAGAGAGTTAATAAGTTGTTAATTGGGAAAAACAAATCGCAGCAATTGGGGGCCGAAGCAGCGGTGGGACAGCGAGAGCCAGAACAGAATGCTGACGAGGAATGCTGCAGCTGCAAAGGGAAAAAATGAAGGGATTCCAAGAGACAAGAAGAATAAATAGGATGGAGAAAAAAGGGAGGGAATTTGGGCGGTTTTTTTTTCTTTTTTGTCTCTTTTTTGTCTTTTTTTTTTTTTTTTTTTTTTTTTTTTTTTTTTTTTTTTTTTTTTTTTCTCCCTCTCCACGCACACAAACACAGACACACAGAGAGACTGACAAGAGTTTGGTTTAGACTCAACAGAAGAAAAGAAAAGAAAAGAGACGGGCCATGGAAGTTTGACTGTTTAGCTCAGAGAGTAGTGTGTGGCTGAGAAAGTATATGGCAGCATTGGATGAGATTTAGATTAGTTAGTTATAGTAACTAACTATTAACTAGTTAGAGAAAGGCGGAGATTTCAATTAATATCATTTCAATGCTTCTGATCAGAGAGATATTGGATATTTCCCAGAACATCCATATATCCAATTGATATCTAGATGTGATTCTAGAATTGAGAGTACTGTTACAGGCCTTGACAGCAATTGAACACTGTTCAAAGCTTCATAAACGGGATAGAAGATGACTAGTTACTTCTTCTATTTAAGATTATATGTATGAATATGCATTGGACATGAAAACTGTAGATACATAGTTACATCTTCTCAATTCTCTGAAAGACCTATTCTGATAACTCCTCTCACTACATCCAACTCAAAGGAGAAAAATAACAATGAGTCTGAACTATTTATGTCAAGAACAAATTCCTTCTCTACAGACAGTAAATTTGTTATAATATCTCAGCCTGAGCTATTTTCATTACTATAACGAAAAGACTTTACGAGCGCATCGTAGCATCAGCCACAGCGCGCAAAGTCTAGATTCGCCAGTTTCCCCACAGCTGCCATTTTATAAAAAAGAGGCCGACATCTTGGCTGGAAGTGTCAATGTGTGTGTGTGTGTGTGTGTGTGTGTGTGTGTGTATCTGTGTATATACGTATATACAGCGTATATGTGAGTTGAAGCATATCAACAGTATCAACATTCTATTTGTTAAGTTATTTGTTGGTGGTAGCTGCACAGTATTATTTATTATTATTTACCTAACTACAGGTTTGCTGCTAATTATTTAATAATAACTATCTATCCTCCGGACGCATTGAGCAGTTGATCCTTGTCAGACCAGTTTCTCTGATATGGTTAAATATCCCGGATTCGCTCTTCGTCCCGTTCTTTTTTGGTTCTTATTACTCTGAATGAGTCCATTATTGAGAATTTGAAGAAATGTGCAAAAGGAAAAGAAGCGGAGGAAGGACTCGGATCACACCTCTCAAACAGTTTCAGTATTTAAGTGTCAAGTGTTCATTCATTCAGTCTAGAAACAACTCATGGACCCCCTTCATAGTTATTTAATTTCAATTCCACTTCCAACCTTCCACACAGCGAATAAATAGCCTTGAAAGAGATACGTAAAATTTTGATCCATCCACTGGTTTACCATATTTTATCATTTGATCCATCTATTATTATTTATGAAAGCTCCCTGCGTGAAATTTCCAGCCTTCTAGCGGTCAAAATATACTTCCATTCCATCACTGGGAGCGGTGACTTGACTGTTCTTATCCTACCTAGGAAGGGCGGCGGTCAGCTCAATGCCATGCCATGCCATGCCGCCAAATACGTAACTAAACCTAGTCAACCATCCCATCCTATCCTGACACACTTCGAGTTTTGGATTTTTGGATTTTTGGATTATTATTAGTTATCTAAGTTAAAAACTTTTCCGGTTGAGGCGGGGTACACTCAAGGTTTTGTTTGTATGCTTCCTGTCCCTTGTATCTAAAATATCAATCACTGTCAGGGGGAGAGAGCTCTGCTTGTTCGTATTAACTATTAAACAGACATAGCTTGGAATCCTCTTCCGCTTGCAAAAAATGCGGTAATGAGCAATATTTACACCCACTTACTCCTGTTGAGATAAGAGATTTTGGGTCAACTGGTATAAAACTTCAGGAGTAAAGTAATAATAATGGGAAGCGGTATCTCTTCTTAAAATTGAGCTAACTATCAGTCTCGATCTCTCTTACCAGTGACTGTTTGCCTGGGGCTTCAAATAAGTTTAAATAATTTGAACGGCTCATTGTAGCCTCCTTCTCTTCTATTTATTTATTTATTTATTCCTCTCTTGATTTTTGCTGTCAGCAGAAGGGAGCCCCTTCGTTCGCTCAGGGGCGTCGAGTTGAGTCAATTGTATCCCACAAAAAATTCCAATATCTCCTGAAGCTGAATTATTCAGAAGTCCATGCGAAAAAGAAAAAGAAACAAAAGACAGTGAAAATATCCACCCATGTAGTATTAAGAAACTGTTGGAGGTTATGTTAGTTAGCTGAATACTAGCCTTGCATCAGCATCAGCCTCTGGCTATCCCCCAAATCCCAAATCCCATTCTTCCCCCATTCTTCCAAACACTAGACCATAATAATATCTCTGGAGGGAGTAAAAGCGACGGCATCCCCTAATGCTTCTCAATTTGTTATGGTTTTCGCTTGGTGAGATCCTCGGCCAATTCCAGTGCTCCCGGCGTCATAGCCCACGCGGGATAGATATATCGCAGCATTACCTGCACCTCTGATAGTGTGCCAGGCGAATACATACCAGGCATCGCATGCAAATGTTCTTCCGGCTCGAGCAGAACTTCCCAAAAGTGCTTGTTGGAGCTGTGGATCGCCCTGTAGAGTTCCTTGACCTGCCCTTCTACCAATGCAACCGCCGCCGTATGATCGCCGCGGTGTAAGATTTCCGCATTATTCGCAATGATCGAGCTGCGCAGCTGGCGGGCGTCAGCCATCACCGCGCCGGCCGCGCTTGTGCTCTGCATATGCAAGTCCTTCAGATCCAAAAGCATCCGGACCTTAACCAACATAACCCCCGCGCCAACACACACACATCGAGGAACGGCGGTGACACACATACCCCAACATCCTCGAAGGCATCCGCACCCTTCACGTCCAGGAACGGCAGCTCCATATCCCCCCAGTCGTAATCGCCCCGCTGGCCCATCGTTCTCGTACCACTTGAGGAAATCATAGCACTCCGGATCCATGCCCAGCTGTAGCATCGCGCCCGGCATCGCGCTGCGAATGCCAACGGTGTCACTGCGGCTCAGACGCAGCATGTCCCTCGCGTGCTCCAGCTGCATCTGCACCGACTCGCGACTATCGACGTCCAGCAGCGCGTGGATAAACGCGCTCCGCGCACGCATGTACGGGCGCATGCCCCAGAATTGGCCGCCGACGCTGCTGTTGAAGACGTCGCCTGGGAACAGGATGTCTGCGGGCATGTCGCGCAGTTTCTGCTCCTCGGTTGCGAGGGTGGTGCGTGTCTTGCCGATTTTGCTGCAAGGCGGTCTTGTGCGCGTTGCGGTGCTCGGTGTGGTGCTCGCGGCTGCAGTAGTATTTAGACCACTTGACAGCGGGAGCAGCGCATGGTTCTCTCGGGCGTTTTGCACAGCCCGCATGCTCTCTCTGCTAGTTGGAGGGGCTCGTTGGGCGCCATTGAGGTCTCCATTATTTATGAAGTTGGACTTTGTGTGTTGGCCCTGTACAGAGTGATTAGGATTATTTAGGTATTTTGGGACATTCTTGAACGGCAAGGAACTTATCGTACGAAATATATGCTCAAAGGATAAGTTGAAACTTCAGCTCCGACGCTAATCACCTTTCTTTGCTATTTACGTTAAACAGTAACACCCTCTTTTTTAAGATTCTCAATCAAGAACTCTCGATGGTAGCAAAATATCAGGTGTCATGTTGACGCGGGCTTGGACGCGAAGTGGCTGAAAAAAGTATTTAAACTGTTAGAGTTTCCCCTATTGCCTCTCTATTCTTCTTTCATGGCTGAATTCTTCTCAAATATCTCGGTTATATACACAGTATACATATATATTTTTCTAGCTCATCAAGCTGTTTTTTATAGATGAACTCGTCTTTCTTTCATGGTCATTGAGCAAGCTTATCTAGGAAAGCTGCTTTCCCCTCTTTGTAGTTATTATAGGTATTCCAGGATTTTTTAAAATAACTAGAACTCATTTTCTCTTTTCTCCTTCATCCTCCCGCCTCCAAGCTTACGACAGCAGATCACCGCTGTTTCGCAGCTATCCCGTTCTACCACGAGCACTCCTTCGTCTTGATGTAGCCTCAGCCTATTTCCAAGCGAGCACCCTGTGATATTTTCATTTTCCTCCTCTCGAAGATCTTACTCTTCTTTTGTAAAAAGACACACTGGAGCATCTGTCATCTGTTTTCAGGCGGTGGATGGGATCATATTCCACAGAGCTGGAATGGCAGTCCAGCTCTGACGCAGGAATCCTTGCCTGACGTATTGGATCGAATTTTCGGGTTTACGATGCGATGGATGGGGGCCAATCGACAAACAGCTTCTTGGATGTGGCACATCTGCAGGATTGGTACAGAGTAGAGCAATGGAGATATACTTTCACTCTGTCCCGATGGACAAGATACCAGTAACTCTGTATGGCTGGCACTGGATCCCAGAAGCAATGGCTTCTTTTTGACAAGGGGTTGACGGCCAAAAGTGCAGATACATCAACATCAAAGAGGGTTTTTCATTGGAATCTGAACATCAAGATTAGTAGAAGTCAAAATGATTGTACTTAGAAGTGTAGAACCACAGTTATGCTGCTGATATTCAGAGCGTAAAAAATGTATCTGCTTTGCTAGCGGCTGCCTTTGCCGAAGATTCGTGGATACTGAGAGATATATGGACGTGGATAATTTCCAGATGCCTTCGGACTTCTCAATATGTGTAAAGCATAACAAAAGGGTGTTGGGTGGAGGATGAGAGAACATGCCCCCACACCTTGCTGGGAAGTGTAGGAAAGAATCTCATTCTGAGAGTGCTAATGTTGATATAAGTAAGGCTGCATTTGAATAAATAACTAGTTGAACTGAAAAGGGTATGTTGTTGAATGGTTCCACTGCATCATTGCAGCATTTCCTTCAGTTTGATTTCATCATCAAAATTCTTGATGCGGTTATTTAAACAATCAAACACATTTATGGTGCAGCTCGTTGATTGGAGTTACAGCAAGGCAAGATATGTCAACTCAATAACAAAGGATGACTCCAGGAACAAACTCGATTGGAAGTTTTTCTAGCGAATGGGAAATTGGAGAAATGATCCATGAGAAGAAGCCCATCATGGAATTTATGCTCCAAAAATCTCTAAATACGAGCGACTTGACCGACTATTATAAATTGCCCCCCCCCCTCCCCCCCAATAATGCAACACCCACACAATCGCTGCTTACATCCAAAGCAGAGCCCCAATCGCAGCCCCAGCCCCGGCCATCAACGAACCCTCCAGGAAAGCACCCGCATTCGGAGTTTCAGATGGCGCCCTCGATGAACCCGAGCCACTTGCATTCGTGCTCATCGCCCGTCCAGGGAGCCGGCGGCTGCGTGATGCCCGGAGCAGTACCACCAGTACCCGTTTCCGTCCCCATCCCCGTGGTGGTGGGCGCCGGAGGATTGCTGCCAGTCACCATCGCCTCCGTCCCCGTCCCCGTCTCTGTGGCCGACGTAGGGTCGCTGGGGCTCTCTGTGGTAGACGGCTAGTAGGAGAGGGAATGATGCGGACGTCGCGCGCGTCAGGGTGCCGGTGTAGGCGGGGCAGCCGGGGACGTCCTTCTTGATAGGCGTGCGTCCGCCGCCGCAGTCGAGCGGGTCGCAGATCATCCCGTCGTCCGGCCCATTTCCAACTCACGGTTCTCAGATAGCGCTGGCATTGCCGCCTCCTGCCCGTCATGGTCTACTGAAGCTCAGATTGTAGGGAGGAGAGGTAGTATCCATCCGTCGTTCCGGTTCTTTTCAAGAATAAATACTACGATCCGGAGTCCGTGATGAGATATCAATACCACATCTTGCCTTCGCTGTACCTGTGCAGTGCTGAATGAAGACGACCCTGCTTGGTAACCCTGTCTTTGTGAGGAACCTGGAAAACAAGGAATAACCTCCCCCCTATCCCGATAGGGAGGACTGTCGTCATGCTGTACACTTAACGGAGCACTGATCACAATCTGACCTATGTCCTGGAGCGAGGCCGCAGAGAACATCTTGATTCTAACTTCATTCGCATTGCAACGGGGGTTGTATGGTAATTAGTTAGTAGAATTAAGTTTTGTAATGTGCATGTATGTATGTATGTATGTATGTATGTATGTATGTATGTATGTACTGTACTGTACAACAATGAGAAGCGCACCTGTATTGATCATTGCGTATGGCTGAACTGCGTGAAAAAACCATTGCAAACTCCCGTTCCATCTGTACAGATCTATGTATATCCGTGCCAAAAAGGAAACAGACGGGGGAAAATAAGAATGTAAAGAAAGGTATGAATAAAACACCTTCCCTTCTTGACATGGGCGGACGACGGTCACTTAATAATATCATTACAGTAGAAAAGCAGCAAAGGCTTGTCAGCTCTCATCTTCTCGATTCCCATTAGCCAGTTTGACCCGTTCATCGTCAGAATAAGAGGGTAGGCCTGAAGATCGCGCGTGCAAGGGCTGTTCCGATAGCGGAATCTTGGCCTCGGTCAGCGCAAACTGGGGCCGAGAATTCTCGACCGGGATTTCGTTCTCATCTTGATCGTGGTGGAGAGAATCAGGGTTATTTTCCTTCATGAGATAGTCTGGCTTCTCAGCCGGCCAGCCCGTGTGATTTAAGCCATGTGACCACAGCGCATCCAAGATGTGCGGAAATGCCTGATCAGCAACGTCCCTCGCCCAGAGGAAGTCCAGGTGCTCATAGTGGGAAATCGATATTGCTTGTGTATGGCTCGGGAGTTCCTCGAGCATCACATCGATATCCACTAGACTATCACGACCCCCATAAACGAGGACGATTGGCGTTTTGATATTCTTTGTGGGGAATTTTGCGGGCTTGTAGTAGCGGTTGCTTTTATTAATGCTGACAGAGGGTCCTGCATCGTCATCGTACATCTGAAAGCTCTTGTTGCGGATAATCTGGAACCAATGTACGACGGACTTGGTGCTTGTGAATGAGTAGAGATGCGGATATGCCGCAAGTTTCTGATCGCTGCTGATGTTGACGCCGCTCCAGTTGAACAGGAATGAGAGGGATATGTCGATGATGCGGACAAAAATAGGTGGGTAGAGGATTGTTTGCCACATGGGTGTGGAACTGAGGATGCTTCGACGCCCGAATGCTAAGAAGAGAACGTTCGGAGACGCTTTCATGAGAGCGTCGACAACTCCATTGGCAAGTCCAGCTGGAGACATTGCCGGGGCTAGTGCTATGAATAAGTTGATTTTTTGGTTGAGTGTAGGGTGGATAGAGAGTGTAGCGAATGCTTGTGCGGTCCCTTGGGAGAATCCTATATAGGATAATGCCTTCTGTGAAGTGACAGACAGTATGTATTCGATACTGTCGGGGATGTCGTAGAAGGCGAATTCGTCCATGGAGAAATCCCAGAAGGCTATTGATGATGGAGCGTGGGTTCCTGACTTCTTTGAGTACTTGTTCCCTCTATTGTTTCCAAACCATACATCATATCCTTTATCGACGAGCTGGAATGGGAGGCAACGCTTTTCGTCTGTCAAACAGACCCATACTTCACTATTCATGAGCAAACCATGGTGCAGATAAACTACTGGCTTCTGACGGGTGCCGTCGTAAGCGTTAGCTTTCGAGAAGCTTTCGCCTTTCTTCCGCGGCAGTCTGTGCAAACCAAGAAGATAGCCATCGCCCGTTTGCACTACATGCTCTTCCGCTTCATAGCCCCAGAGCGAGCACAGTTCTAGAAAGTCTGAAGCACGCGCAACCTTTCCTGAGGTTGATGTTTGCAGCGCTCGTACTCGGCGCCCTTGTGGCGAAGCCAAAACCTTGAATATGACCTTAGACTGCTGATAGCAAAATTGTATGATCGGCTGAGCTGTGTTAAAAAGGTCAGAGTTATTGTTCCGGAGTAGAAGATAACGTTGATACTTACGAAGACAGAATGTTATGATATGTAATAGGCCTTCGATGAATATTAATACGAGCGAGCTGAATAGGGCTAGATACTCGTTCCTGAGGACAACCAAGACGCCGTTAATTACATTTCAGGGGTACTGTGACAAGCGGTTAGCAAAGGCGATCTAACTCACCAGAACAGCCTTCCAATGAATGGAACACGAGCCATATTTCAAACTCTTTCAGCGACACGGCCAAACACCTAGAGTATAAAATTACAGCAACATAGGTAAAAAGGGGAGCAAGAAGGAATGATGTTCTGCGTTGGATGTGATATTATTAAATCAAATGGCTTCGCGACGTCATAAAAACACTGCGCCGAAGCCCAAAAAGGGAAAGTCTACCGGTTGCTTATGTCACCCAGATAAAGTTTTGCAACTAGACTGTTTATAATTTAGCGCCTAGCTCCCTTCAACCGCGGGAATCATCCACGCAGAAGAATGAAGACTTGAACCCAACCGCCGTGCTGTTTCCTGGAGTCGCCTGCAATATCTTTTAAGAATATATATAGCCTGTTAAAACGGCATTTGGATTGATTCCCACCAATATAGATATATGCTGTTCAGCCATAAGCCCCTTGGTGAAGAAACAGAGATAAATTCACTATGCCCAGCTCTTGCAAAGATATCCGTATGCGTCAAATTCCCATGCTCCTCCTGCGCTCCGCTCCGCTCCGCCTTTGACATTCATATCCCTATGGATGAGCCAAGTTTCCCTTATCTCTCTCTCTCCTATTAACTAATCGCTAACTAAAACGTCTGCTGTTAATGTAGGCCTCGCACTGGCGCAATGCTTGCAGCAATCCGATTGTATAATGGTCCAAGGCAAAACACCGCAAGAGTGCCTCCAACCCCCCTACCTCGATACCCTGCCCGTGAAATGCCAGCAACTGCGCAAAGGCCTTAGTGATTGCAAGTGCGTTTTAGCTTTCTCCTATTCCACATCTTTCAATTCCAACCTCTCCTCTTCATTTTTGTCCTTTTTGCTTCATGACAGACCACCTCATCAACAAAGCGAATACTCCCTAGCTAACAATTTCCATTTCTCAAACACACACAGACGAGGGATGGTAGACATGCGCAAACGGTTCCGCGGCAACCAGCCTATAGCCCTGGGCAGCGAAGTCGACCCCGCAACTGGCGAAGTTATCAACAAGTCGAAGCCTGTCGGACAGCTGTATGGCGGCAAACCCGCCTTCCAAAGTGTCAAGGAGATCAGTGGCGACGAGGTCCAGATGGATCCGGAAAAGACGAGAGGATTATAAGTGTTGCGGGGTTAGGGGAGTGAGGTAACTTTTGGCCGGTTTTGCTAGGCGGGGGAGGAGGAGGAGGTAAGCGGACGATGACAGGGCAGGGATGGTAAGAGGAGAGCGCTGCTGGGAAGTGTATGATATATTTTTACGATGAGAGATGAGAGTGGCACGATCGATCGTCTTAAGCATAGGGCCATAGGCGGCGTTGTTGTCTTCGGGATACATATCATTTTTGGGGCATTGGCGTTTTGGAATTTTTTTTCTTTTGGGATGATTGTGCAGCTATTTTGAGCCCACCAAGCCAGCTATGATGTACAGTACATACGGACGGATACGCCTCACATAAATAGCGCGCCTTTGATTGAGTGTATAATTATAGACCATTGCGATGAGTTACCAAAACCAAAAATCGTTTCTTCACCAGGAACTCCCTAGCTTGATTATAATAGAGATACTGGTATGACTGCTAACATTCCCGACACCAATTCATCTCTTTCTCTTTTTATGTGGATCTAAAAGTATAAAAAAATATGAAACGGAACAGCCAAAACAGACAGGTATAAACCACAAGTGTTAAAATACATTATAGGAACATAAACTGAACCTTTCCTCGTCATTTTCGGGCCTCTGCGTCCTTGAGCCCGCATCAAGATAAAAACGAAATATAGAAGAGCCCCAAATGCGACGGAAAAAAAAGAAAAGAAAAGAAAACTTGATAGACATTGAAATACAAATGCCAAATTAATGCATATCAGATACACACAGACACAACATGCGCAATCATTGGACTTTCTTAGACCAGTTTGCCTCCGTTTCTGGGGGGGCGGAATACAACCATACTGCGACGAAAGCTAGAAAACCACCAATAACAGACCACAACCCCGCAATCCAGACCCAGCCGCCTGTGATTTTCCAGCTACGGGGCCACTCGTCATGAGCGAAATGCCGAACAGTGACCTGCTCCTTTACATCGACGTTGGTGAGGAAAGGCCGTTTGTAGTTGACGCGGAACGAGAATATACCATGTTGATCGGGCAAGGTGAATGAGGTGCTGTACACGGTGCTATTTGCGGTCTTGGCCACGGGTTTGAGAGTGAGGCGGTGGAAGGGCGATAGCATGGTAAATTCGAGTTGAATGGCGTCTTCTTCGGGGATTTCGAAGGGGATATAGTGGTCGTAGTCGTACTCGGAGAGCTCGATGTTAAATGTCTAGCAAAGTATCGATATTAGCTAATATCACAATATAAAGGATTAGATGATATTTCCCAAAACGTACCACCTCGTTCTTTATCCGGTATATCGAAGGGTTCAGTTCTCCGGATTCATTCGACGGAGCAGATTCCGCAACCGCATCTGCACTCAAGTAGTGTTGCACTTTGTCCACTTTAACCACACCAGTCTCCTTAAACGTCCAAGCGCTAACTTGCTTTGCAAACTCCCTGTTCACCGTCTGTGCCTGTTCCCCAGCCTTCGGGCCCTTAACGGTGGCCGAGAACCACTTGTCTTTAAGACTCTCCACGGACCCTATGACCGTTAACCGGGCCGAATTCCTTGCCTGCATTGCTGAGACCAATGAAATCTGCGACCCAAACGCGAACGAGTCTTCGACCGTCTGTTCCTGCTCCTTCGCGTCATAGCTATATGCCGTCTCGGGAGCTCGAAGTATTGGAGCAAGTAACGGCCTGGCAGCTCCCAATGACTGGCCCGCAGATTTGGGGAAGGCGACCACTCCTTCGCCGGAGAAGTATGATTTAAGGTCTGGGCGGAGTGCTTTAGGCCGGGGGAGAAGAAGAACGTCATGTTGTTCAGGAGAAGAGAGGGTGTCGTAGTTGAAGTGGTCGACAACGAGCGCGTTGCGGTCAGAAGAGAGGTTTATATCTAGCTCTAGCAGGAGGGAGCTGATTGTGCTGGAAATCGCTGAACCGCCTGCGAGGGCGAGGAGAATGTTTCCTTCGCTGTTCATAAAATTGACCAGCGCTTTGGGCGATAATGCAGGCCCGAGTCCTGTATTTGCAATCGCTGTATTTAGTATCCGCCTCATCTAACATCCTCATGCGCAACCACAACAGCAACACAACCTCACTGACCTTTTGCCTTGCTTGGAGGGAGAAGAACAATGTGGTCATATGCTCTCTCTCCATGCTTAAATAGTGAAAGGCCCTCATCTTTGGGTGATTGAAATGATATAGAGTATCCCCGACCTATATATATATATTGGTGAGCTGGTGTAGTTCAAATAGAACCGATTGTTTTGTCCTATTTTTTTTGCAATTATATATATCTCACCTTCTAGATCCTTCCAGAATGTCGAGAACAAGTCCTTGTCTGTGACATTGCCTAGAATGGCTAGCAGTCGGTTGCCATCGCTGCTGAGCGCATGGACAACAGCTCCCCAGAGCCCAACGAGAAGCAGAGAAAGAAGCCACCGCATTGTTGATATAGGGCCCGTCCGCGCGGGGAGGCGGACAAAAAGAAAACGGGGAGATTAGCGGTGGACGTAGCTGGGGCGTAAATATGGCCTGAAATGCAAAGCCGGAGGACTGCTCAATTCCTCGTGGAAATGTTGTAAGTCTTTTCCCGTCGTAGATGTCGGCGGAAACAGGCAACGTGTTGGTCCCAGGAACGCCAAGACCGGCAAGCGTGTGTGATCCAAATGCTTTGCAGCAACCAACATTCTCCGAAGCCCATCATCATCACCGTTCACCGTCACCGTCACCACCGCCACACACCACCACAACCAGCATTACCAGTACATACAATCACCAGCATAACCTCCTGCGCTCAATCTAACCTCTCTTACAGTCGCACTGCTACCCCACCGCATTGCGCGACTACTGCGTAAAACTTCTCAACAACCGCCCAATTGAACCTCCCCCGGGCATCGTCGGCCATTGGCCCTCCAACCCTCATCATCCGCAATGTCCGCACCGCAGTTCTGGTCCACACCCTTCCGATACATGCGATGGGCAGCGCATGAGAAACCAGCTATCTTCTTCAGCGTCATCATCGGCTCGCTAGGCCCTGTGGCACTCGTGTCCCTCCCGCCGATCCGACGGTATTTTGGCGACGTGGACCCCGCCCCGATTCCGCTGACTTATCCAAGTACGTTTGCTACGAACCACTTGTTATCTTCTTGTTTCGTTTCTATATGGTGTTGTGTGATTTCAATTGCTTCTGCTTTTGCCTTCTTCTCCCTTCTTCCCTCTACATTATCGTTTCTTGTCTCTATCCATGGTTGGAAAACCAGCTGGTCCAGCCTCCCTTTTGCTTCAAGGCAAGGTGTCTTGAATTATGTAGACTGCTGCTGTGAAACAAATGGCTAACTATACTCCTTCCCTTCCCCCTTCCGGTCATTTTTTAGTTCCTCCCGGCCCAAGACAGATCCCGAAAGGTTATGATGACGAGTAACTGAATTATCGAAGAAGGGAGAGGGAATAAATAAGGGGGCAGCAAGGTTTAGTAGATGCGGGGTCGCAGGCAATGGTGGGAAAGAAGGAATCTGTCCCCTGCTCAATTGGTTAAATTCTTTCCGGGAGCAAAATGGCGTCGATATAATGGTGCTTGAGGCTAAAAAAGCAAAATAAAAGAAACGAAAAGAACCCAAAAGCTTAACGATAAGGGGAGAAGAAAAGCTATAAAATAAAGGAATTTGGGAGGGGCTGGTAAGTCCCGAAAAAATATACATAAAAAGACATTGCTACTTCCTTCGTTCCTTTGGTGTCTTGTATCATACATAAAAACATTATCTCTCATATACACATTTTCCCCGTTTTTCCCACTATCGTACAGGCTCAACCCGCATAATTTTGAGGTGCATTTTTTCCCTCCAAGATCAAGCTCTTTTAAGGCAATTGTTAAGCTTTCCCACGTAGAAATATCATCGCCTTCTATCTCATCCATATCTTCAACTTTGAGCGCATTGTCATCCTGGCTTTGGCCAACATGAGGGTGGAGGGTGAAATCCTCTAGTGCAACAGCAAGGAGAAACGGACTTATTAAGAGGTATAGCGCGAGGATGTTTGAGAGCTTGCGGTGGTCCATCAAGTGCATTTAAGGCATCGTTATGTCAGCACGAGTTGCCTTTGGTGCTCCACCGGCGGTGGGAAGAGAGGTGGGAAGATCCAGGTCGGATTGCCAATACCCCTCGAGTACATTGAAGGCATCAACGATATCATGTCGACTTGCGTCTAATGAAAACAAAGCTTTGAAAAACTCAATGTCTTCTCGACTAGCACCACCGTAGAAGTGTGAACCAAGCCTAACATAGTGCATATCAGTATAACCTGAGGGTGGGGGATTATGTCGATGGTGTAAAACGGTGAGAAGAATATTTTTTATAAGATTCTAGCATCCTCCTGAGCTCATTAAAAGAATCAATGGACTGAGGGTGGTTGTGACCTAATGCCTCTATCTAGATTTCAAAAAAGGTGAACACCAGCGACAGCATTTCTTTGTATAAGTGTAGATTTTGCAAGCATGTGCATGGTTGTAGCATCTGGTACCACAAGTGGCAGCCACTGGATTCTTGATTTCTGCGTATCTCCAGTCATCCTCGAAGTCTTGACTCAATAGTTCGACCATGTCTGCCTCTTGATTCTGAAGAATGGAGAGTTCGTCGAAAAGGACACGTCAGTTTCATTGATGTAATTTGCAGCTTGTAGAATGGCTAACGGTAGGCAGCTAAATAAGCTCACGCAGGAGCAGGAGGGAAGTGTTCTCATCGTCGGCTAGCTCTTTACAAACTAGTGACGTTTTCAGAAGCTCCCCTGTTGTCACCTCATCCATCTCTTGAATTCTAATGACATCTGTGCGTACTAGCTTTGTTCCCGGCTGTTGGTTCCCTGTGATAAAGAGAATAAACCCGTTTTCGCTTTGCGGAACAAAAGATTTGAGTGCAGAAGAATAAGAATCGCCAATCCCTGTCCACATATTCATGTCATCGGCATTGTAAAAAAATCAAGAGCCAAGGGTGGCTCTTTTGAGAGTTTAGATAATCTCTAACTTGCGATTTTACTTCTGTAGATGTCACGGCCGGTAGTCCGCAACTTTTGCTGACGCTAATAAATCCCTGCTGGGCTGCTTCTGCACTGGTGGAGGCCATCCGAAAGACAGAGTAATCTAGGTTTCTATCTCGGACTTGAAATGCGACCTCGAGGGCGATCTGAGTCTTGCCTACCCCCTAGGCCTGGAATCGCCATTTTCCGCTTCCCACGCCTGCTTAGGATCGCATCCACTAAGCAAGAGACTTGTTCCTGGCGCCCAACAAATCCAGGATTTCAGTCAAAAGGCAGGGTCCAGCAGGACGTAGGCGGCGCTGGGACAGTAATATCACGGGTAACGGACACCACACTGAGGAATTTTTGCGTAAGCCGCGGCTACAAAAGCTGCATAGCCCTGCTACTGTTTATTCTTATGATAGTCGGAGTACCCGCATATCCCCCGGGGGACCAGACATGGTAGTTGATTCAATCAATCCGGCAGCTTCCATCTGGTAACATTAGATGTCATATTCTTTCGCGAAACGATCCCGTTTCTTTCCATCCTTTATCACCTTGTTCCCGGAGGCAATGAGTCCATAATGGATTCGAGGGTCGTCGGAAGCTCTTATGTCTCGCTGTATGATGTGTTCCTTTTTTACAGTTCGTGCAAGTTTCCGTTGCTTCAGGATGATCATAAGCTGCATCAAAAAGTACATCATGCTCCTAAGCAGGCTTTGAGTATATCGTCTTCACAGTTGTGCTGGTGTTTGATAGGATATTAGAGCACAAATTTGAGACTCCTAGGCTGTCGCCCAAAATTTCATCACGCTTGAGCCTGGTGATTGCATTCAGGAAGACTTGTGGAGATTGGTTCATTGTCCCAGTTTGCTGAAACTTCCAATCATTGACTGCTTTCCCGAGGTCATATTGTATCACCCACCGAAAGTGCCAGCAGGTTTGCTAATCACAACATCCCCCAGCCCAGCCGGATATCCTAGCTCATACTTGGAGCTCATCCTCAAACCGAAACGGATATAATGAAACGTGGACCGCATTTGGGCAGTCACAGTGGCAAGCAGAGACAGTGTGCCATATACTCCGGATGGGGCAGGCAAACAATTACCACATTGTGGCCGGAGATATCCCAAGGGTGTATGAGTTGTAATCGCTATCGGATTTTGAGAGCTCGTGCTTATTACCGAGCATCGTCTTGACTACGGCTGCTTCCAGGGGACGAGCACAAACCGACGCAACGGTATAGGCATCGTGAGTCCTAGGCGAGGCAGACATGGTTTCTCATTGCTGCATTTGAGCACTAGCAGTAGGACGTCGGAGAGGCGTACTAGTTTTGAGAGATAACGGGAAATATCATATAACTATATAACGATATCTCTTCATTAATATTATTCCACACACCCTTGTCATTGTGAAGCCAACAAAGGGGCTATGGCAACACCCCGCACTTTCAGCATGCCGGCCTAATGCGCCTAAATGTTGTTTGTCAAGATGCGGGGGTTTTTTTTCGCGCCTCGCCTCCCCTGTAGCAGGGCAAGCCAGCTAGCCATTGCCTGTCAGGTCTGATGCAGAGGTCAGCATATGAAGTGTGCAGTTCACGCGTTCTCCTGATAGGCTCTCCGGGCGATCTAAGGACAAAGCGGCAGGTTCAATTGTCCATCCTAGGTGAGGGTAGAGCAAGTTTCTAAATTCGAATGTTGGTTGATGGAGTTATATTTCAAGCTGGAATCTGATCCACCACGCTAAGGAGGCCTAACTAGTTAAAGCTTTAAGTATACCATGAAAATGAGCATCACCAAATTATAATAATAATGGACCCATGTACGGAGTACTGTCACTACTGATGCGCGGATGCCTTTCTCAATAGTTTAGATAAACAGAGAGAGAGGGAGAGAGACAGAGAGTTATCTACTGTATAAAAAGAATAAGCTTAATCTCATCACTTTTAACTCTATTCTACAGAGTAGTAGTAGTTATGAATGTTAATCAGCTCTTCAAAGAATCATAAGCTTCTTCATCGACACACTCATCCATCAACATCATACTAAATTTAAAAATTTAAAAGAGTGAAATTAACTTGCTATGACTTATTCTAGCTTCTCATCAGCTACAACTATTTGTATGTGTGACCAGATGCATTTCAGTACCTAAGTTGTAAGAGCACAAATCAACACCACAACATATGAACACCTGAATGACTCAAAGAGAGGGAAAAAAGAGATAGAAAAGAGAGAGAGAGAGAGAGAGAGAATAATTATGTATAATTAATAAAGATCAATCTGAGAACTTGGATAAAAATTAGAAAATGAACGCCTCTCTGATGCAACTATCTACATCCATCATCCATCTGAGACCGACCGTTGCTCATAACGAAGGGAAAATAAATAAAAATAAAAATAAAAAAATGATCAGTTACCACACACCACGCCTTTTTGTTGGAGAGGGAAAGAAAATTCGGTAAGACAGACAGACAGGAGAAAACCAGTTTTTCAACAAGGAAACCAATAAAAATGGAATTGGAAATAGAAATAGAAACGCTCCGGGTTCGATGCAAAATCCCAAATAGACAAGAAAAGCGATCCTGGCGGTTTCCATAGGTATATAAAAAGAGGAGGGGCATTTTTTTTTTTTTTTTTTTTTTTTCTTGACATAGAAACGAACTGAAGAGGTATCATGACCACCAAAAATAAACGAGAGGTTCTGATCATATAATGGTTAAGAAGGTCCAGAGTAGAATTGGCGGGGTGCCGGGCCAAAATCATAACAAAGGGGAGGAAACATGCATGTATATTAAAATAAAGATTCAGTCGCACCACGGGAAACCAGCCTCACAAAGACAGAGCCACCTTTTCCTAATCCTAAAACAAGTAAATAAACAACATCGAGCAGCGCTATCATTTGTTAAGCTCACGAATTTGGTCCATGTATGCAATGTATGATCCGGGTCGATGGATGGCAGAAGAGAAGAGGTCGAAAAGCAAAAAGGACACCAAAATCTAAAAAGAAAAACGAAAAAAAGGGGGGGGATATAATTAAATGTGTTGCGGTGCATAGGGCGTCCATGACCGGTAAATACCAAAAGAATTGATAGAGACACAAGGCAATGCGGGTTGCATTGAAGTCCATTATTTCCCGCAATTCCATGGGATTGGCTTCATCTTAGGGCAGAACAGTGTATATTTCTATACTCCCATGCGGATACTCTTAGGAAGTTGCAGAGCTAAGCTAACATAATGTTACCAAGGTTGGCGGCAAGAGGAAGTGGAAGTACTGAGACAAAAGGTCTCACATCCTGTCGATCAATGCAGATATGGCGCCACTGAATGGATTGTACTTTGGTTTTTTTTGTCGCCACTAGGGGTAGAAATGTACTGATCCCGGATTATGGACAAAAGTGGTGAAATCACTGGGAGTTAAAAATCAACGAGCCCTTCGGTCCCTAGCTGGGGGTGGTCCTGAGGAACGGTAGGATGAATCAGGGGGGTATCGCCCATCTACTATTGGAGCCCGGTGGTCAGGGAGAGTACTGGGCGGGAAACCCATACTGGTGGTAACAGCAGGTGGATATTCGGTCTCATTCTCATAGCCAGGTCCAGGATACCTTGGATTTGCTCTTGGATCATTATTATATGCATGGTACGGGGCAGTACCCTCATATGTATATTCAGGACTGCTCGCTGGTGGTGGCTGTGAGTGAGCTGGGTACGATCCGCCAGCAGAAGCGTATGTGGAAGGAATTGCGCCATAAGTCGTTGGCTGGGAATATGCTGGTTGATAGGGTGCAGGCTGAGCTGAGCTATATGAAGCATGAGCTGGTGGGGGATAGGTATCATATGGCTGGCCAGCAGCTGGTGGGTAGGCGGTAGGGCCAGTTCGCTGACGGCTTTCATGGGTGGCAGAAGTATCATATTGTGCTGAAATCCTGTTAGGATCTGGAGGCATCCCTGGGTCATGATTGTGACTACCTTGTGTAGAATACCCTTGATCCCGTCTCATAGCTATCTCGGCTCTCCACCGTGCCGAATCTGCCTGTAGATCGGCAATCATCTCCTATCAAAAACAAACAAGAATGGTTAGCTACAGCAGAATTAAGAAGAATATTGCTCTCCAGCGGGAGACTCATCACATGAAATGATGTATGAGAGGGGGATGATTTCATACTGGTGTCAAATTGCGATAACCACGAATGTAATAACCTTTGACGCCCTATACGATCTTGTCAGCATATCAATCATGACCAAAGGGCCCTGTCTCATCCGCAACTACGGACAAATACGTCGAGAGAACTTTTGGGAAAGAGACAGAGAAGGGAATCCGGACCTTGTATACGCCAGGTTTCACAAGAGCCTGATTTCCAAGGTACCGACAGATATCAGCCTGGATGACCTCGCGAGCAATGCCATTCTCTTCAATAAAATACTCGTTTTGTCGCTCCGGGGGATCATGAGGGCGCGACATGTTTGGTAGCAGTTCACGACAGGCAATAAGAAGAAAGAAAACAAATAGGCCACTAGGCGATGGTTGAGATGTTCTGAGTTTAGGATGGCTGCGAATATTATATAGATGGCGATTCCAAGGTTGAGCCGAAAGGTAGGTTGAAGTCGATGTGGGTGAGATGATGAGAGAAGATGTTGATATATGAGGGGTATAGAGAAAAGAAATGGACTACAGCTTTTGAAAAACTGCGTACTGGTCCGCAGGCTGGAATGGATTCCCTTTGTTGAGGCAAAAACTCCTTATCCTGGAAAGGCGTGGTCTTGGGTAGACGAGCTGATATACAAACACACAGAGAGACAGAGACACAGACGGACAGGCACAGGTATTATGATATCCAAGTATAAATGGACTCAAAAAGCAACCTGATTGTAAACCTTTATTGCTTTGTTTATCACACACAACAACACTTCACTTTCAATGCTGAGATGCACTCTGCGAAAGAGGTTAGAAGTGGTGGGACGGAGCGAACAGCCAGGGAAGGGGAAAAGCTATCCAGGCAACGTGGACACGTAGGAATTCCGGGGTATAACAAATCCAAGGGCGAGGCTAGATGAGCCTCTGTATAAACCTTAGCGCTGGGAGAATCTGGAAACAAGGCCGTTTGATAACAGGAAGGACACCTAACGGGATCCTGGGGTGTATCACTTATGGTGCGCGTGGTGTCGTGATCAACAGAGCAGGCAGAGAGAGAGAGGGTCCAAGAACGGAAGAATCTAGCCTTGATAAGAGACGAAAGGAACAGAATAGAAGCAGCAACGGATGTCGGATGGCAGGAAGATAGATAGATAGATATATTAATAAAAATATGAAAAGGCCAGGTGATGACGGCACAGCGGTCAAGGTGTAGGATAGCCAGAAACTGTCTCACTTTGGGTGTCTGTGCCCGTTGCTGGGATGGGAATCGAGATACGGGAGGAAGAGAACGATAGAAGAGATAAACAGCACGGCAGAGAGAAGGGGATAGAGGGATAGAGGGAGAGGGAGAAAGTGGGAAGAGGAAGAGAAGAAAAAGGAAGAGCAGAAGAGAGGAAGAAAACGAAGAGAAGCACAAGCGAGGGGAACGGATGGAGGCGTATTCAAAATTTCGGGGACAGGAAAAACCCAGCATGCCTCATTAAAACTACACCCACTAGTCATATTACTCACATCCCGCAGGTCGCAGGTGCACACACTCCGTTGTGGGAACATATATATACTCAATGTCATGTAATGTGGTGGTGTTTAGACAGGATCACAAAAGTTAGCAGAGGGTCATAAAGCCAAATGTTCGACAGTAACCTGGGCCAAATGGGCAAAATGGGCACAGGGCAGCCCCGCCCCAGCCAATCAGCGCCCGTTGCCGGCCACAAACTTGCTCCACCCGCCTGCTTGGTGCCACGAACGACGTACGCTGACAGTAACGTCCACCTGCGTATTCTCGTTACAGCCCGTATCATACCGTACTTTTCGTCAAAAAAACAAAAACAATCAAAATTCTACTCTCATAACTAGTTACGTCTGTCTACTCCGTACAAATTAATACAACCATGTACAACTCCTGCTAGCAGCAAGCATACCCTGCTCATTATTGGTTGCCCTGGTTAGTACTCCTCCCATCGCACATCGATGGCCTGACGCGTATGTATCTTCCCGGTTCCCCTACCCTTGGCTATGTAACCATGGTGTATTATTTGTACTGTGCATTCATACTATATACTTCGCCTAGGTACTCCGTACCGTACTGTACCACTGCTGTTCCCGGCTTGGCACAATACCAAGATACAGACAGATCTCCAACCAGCCCCAGCCAGAACATCGTCAGTTGCTTCTTCCAACTCCCAACTTCAATTCCGCATATCAACAATGCTGGAGAGAGGAAACACCATAGCCTTTCCGCTATAGAGTCCAGGCCTTTAGCTGCACTGAATATTAAAGGTTGGCCAGTTTCCTGCCTGTCTAGGTATCTTGTATGCTCTTCGTCGGGTACCTTTACGTCGGAGGTTCCATATGCACTGGCCAGGCGACTTAACAAACAGGCGGCACCGATGATTGCAGGCCAAACAAAATTGCGGGGACAACTCCTCTTTCTCAGCGCATCCGCCCCTCCCTCCCGATCCATCGACTGGCATGTATCCAATATGTATGATCAGGACTTGCTCCTTTTGAATTTTCTTTCTTTGGCCTGCCCCCAGCCGTGGGTGTCGCAAGCATTCCTTGCCCCCAGGAGCTATCAAAGCGAGCCATACCACGTTCCATGGGAAATCGGAATCCCCAAATGGAAAATGCCAACTTTCCCTGCCAGTGCCATACACACGACGATAGAGCAAGGCTGGAAAGAGGGAAAGGCTAGACAATTAACGATAGAAATTTGCATGCACTGCGCGGTCCCGACAATCAGGATGGGTGGTCGGGACACAGAGCCGAATTGAGAAATTCGATCATCGAGACCATCTCTGAGAAGAGGCAAAAAGGAGGATCTGGCGGCGTCTACACTGCAAACTACCCATAACTGCCGTCGTGGATTCTGATTGGCGAACATGTTTGCTGCCGTTAGGCAGACATGCGTTGTTTTGGGCAGAAACGCCTTGGAACATGCAGCTCATCTTGGCCACCTGAACAACAGGGTGGCACGATGCCCTCTTGCCAGTTTTGACCCAAAAGCAACCGTCACTGGCAGCTGGTTGAAACAAGCCTGCAGCCTGCAAGGATAAGCAAAATGATGTGCAGGGCCTCGATAAAGAAAAAACCCTTATGGCTCGGCGATGTTGATTCTCCATTTTATTGTTGCTTGCCGCTATTGCCACGCTGATAATCAGTCCAGCCCTAGTGATACCCAAAAAGAATATGTGCGTGCACTGTTAAGATTTTGATGAGGGTCCCTCCAGGATGAAGACCCTGATCCGGGTCCGGTCCAACATGACGAGGCACTTTTTACAAAATTAAATCCTGTCTGTCAGCATTCTCGCCGGAGAGATGCCAGGACTCTATGGCAGCTTCAAGCGAACGGGAGGTTTATCCGGGGGCTTGCCTTCAAATGATACCTACTGTTAATGATAGGTACAGCAGCCTCCATGGAAGGTGCCTAAAGCATGAAAAGACTCTAGAATCGTCTTTTCATCCTTTTAACATTTTCTAACTTTCTTTTCATCAACTTACATCCCTTCCTATCAAGTACAATCTTCAATCCTTCTCATACATCATATATTTTTGCTACGGGTGAATCAAAGGTGCATATCTGAACTGCTGCGTCCGGTTTATGAGTTTTACATATCCAGCCAATTGCCCATGCAGGTGTTTTGAATGATTTTTTTTAATTATCCTGGCTCACCGATCAAATAGGAGGCATACATGTGTATCCACTGGAGAAAATTTCTATTTTGATTTCTAGGGCTTCAAACTTCGTATGGAGTGTTTGATTGATGGCTTTTATGTGGAAGGAAGTAATATTCAACTGCAATTTTCCTAATCTGCGCTTAAACAGCATCTCCAGCGAAAGAAACAAAGAGGATTAAACAACAGACGATATCGGTCAAGTCACCCCAGTCAGAAAATAAAGCATCTCATCTCCTTCATGCTGTGCCCTTCCCGGACACAAGCTGACTGGTCCTCCATATTTTCCTTTTGAGAATGCTCCCAAACCGGACCACCTTTTCCTTTCCCTGACCATTTGCCTGTGCCGTTTCTTGCACTTTTCTTGCTTCTTTCCCCTCATACTCTTGTTTCGACACAATTCGGAAATTGGTTCGTGGAAAGTGGATACGAACGTCCTCCCTGTTATCCACCGTCTTCCGCTGCAACACTACCTCCTGAGGTGTGAGAGCCACTAATTGCCCGCTATCCTGATAGTTAGAACAGTTATCAGTTGGCCACACTACAACATCTTGCCCCTTTTGGAACTTCAGCGCATCATATTCATCAACATCTGCCTCTGGCTCCACAAATTCTGCAGCGATAACGGATTCCAACACCTGTTCACCCGATAGGTTTTGCGGCTTGTTGGGCAATGCGGCTGCAGCTTCTACTACTGCCTTCCTGAATCGTGCCATCCAGGCGAAAACGTTGGGAAAACGGGCTTCCGTGAAAATATCGCGGTCAAGGGCCCCATCCAACTCATCTACCCAGTCGAGTGGCCATATCGCTTCAGGGAAAGGGTTGCACAGAATTTCCTGTCAGCTACCCAACGTCTTATGCCAATGCATGCCTAAGGGGGATTTCTCGTGGAAGAGGTTTAACGGCATATCTTCATCGTAAAATCGAAACTTTCGGACATACCATGGATATCAGCCAGAGAAGGCTTCTCAGTCTTACGCAGCCACTCCCTCCCGTCCGCCAGTAGCGTCGTCTCAAGAAACTCAAACGCCTGTTTGATATGAATCATCCCGTCCGGCCGATTCCTCTCCAGGTCCTCCTTTCTAAAACTAAGGCCGCTAGCGTCCTCTCGATCCCGGATGAAGTTGGGATGGGCAGCCAGTATATGGGCCGACGGGACCAGCTGGCAAGCGCGGGCGAAAACACCCCCGTCAACGGTCCAGTTCTCCAGCATGCGTTCGATTGCCTGTCCGTCTGGATCCGTCGCACCAAGCCGACCACCCTCTGGATACAGCTCCTCCAGTTTCTGCAGGATCAGTCGTGAGTCGCAGTATATATCTTTACCGGCGCACATAACTGGAACACGACGATATTGGACACCTAGCGCGTGAAGGTCCGGTCTAGGCATGATGATCGGTTGTAACTTCGCAGCGGAAAATATGAAAGACATCCAATACGTCTCTTAGCAAAAGAACTGCTATCTCTCATCCCCCCCCTGGTCTTACTTTTCTATTTCATTTTATTTTTTTTATATTTTTTTTTTTCTTCTAGGGGTTCCAGCTGGAGCGTTTGCACCACGCAGGCTTTCCCCTCATCATTCCCTATTCTTCCACCTATTTCTTCTGTTTTGTTCGAAAGGAATTGTGCTTACACATTGATCATATTCAATACCACGAAGGGCAAGATACCTTCACGCAAACCAAAAACGCAAAACACAGAGCGCAAGAAATCGAAATCAGCAAAACGCTCACAAAACGAGGGGTATATATATATATATATGTCTGTGTTATGACTCCCTATCCAGATAGGAGAAAATGCTACGCCAGCAGGCCGGTTTCTCATGCAGAATAGGGGAATATAAGTGAAATGAAAAAGGGGTTGGTAGGTGCTGGTTGACACTATCGGGCGCGGACATACTTACCACGTTACCCGCCTTCCATACGGCGAAATCTCGTAGTGGAGCACCACCGGCTTTGGCATCGCCATATTCGCTATGTCTTATTTTTATTTTTATTTTTTTCTTGTTTGTTTCGTGTTTTTCTAAAGTTGTCCGCTCCTTGTTCCTCTGTCAATCTCTTGTTCAGTCGAGTTGATTAGTTTGGCATGGGTAGAAAGAATTAAAACATTTCTGCCCGCAACGATCGGACACCCCAACCCTCCTCGTTCTACTCCCATGGCTATTGAATAGTAGCCAGCTAGGATTCTTCTTCTTCGTGTTCTTCTTCTTCTTCTTCCCTTTCTGACTTGGAGGCTATCTATCTCTGCTTACCCTATATGACCCTGATGGAGTAATTCTTTCGTTTCCTTATGACCCGAGGAATCGGTCAAGCTTTCGTGGTTTGACGCAGCGAGTTGGGGCTGCTCGATGGAAGGCAATGTGTGTGTGTTTGGGGCTGGGGGTTCCCTGCTCCCTCAGATCTAGGCGAGGATATCTGCAAGCTCAGCAAAAGCACACCAACAGCCACCCTTGTCGAATACGCCGGGGATAAAAGGGCCAGCACGAAAATGTAACGCTACAGCAGCTATTTCGGCACCACACTCTCCGAGGTTCTTCAGAACTTTTTGCATCCTCTCTTCATTCTATAAGGGAGAAGGAAATCAGGAATACTAACATATATATTATATTTGACCAACACTCTCCTTGTTCTGCTTTTGCTTCTATTCTTTCCTTTCCCCTCGTTCTCGAAGCAAAACGAAGGTTTCTAGAACAGCCAAGGCCTAGTGACCTTCCGCTAAGCACACACAGGGGACAAAATGGCAATAAAAAATAAAAAAATAAAAAATCAGACAGTCTTTCGAATTGAGAATTGAAACCCGCGACTATCATAAGCGACGCAGAAAGAAATCCAGAAAAAGGGCACACCCCCGAAAGCTCCAGGGTCTGTGATTCCTCAATACTTTATATATCGGCCCTGAGGCGGGGGAATTTTTAAACCTTCTTAGCTGCTCTAAAGCAATTACTTGTTCTCTTTTTAGCTGCGTATTTGCGCACCAGAGCACACAGTAGTGTAGTGTACATACATACGAACTAGCCAACAAAAGCCAGAGCGGACGATTTCGAATTCTCTTCTGGTTTTGCTTCTCCTCTTTTCTCCGCCCCATTGTATTTTTTATTTTTATTTTTAGGCTGTATTTGAGAGAGGTTTTGTTTGAGTTTTGGCTCATTCTTCTCAGGGTTCTCAATCAACTTATCTCTACTCCGTACCCTCAGTACCTATTGGATGATCAATGAGTTATTGACAGGAACCAGTCATCGTCATTATTGTCGATATAGCTGCGGGCCGGGAAAGGCCAACGTAAAACTTACCATGCTTTCTTTAACTATGAAGTGCCGGGGCGAGAAGGGGCCAGATCCGTTGGACAGTCAGTCACAAAAAATCTCCGTCCGAGATGCGGAAATTCAGGAAGGTTAAGTTACTTTGTCTAGAGAAACAAGAGCGCTAAATCTGGGCGGGTTAGGGAGCTCGAGAGTCTACGAGAGGAGCGGGGCAAAAGGTGGTTTGTAGCCTTGTAGGCCGTAAATTGTAAGTTAATTGTCCGTACATGTAATTGCGGATTATTACTGCCAGCGCTGTATTCCTTTGTTTTCTTGTCAACTTATTTCGGGCTTGTGGCGCTTTCTTTTTTGTTCGTTGTCATATGGATCCTGGTCCTATGGATGTTTAACTATATCGAATACTCCAAGTATGTAGCTATCTTTGGGCCAACAAAATCGATTGCAGCTATGTTTGAAGTTCCCACGCAGCTTATGCCTGTTCCCTGCCATTGTGCCCCAGAGTGTCGGGATGAGAGAAAGGAGCTTGAAAAATATCGGTTGCGTTTCATTTTTGTGCTGGGGAATTTGCGTGGATGGATGGGTTTTGCTGTTGGGCATAAATACATGGAACAGATGATGATTTGATCAGGCAGAAATGCAGGGCCCATTTTGATTCTTTCTCCGCTCTATAGGTGGATGGACGAATCATAATTAAAAGGATAAAAAGTGTGATTTATTTTATTCCTGCTGATTGAGCGATGGGATGGGCTTAGAATAACTCAGATCAAAAATGCCGCCTCATCTCATCATACTCCGTATAGCGTAAAGGTTCATCAAGCCAGCCGCCTCGTGGCCTGTTCTGTCTTTGGTCTGGAACGATCACCAACCCAACCAGTGGCAACCACTAACCACCATCACCAGTTAAATATTTATTACAGGCAGAACCAACGCACTTCCAGCAACAGCAACCAACAAGAAACTACGACAAGGCCCGTCATCATCAATGATGTCCTCGAGCATCCCCTCATCCTCCCCCCGCCCATCCAACCAGCTCCAACAACAACGACAACAATGTCCCTCCCCCAACCTACCACCTCCCGCTTCACCCACCGCCATCTAACCCTCCTCCGCGCCAGCTCCCCCCGCACGCCCCTCCGCATAATCGCCCACATAGACCTCGACGCCTTCTACGCGCAATGCGAGATGGTCCGCCTCAACACGCCCCGCACCCAGCCCCTGGCCGTCCAGCAATGGGAATCGCTCATCGCCGTCAACTACGCCGCCCGCGCCTTCAACATCACCCGCATGCTCACGGCCGCGGAAGCGCGCAAGCGCTGTCCGCAGCTCGTCACGCAGCATGTCGCCACGTTCCGCGAGGGGGAGGGCGCGCAGTGGAAGTACAGAGATGATGCGGCGGAGTGTGTGGCGACGGATAAGGTTTCGTTGGAGCCGTATCGGGTGGAGAGTAGGCGGATTCTGGAGGGTATTAGGGCGGCTCTGGCTGCGTGGGCGGAGGGGGTTATGCGGGATGTAGGTGGTGGTGGTGGTGGCGGGGAGGGGAGGGGAGGTGGAGGGACAAAGAATGAGCTGCAGCTGCAGCTGCAGCAGCTCGTTAGGGTTGAGAAAGCGGGGATTGATGAGGTGTTTGTGGATTTATCCGCGCTGGTGTATGAGACACTGCTGGACAGGCATCCTATGCTGCGGGAGGGCGAGGTGGGGAGGGATATGAGTGAGAGGCTACCTAGGCCGCCCACTACGGTGCTGGAATGGGGTAAAGAGGATATGTTGGTTGATTTGGATGCCGGGCAGGCAGAGGAGGATGACCCCGATTGGGATGATGTGTGCATGCTTATTGGCGCGGATATCGTCCGCTCCGTGCGCGCCACTATCTGGGAGAGGCTGAAATACACCTGCTCAGCTGGCATTGCGCGGAATAAGATGATGGCAAAGCTTGGCAGCGCGTGCAATAAACCAAACAAGCAGACTATTGTGCGCAACCGCGCGGTCCAGCAGTTCCTGGGCGGGTTCAAATTTACACAAATTCGGATGCTGGGCGGGAAGCTGGGGAAGCAGGTTGCGGCCATCTTTGGGACGGATGAGGTTGGTGGGCTGTTACATGTCCCCGTTGAGCAATTAAGGCTGAAACTGGGTGATGATACGGGGACATGGCTCTATGAGCTTCTCAGGGGATACGAGTACAGCGAAGTTAGTGTACGGACGCAGATTAAATCTATGCTCTCCACCAAATCCTTTCGGCCCGGTATCCAGTCCTCGACGCAGGCAGAGAAGTGGCTGCGGATTTTTGTCGCGGATATCTATGGCAGACTGTTGGAGGAAGGGGTTCTGGAGAATAAACGGCGACCGAAGGTTATCACCATACACCATCGGACTGCTGGGCAGACGAGGTCTCGTCAAATTCCGATCCCGACGGGCAGGCCGATAACCGACACTTTCCTGTTTGACCTGGCCAAAACCCTACTGGCACAGGTTGTTAATGAGGGGAATATTTGGCCGTGCGCGAATTTGTCATTGAATGTAAGCGGGTTTGAAGATGGTGTTACGGGGAACCAGAGGCTGGATTCCTTTTTCCTTCGTGGGACTGGGGACACGAAGGTGGCATCGGCTCCCTCGCAGCAGCAGCAGCGAAATTCTGATACCCGGCAAGGATACTTACCTGGCTCGGAGCCACAGAAGAGGAGAAAAGCGCCCCCCAACGATAATTACGAAGATGGCCATCCCAGGCATGATCACAGTGCCACATCCCCCGGCCATACAGTTGGCGAAGAAGACGAAGAATCTCTCTTTCTACAAGACGACGATAATAATAACCATCATCTTCCAGGTCCCGCAAACACCTCCCCAGCTCTCACAGACGATGATGAAAATGCCCTCACCACACAACACGACGACTGGGCCTCCGTCATGGGGATACAGGAGCCATCATTCACATGCCCCCGCTGCGCCAAAACTATAGCGGAATATGACAGAAGCGAACATGACGACTGGCATTTCGCGAAGGATTTATATACGCAGGAAAGAAGGGAGCAACGTCCTTCTATTGTCTCTCCTCCTCGTCCTCCTCCTCGTCCTCGTCAACAGGGTGATGGTTCACGGGGGAGAGGCCGTGGTGGTGGCCGTGGAAAATTCGATAAGCGACAGCGTCGACTGGCGTTTTGAGGGTGGTGTTCATTCCTCCTTTCTTATAATTTATGGTTTGTTTTGCTTTTCTTATTCTTGGGAGATCTTTTGAGGGAATATGGCATGGAGAGATGGATATCGGCTTTGGAGGTTCTGCGTCTCAAATGGGATATTTTGCAGGTACTAATAGGCGTTGTTGGGGGGAAGTATTCGGGATAAAATGGCCTTGTCGGATCTATATAAACTGCTTCGCATATGTTTTGACATAAACTACTGTATTCTGGAACCATGGATCGCAACAATTTAGCATTTCGGATGCTACCAAACTTCATTGTATACGTTTTTCCTGTCTTATCGACCATTCTAAAGTTAAAATGTATATTTGATGACACTTTACTTAGACCAGAATTAACCTAGACCGGGCTACCATTATCTCCCAAGTTTCAATTTAATATTCGCTTTGACCGTGCTTTCTTCTAAATTCCTTGAATTTTCTCCGCTTCATCATTGCACGAAGCGATGACATCACTCTCCTTTCCTAACTAACGAACCGAACGTTAGCCGTTATTATCTCCATGCCCTATATATGTATCTATTTGTTTAATTTCCCTATTCTCCTTGGTCTTTTTATCTGGGTGGGCGCCTGTTTCTGCTTCGGATTGCTCCTTTAAAAAGCAGTTGAAGAAAACCCATCACCGAATCCCAATCGGCTTCTCAAATTTCATAACTTTCTCAATTCATAGATGCTTTCGTATTATTTTATAAATTTAGGCGTTATCTGATCTACATAACCACGTCAAAACAGTTTTTGTCACTTTCTTTTTTTCCTTTTTCCTTTTTCCTTTTTTTCTTTTTTTGTCTTTGCTTTTTGTGACGGCCTCAGCGTCTGTTGACGTCATTAGTACCTGGAACAACCAAAACCCAAAACCAACCCCATATCTTCTTTCTAATTCCAATCATGTCCCGCCGTAGCGGAGGGCGTGGTGTCTATGAAAGAGACACCTACGAACTGGACCGCCACGACCATCGCGGAAACTACGATCATGTCTTTGAAGAGGACGTCGAGACCCGTTTCCGTCGACGTCCTCATGCCCCTGATGCATCCCGTGTTCGAGAAATAGAGAGGGTTCGTGCGCAGGGCCACTCGCCGCCATCAGAGTTCGTTCGAAAATCATACGGGCGCAGCTCTAGTGCGGGCCCACTGGTGAGAATGCCACGGGTAAGAGATGATGATTATGAGTTTATTGAGCATGAGCATGAACGTGGCCATTGGGATGGGCATGAACATAGGAGAGGTGATATTGGACCCGTCCATCGGCGGTCGAGGATTGTGGAGAGAAGGTTCTCTCCCCCGCCGTCGCATGCTAGGGGCTTCGAGCGTGAGGAGCTTGTGCTGCGGAGGGAGAGGTCTAGGCCACCACCACCTCGCGAGCCGAGGTTTGAAAGAGATGAATTTGTTTTAAGAAGGGAGAAGGACCATGGGCTTGAGAGACGTCCGGTAAGGGCGTATGATTGGGAATGGGAGTTGGAGAGGGAGAGGAGCAGAGAAAGGGAGCGGGAGAGGGACGTTGAAACAGAACGAGGGCGAGAGAGAGTTGAGCGAGATCGTCGGAGGAGCTCTTACGTGCGGGAAAGATCAAATATGAGGGGAGATACAGAAGAGATAATTGTCCGCAGAGACGAACGGGGAGGGAATACTGGCCACGGTAAGGGTGATGTGAAGAGAGAGGAAGTGATAATCAGGAGGAGGGATGAAAGTTCGTCTTCGTCGGACTCATCTTCACACCCACCGATTGAACCACCTCCCATTCGCGCCCCTCCTATTCACCAGGAGGTGATTACACATCATCGGCATATCGGTCATGGTAGGCATCTTTCTTTTCTGTTTTACCTGGAGCTGGAAAAGTTGTCCATGAAATATCACTTCCGGGAGCTAAAGGAGGCATAGGATATGAGGTTGTCCACCCACACCCACCTCCGTCGGAGGCAAGCTCACGACACGTCGATGACGAAATTGAAATTCGGAGAAGGTATGTACAGTACAAACCTCTCAAATAGCACAATATACAAGTACACTAATTCGTATGCAAGACGGGAACGCAACGGTCGAAGTTATGACGATGAAATTATAATCGATCGTGAATCCAGCCGTCACCGAGGGCGAGAAAGATTTGCCCCTGCACTTTCTCCTCCCCGAAGGCGGGCAAGTCCTCACCATGGCGACAGGAATGAATCCGAACTTCTCATCTCACATCGAACATCTAGGGGCCCTGCTCACGACAATGAACGGCATCGGGATGTCGTCATAATGCGTGATCGCGAAGGCAGTACCCGAGGTCAACGGGAACCAGCCAATATCCGCGACGAGGCAGAGTATTACAATCGCCTTGCTCACAAGGGGGGTCATATTGGAGAAGCATACAATGGCGCAACGAAGGACTGGTCCATCGTAGATGTTCCGCCCGGAACTAAGCGCGTGGAGCTAGAGGGTGTTGGCGGCGCCAGCCAGGAAATTACATGGCAGCGTTATCATGGTGTTCGACGGGCGAAGTTCCATGTTGACGGGGATGAATATTCCTCTGACAGGGAACGTACCCGAGACCAGGGCCGGATCGGGAAGCGTTACGTGGGAGTTAAGGATAAGCGGGACCGGCTCTGGACTGAAATTACCAAGGATCTCGTTGTTAAGGAGGCAATCGAGAGGGCTGGGTACGATTATGAGGAAACACAGTATTTCTACTATGTTTTTGCTTATTTGAAATATGTATGTCCCATCCATACCCCCTGTATTTTTGCGTTTTCCACTTCTTCGGTCATTCCTTTCCGCTGGAAACCCATCTCTAACGTCTAGTAACACAGGACGATGTTGCCCACCTCGTCGCGCTCTCACACGACTACCGCCAGGCGCGTCGTGAACGGATCCGAGAGATCCAACGGGAGCGCACCCGAATGATTACACCCCCTCCTCTACCTGCTCCTGCCCCGCCACCACCGGCAGCGCCATTACTGCTTGAGAGACCAGACTACGGTGAAGAAAGAATTATTGAGCATGAGGTATTTGTCGATGCGGACAAGGTTCCTCTCCCGATGAGGGCTCGGAGATGGTGAGCGGGATTGAAAAGATTCCGCTTTCATATTACGTTTTGTTTGAGCCTGCTTATTCGATGTCTTATTTTATTCGGGCTATCTTACCTATTTTGATTTTTCTTTTATTAGCTGGCATGGTAATTTCCCTTCATTACCATGGTTGATTTGCAGGAGGTGATAACTTAGGTGATAACTTACCCCTTGCTGTCTTTTGTTACCCTTTTCCAGCCTTCCTTGCTGCATCTGGAGCAAATGGATGTTGATGCTTCAACTTTCCATATTTCACGATGCGGCCTTGTTGATACTGCTCTGTGACTTTCTTATGCTTTTACGTGGTTTCCTTTTCTTTTCACTCTGCAGTCAACGACGTGATGATTAACGATATTTGGAGTTGTGAAGGGGCGGAATTGTAGCCCCTGTTTCAATATTGCTGTCTAGAAACGGAAAGGATGAAAGGCATGTATCTATATAACATTTTCGATATAATATTAGGAAAGTCTATAGATTTATCTATCCTATGGTTAGTTCATTTCGAGAGGAGTAACTATTATTGACATGCTCTGCGTACGTCTATTTATAATCACGTTGCATGCTCGTATATGCCGGGTAGTAGCAAGCATTGAGAAGCGCATTCAGCTGCCCAGCTAGATTTCCACTCAAGAATTCTTATGTGGAATACTATTCCACCATCAACCCTGCTCACTGGCCGAAGTACACCAATTTCAAAACCCAAGATTCATGACTAACTTTCAGATTGTCTCTCAAGTCTCGATCCCTCACGATGGCCAAGTTACTTGACTGGAGGCGGAAATGCAAGCTCACTTGCAAGGTAACTTTAGCTTCTCTCTGCTCGTCATTTCAGCCCCTTAACTCGGTTGCCGATGGCTTGGTGGAGCCGCATACTAGTTATGGCACACCTGGCAAATACCGCGACTTTGACAGTCGAATTCAACCATCTTGCATCGACTTCAAAGTCACTCGCATTGTCAACATCATCTAGGCCCCACCAGGCTGGCGACGAACAGGGAAGAACTATTGCTGAAACACCACAGGGAGCTCCTGGAGTCCTCCTACCTTCTGACGATGGACCAGAGCCAACACAAGGAACGGCCTCCTCAACCACCCTCACTATATCCAAAGCGAAAGCCGTAATGGTCATCATCACTTTAGCTGGTGTAAGCTTTCTCAACACCATGGGCTCCGGCATTCTCATAGCCGCACTGCCTCGGATCGCAAAAGATGTCGGCATACCCGAAGCGCTGATCCTCTCCTCTGGCCTGCTGCTGTCTATGCGCTTGCCGCTGGTTGTTTGCTCCTTGTCTTTGGGTCGATTGCAGACGCTCTTGGAGCCAAGCTGATGTGGATTGTTGGGAGCTTTCTCTTTGTTATTTTCACAGTCGCTATTGGAGTTAGCGAAGACCGAAATCCAAATCATTGTATTCCGCACTCTTGCCGGTGCGGTGCTGCGATCTCCATGTGTCTGCCCACAGCAGTCAGCCTCATCACTAACACTTTCCCGAAAGGCACTTGGCGCAATGTTGCCTTTGCAATGAATGGGATGGGTCAACCCCTGGGGTATGCCGTTGGTCTGGTCCTAGGAGGTATATTCACTGATACCATTGGCTGGCGATGGGCCTATTTATTACATGATGGCAATGATCAACCTCTGCCTTTCTCTGGTAGCTATCTGGTCACTGCCGTCAGTTGTCAGCCAGTCAGGGGCGTTGAAGCCCTGGACGTGCCGCCTCATCGAGGATATTGATTGGTTTGGTGCAATAATTATCAGTGTTGCTCTCGGAATTTTGCTCTATGTTCTAGCCATGGTATCGTCTTCGTACCGTAGGGCCAGCGGTCCACAAAACATTGCTCTGCTCACTGTATCGTGTGTTCTGCTCGCTGCGTTTCCCTGTTGGATGCATTATCAAGTTAAGAGAGGGAAGCCAGCACTTATCCCGAACAGATTATGGAAGAGGGCAGCTTTCACGTCGATCTGTGTATCTGTCTTCTTCTGCTGGGCTTCTCTGAACGGGATTGAGTATTTCATTACGCTCTACGGAGTAGTGAGACTCCCGCTATTCCTTACCACGCCGCTCGCTTTGTCGCCTTTGCGAGGCTAAGCCACCATGTGTGAAATAGTCCGAGGACCATGAATCAAGCAACTAACACGCTATTAGCTTCCAACGAGTCGAGGGTCTTTCCGCTCTTCAAATTTCGATCCGCTTCCTTGCACGCGTCGTAATGGGGACCGCAGTCAACATTGCCACGGCCTTCCTTATCTCTCGCGTCGAAGTCCGCACTCTCGGTGTCGTTTCTGCTCTAATTACTATGGTTGCTCCGACTCTTATATGGCTACAGTTGAGGTTGGCGAAAACTACTGGCTCCGGCCGTTCTGGGCTTTGCTACTCTCCCCCGTGAATCCCGATGGTGAGCTTTCTAGTGCTATACATTTAGTTTCCTCTGCAAAATCACTAACCAATACTTCCCTTTCCCCAAAATCTCAGTCCTCTTCACCGTCTCAAACCTCGTAATTTTAGATACTTTCCCAGCCGAGATCCAATCCCTTGCTGGTGGTGTGTTCAACGAGGTTTCCCAATTCGGCAACTCTGTTGGTCTTGCTGTCACTGCTTCAATCGCTGCCTCTGTAACCGAGCACTCCGGCCTGGAAGAGCATCGTGCAGCTCTTATGGAGGGATACCGCGCCTCCTTTTGGACAATTTTTGCGGCCACGGCCATCGTTGTTGTCATTTCATTCTTCGGGCTGAAGAAAGGTGGCACAGTGGGAAAAAAGGAGGACTGATTTTAAGCCAATCATGTGCCATTCTTTCTATTCCTCCCACCCCTTTTTATTGTTTCGAGGCGAGCACCCTTGACAAAACAGCCTTTGAAACAACAGCCACGTCGTTTCACTATTTTCTACATCCCCAAATAAAGCTGCGAGGTTCACCCGCTTCATTCCCCTATTCCAGATAATTTTTCTATACAGGCTATGTGGGACCCAAGGTTGAGCGCATATGAGCGCATATGCGAACCCCATAAGGGCAAGGGTGAAGATGCGATTTCGGTTGGCGGAAAATCAGCCGAGACCTCGAGATTGAAGAAAACTCATGGGTTATGCCTTGAGATACCCTCGGCCTCAAAGTAGGTACCATATCGAATCAACCAGGGGTGTGGTCTGGATTGCCCTGCAGAACTGATTATCACTTAGCATTGCCAAAATTTGCTTGAGTTTTGTGGCTGTAGAGGCAATGCTAATATGGACAATTTTTGATGCCCCCTTTTCCTATGCCCGTTTACACATGTCTGTCTATTTTGCCAAGACTTTCATTTTATCCCAGATGTCCTATCTTAGTAGAAGCTACCCTCTCATGTTTTGAGAATTTGAGAGTCAAAGCTTTAATTAAGAAACCAAGTCCAAGTCACTCGCTGTCCCAATGTTAACCAAAGGATCAGATCTCACAGCAAACTCGGCTCTCGGCATAAAACTAACAACCCCGTTTAAGATTACAATGCCGAACATCCTAGCGAACACCTTCCGCTTTCCTGTTTGCTTGTCGCTTTCTTTTACCCCTCAATTCTCCTAGATCGTCATCGTGGGGTAGCGTTTGAACGTGGGATCAACATAGCTGCCAACTTTTCCAACGCGTTCCAGGGAGTCATGCAAGTCCGGGCCTTTGGATAGATAGGACTCCGTAGAAGTAGAGTAGGTTGCAGAGTCGCAGGCAGAGCAACCGCAAAGGGTTGATGGGGTAGCTCCGCATCAACCCCCCGAGCTTTCCCTTGCTTCCTCCTTGCGGGATAGCCCTATATTTTCAGATTCACAGGTTTTGTAGATCAGTGAGTGAGTGGTCAACACAGCCAAACAACCGACAACGAGATGGAATATTTATTTTACTGCTATGAAATCCCGCTTCTTCAGACTGTTATGCACAGTTAAGGGTGTTAAACAGCTCACTAATTGGCCATTGCGCGTTCTTTTTATTTCACCCGTTGCAGGAGCTTCTATGGAGATGCGTGGAGAGGGGAGGAAAAAGTTCTAGAACGGGAGGTCAGTTACATGATGTCACTTCTTTAGTTTCCTACCAACTGACAACCAGCTGCATTGAGGGGGGGAAATCATCGGAGAATTTTCTAGTTCGTTGGTTATCAGAGTCCCTTTCGCCCTCCTTTTGTGCGGAGATTTGCGTTTTCCCTCCCTTTATCCTGTTTTTAATTCTGTAGTTAGTAGTGGTTTTAATAATATTGATGTTGTTGGTTGGCCTGGTAAAATAAAAATATGCTGTGTTGCAGACGGTGCAGATGCATCCCATGAATTTATGTTATTGGAATGGTCAAACAGTTCCCTGCATGAGGTAGATAACACGACATATTGTTATATACGCAGAATATGGCGTTGGCCTACGTAGTATGGATGGGATGTAAATCTCAGAAGCAGAAGTGATAGTTATTATGTATAGACAAAAAATGTCCATACTCATTTCTGTAGGCTACTGGGGCAAAAGAGCTCGGTCACCACCAGCGCACTGCTGGTAGAAGGGCCGATCAACCGCGGGACCCCCAACAATTTCTCATTCAAAACTTGCTCTGATTGATAATCATACTTAGTCTGCTGGAGTAGGAATGGTGACAATCGGGGCAGAGCTTTTATCTTTATTTATTTATTTATTGTTTTTATTATTTTATTTTTATTTTTAACCTATGCATGAACATACGCGCCACAGATGTGTCAACAGAAGTCAAAAAAAAGTCATTACCATGGAATCTATCTCATGGCTGTTTTGTGTATGCACATCGACAACGCGTAGCCATGTTTTTAAAGAAAAAGAACGAAGCCCAAATCAAGCTTCTACTGTATGGCCGAAGAACCAACAACGGCGGAGACACAAAGAAGAAGCAAATACAATAAATACCAAAGGGGGCTTGAAAAAGCAAATACAAGGCTGTGTAACCCTGTCTGCTGCCTGGCGGGTTGGTTATCATCGTGCATGGCCTGTCATGGGCTATGGAAGATACATGCGGAGTGACACAAAACTATGGATGGATACCATACCATACCTGATTGATCGATGCTTGATTGTGTCGTAAATCCGGCATGGATGGATGAGGTATCGCAGACGACGAAACATCCAAGCTGTGAGGACGGGAGGCGGAGATGATTACAGTAGTTAAGCAAAGTGGAGGAGATGTTGATCGTCCAAGTGCGCTGCTGCGCGTATGCATGATTGTGTTGCTAGGAGGGGGAAAAGCGGGTGGCGTGGAAGGAGGATAAACAGAGCGAGGGGGAAAGGCTTGAGATAAGAATAAAACTAACTAAGTTACCCGTGCTTGAATAAATAAATGGGCAAAGCGCTGGATGTTTTTAATTAAACCTTGCTCAACGACCCGAATTTTTGTTTCAAGGAAGTCAATCCTTTTTTTGGGGGGTTTCTTGTTTCAGGGTTGGAAAAGGTAGTTAGTATTCGGGCGGGGCTTTTTGAAACAACCGTTGCTTGCAACATTATTTTTTATTATTATTATTTATTACATTGGCTGAATGTCGTTGAATTTATCAAACAACATTTTGGGTTGTTGAGATATCTTTCAAGAAAAGAAGCTGCAGGCCCGGCTTGCAATGCATATCACAAGAGTCTTCTACAATGAAAAGATAATTGTATTTACTTGAGGAATAGGTTCCAAACCTAACACTCCAACATGTATATATATATATATATATATATATATTTATTTCCCTTGCTGACTAGAGATACAGGTGAAAAATATTTTAACAACAAAAACCAGCTTGGATACATAGTTAAAAAGAGCTGTGGCAAAGGCATTCAGCTTGCTCAGCATTCATTCTTCTTCCTTTTCTTCCACCTCACAAAACCCAGCCACATCAAGCAGGTCAGAGTGAAGAATTGTCACCGCCGCTCCCTGCACAAGATTCACAGATCTGAAGATCTTTTGATGAGTTGGCTTTCTCTTGTCATTATTCTTAACGTGGTACTGGCGATCTAATGTCCTTGAGTTTGCGGTGAGTGGAAGCAGAAGAAGACAGATGTGGGGGGGGGGGGGGGGTTGCTATAGTCATTTCTCATATGGATGAGAGCTGAGATAGTTGTCTGGCATTCTTGCCCCTTTTTTAAACGTGGAATAGGAAGATACTGTATGTCATTATTATTTTTTGTTTCATTGTAGCCAGTCGGACATGTCAACAGTTGGTGGTGGTGGCGGTGGTATGTACTGTATATAGGTAGAAGCTATGTATTAATATCAAGGAACAGATGAGCTTTTCTTAATAATCCTGGGATTCATAGCATACATAGTACGGAGTACCAAGGAGAGCTTTGAGGTGCCATTGCATTGCTGTGAGATAAATATTTTTTATGGAAATGCTTCTCGGACGTCATTGTAGACCAATCGAATGACAGATCGCAAATTCGAATTTTGGGACAGCGCTCCGATTCTCAGCTTTGTCTTTCCTGTTCTTCTTGACAAAACTTGGAAACGGGTTTGTTTATCATCCTAGAAAACTCAATTGAACCGAGGTGTTGTCGAATTCATAGGTAAACTAATTATCCTAGAATATTGCCATCTGTGACAAGGGCATTTCCGCACATTAACACCGGGATAAGTTGTCATGGATGAGGGATGGTCAGGGTTACTGTCAGCGGATGATCAAGAACGCCATACCATACCAGTCCAGTCCAGTCCCCATCGCGGAAAAGTCGACTTGCAACAGAGAGCAAAATGCCTTCGGGAAGAGGGAAAGAGAGACCCCTCAAAAACCAAAAAAAAAAAAAAAAAAATACAACCTGTAAGTTGTGGGCGGGTGGCAACGTTACTGCTTGGGTGTTTAGGGGCTAATCCAAGACGAGCCAACACAAGCCACATGCCTCAGGGTCTTGACGTAGTTATCAGGGGGGGCGAATGATTTCTCTCCTGTGCTCGCTACTTCAGCGGCTCGACCCTAGACTATCAAGGCCAATAAATTGGAGAATAGGAATCACCCCCTTGTTATCCTGCCGCTTCGTCTTTAAATATCCGAGTAAAATAATTCCGCAGCTTGCGATACAACTTTAATAATGTAGGTTCGACGGTTTCCCGTGGATGGAGGAGCGAGGATTTAAAGTTGCCAGTGATGATGCCATCATTTCATGGAAGCCAACGTGTTGCACGATAATAATATTATTCTTGGCCAGGCATGTTCAGCACCCACCAGAGGATCGAGTGGCTTCTGTAACTCCTGTCCAAGATCGGCCGTCATTGAATTGTGGACCGTTTTGGTGAGAATTTGTTTTTCTGCTTTGAGCAACATCAGTAGCGATGCAGATGTCACCACGAAAAAAGAAAGATTGAAATATAAAATAAATAGAATAATATTTTTTCTCTCTTCAACACCCCATTGGTATGTTTGTTCTCTTGCTTCCAACGACGAGACTGGTTCAGGATAATCCAACCAGCAAGATTTCCCAGTTTTTTTACTTTTCGTTTCGTCGAACCTAGAGGGCTGAGAACGGGTTGCGGAGGGAGGAAACAAAAAAAAGGAGCCCAGAAATTCCCCCGTCATCAAACCCAAGCAGACTTGGCCCCGGTGGCCCGGCTGTGTGTAGCGCGGCGTGTAGGCAAGCTGGTCGAGCGTGGTTGGCTGTCTGTCTGCCATCTGGTAGGGGTTTAAGCGGAGACAAACCAGGCCCGTATAGCGCCGAACTCTGGCTGGCATCGATCGGCTTAGCCTGATTGTACGCTGGAGCGGTGCGGCGGTGCGGCGGTGCGTTTATGAATAATAATTACTTCAACGACATCGAACTTGTCGGCTCCCAACTCTCCAGCCCGTTTCCCCGTAGACGTAGTTAGAGGTTGATTCTTGTCTCCTGTCTTTTTTTTTTATCTCATTCAGCTTCCAATCCTCTCCCTCTACTCCTCGTCTCCTCTTTCAAACCGTCAGTTTTTCCAGCTCTGTCGTTCGTTGCGTGCTGGCGTCAGCTAATACCTGACCTTTGTTGTCTTCTTGCATTTTCCAATTTTTCTCTTTGCTTCGTTTTATAAAGCTTCGTCTGTCTTTGTTTCGGGCTTGCTTCCTCAGCTAGACCACCACCCGATTTAGGTTCTGGTGTCTTGGTCCGTAACCTTCAAGGCGAACCATGCTGGCCTGCCATTGATATCACAGGTGCTCTCTCTGTCTGTGGACCCCGGACATCAAGAGGTACGTGTGTATTGCTTTTTTTTTTTTTTTTTTGTTTTTGCAAAAGCCAGCTCTTTTTTGCTTGTCATTCCAATTCAGTTCTCTCAAGGGTCCATTGTGTGTTTGTCTGTGTGTTGTGGGTGGGTGGGTGGGTGGTGAACCCATTCCCATTCTTGTGTTGAATAGTTATGGATAGGACGTGACATAATTTTGTGCCTGAGTTGCGTCCATTTTCACTCCTGTGAGAATTGATGACTGAGCGTACTTGATATATGTTATGCCAACATCCACTACACCGCCGTCGATTGCTCTGACACCGTGTTTCCTGTTTCTTGTTTCCTGCTTACTGACTTTTTAAGAGTCCACCAACGCTTGTCTTGTCATCCATTCACCCCTCCTGTTTAACCCAATTACGGTCTCCTTTGAACTACTGTGGCTCAGAGGAAGCCCTGGCCTGTGTATTTGTTTCGAGTTTCTTTCCTCTGCGGCTGATTGTTCTCCCTCGGCCTCTGGGCCTTTCAATATCCTGCCATTTTATGCTTGAACCCGGTGCTAACATCCACGTTGTGTTTATAGAATAGTTCCCTAGGGCCGAGAAAGGGTGTTTCCCTTTCGACGGTCCAGTTCAATAGCCATGGCGGTACTCTCTGGTTTCGTCGTCCCTTATATATTCGCCCTTCTCTATCTTATTCCAGTCGCTCTATCGTTTGACCTCTGCTCTTCTACAAATACCGGATCTAAGTTCGACTCGGGTACGTGCCAGCTATTTTGTGGACGTCCTTATTTCGAACATTTGATATAGAAACATTAGATTGACTTTGGTTTTCAATCTAGTACTCGACATATTTCAATCAGACGGAGCCTGCACGAAAACCTGCTCGAGAAAATATTCTGTTGCAATTCTACAGGGCAAATTTTGTTGGTGTTCCGACAACGTGCCTGGTGGCACTATCGATAATAACGCGTGCAGCGAACCATGTCCTGGGTACCCGTCAGACAAGTGCGGTAATTCTCAAGAGGGTCTATACGCATATATACTGCTTAAGAAGCCCTCTCAAACCATCGGCTCGATAACTAAAACCCCGATGTCGGTCAGTAGAAATTTTTATTTTTTTTCTTGAGTCCTAGACCGTTTTCCATTATCCCCCGGTTATCTCTCTCTCTCTCTCCTTTTTTTAAAATTTTTATTTTTATTTTATTTTATTATTATCTTTCATTCAAAATCAAACTTGGAATGATGAGCGCATGATCCCTAAATCTTCCATGAATCTACACCTTTTCTCATCCATTTTGACCGTTAATACCCAGGCTACATCTCAAATTGAAATTACGACGGTCACTGAGACGCAGCATGAAATGACCACTTTATCTTCTGTACGGAAACCTATATGTTTTCCAAGCATTGATGTATCTTTTATGGACTTTTTATGCTTGTCGTGTGATTCAGGCCTGGCTGATTATCAAATACTCATCATGCACGTACTAACCTTATTACAATGTTTCTTCTTTAATATAGACCCAAACGCCCACATCAACATCAACATCTGGCACGAGCTCGAGCCAATCCGCCGACTCTATAGCAAGCGTTACACCGACAGAACCTCCCGGCCAAAACGATGAAGCCACATCTAGTTCATCCTTAAGCGGCGGAGCGATCGCGGGCATTGTTGTTGGTACATTGCTGGGCATTGGCGTCATAGTTTCCGCGATATTATGGCTCTTCTATATTCGTCGACGTCGGGAAAGGGAAGACTCGAAGGTTGGTATGAACGGCTATGACCACCCGGCGTCGTCTCCAAGCTTCCACACCTCCATCCAGAGTCCAGCTATGACCTACCAAAGAAGCCCGTCCATGAATGGACCAATGGGTATGCACGATCGAAATCTACTCGGCGTATCGGGATTTACGGATAGTCGCATGAAAAAGGACGCCGCTATTTATCCGAATGGAAATCGACAGAGCAATGTTTCTCTACAGGACAATCAGGATTACTCAAGACCTGTATTAAGAGTATGTATATCCCCTGAAAAAGGAAGTTTATTGAGCATTGTAAAGCTAACCATGTCATCCCCCCAGTTAACCAACCCGGACCCATAACACCCAACCACACCCTCACTCCACCAAAACCCCCCTTTCTCGCTCACAAAACACACCGCTGCATATATTTTCTACGGCCCCATATGAAATACCGGACTCCTTTGTTCATGATACCCTTTCTCATTAATTGCATCGTAATTGTCATTCCCACCATAAACCCTTAACGGAAACCTACCTACCCATCGAAATCCTCCACCCATCCCCGAAATCCGAAATCCGGCTATACCGAACCAATCTGAAATAAATAAAATCCACAGCGAGCAATCCCATTTTCCCCATAGAAAAAAATTTAAAAAAATGGTTTAGCTTAGTGGAACAAGATGAAACGAATTTCTTTTCTAAACAAGTCCAAACCAGAGATAGAATATTCTCCTTTTTCTTCTCTATCCATTCGCCACCTTCTGTCTCTCTTATCTCTTTTCCCTTTGTCTCCTTCATTATATCCGCTTGTATCCGTCCCTATTATATTTTACTATATCATCCCCCGAACCATAAAACGGGAGAGGGCGTACGTTTTTTGCTCATAAATCTGTGCCTTGTTCTATTTTCTTTGCTGTTCCCATATTGTAGGAACTTTGTATGTACCTGAATTAAAAAGGAGCACGGCATGGAAATGGAAGGACTTTTTTTTCTTTCTTCTCTCGTCTTTGTCCTCTCGTGCTTTCTTCCTGCGCCACTACTACTACTACCTCCCCCATATTTCAGCCACGATTTAACACATACCAAAACCAAACATACACATGCACATTGTACCAATACATAAAGCACAGACAGCAGATAGCAGAAAGCAGAAGCATATATTATATATTGTATTTTACCCCATTTTTTAGAGTCTTTCCCTTCCGTTGGCCAAATCAGCTTCACGTTTTTGTTTTTCAATGGGGGATTTTCTACCCCCTTCAAACTTTAAAGCCCCTTTTTCTGTCATCCACTAGCCAGCCAACCCGCCGCGCCGATTCTTATCCGCGCGATTGAGCATCGTGATATGATATCTGATGGGGTATTGACTGATAATCAAATCTATTCAGAGATTGTGTGAATTCCCCAGACGCATTTTCATTTCATTTTTTTTCTTACGCCCTGCTTTCTTCAAGAAGGGATGAAGAGGGGAGGGGTTGGGTTGGTCTGATGGTTAGAAGATAAGTTTCTGACTCCCCCCCCGTCTGCTCGATATTGATATTGCTTTGTATAGAAGGTTAATTCATTCCAATTTGTACGTACATGTACATGTACAGTGCAAAAGAGTTGCTAGTACTTGTGTGATTAGTATTATGTGTCCATCTTAAATTTATTATCCGGCGTAATACAAACGCCTATATTATATATTATATCTGGCTTAATTTATCACTTTCCTTGACTTGACCCCTTTTATTTCAGGGGGAACTAAAAGGTAACAAACAATAACCAAATTAACATAGAGATTTCTGCCCATATTCGAAAGCCTGCTTTTCTTTGAATAATTTCTCTTCGCTATCAAGGGAGACAGAGAGGGCATTACGTTGTGCATGCTGCATCTATCTCATCTAGCAGTGGGTCGTCTTTTACTCTTTTCTTGCATTTATATGATGTCTGTAGGTGATTCCGGCTGGTTCGCTCCCTAGTGTAATAGTTTTAATTGCTATCCATCATGGTCAACCATACGCTTGAGGTTCAGCTCGAGAACTAAATTTTGAATGCGAAATTGAACCTTCAAAAAAAGGAAAAGGCGTTTTTTACTACCGTGGCGTGGGAGGTCCCATTCCCTGCGATTTCCGAACGGGGAGATCTCGATGAAGGGAAATACTTGTGAGAAAGGCGCCTTCGTCACTTCATCAAATACATAATAATATTCCATATCTGGGTATCCATCCAGCTTTGCTTTTGCGTCGTTCCATCAAGAAACACGGCTACATAAAGCAAGAGTTACTTGACGCGCATAACTATAGTCCCAAAAAAAAAAGAGAAATTAATAAACAGCATGTACAAATAGGTCCCCTAGATACAAATAGATAATCATGCAGGACTCGTCGGCTCCCACGGCAGCAGAACCTTGTTGTTCGCAGGTGCTCTCCGCTGCGTATCCCTCTCCATATTCTGCGAGTTCACCCGCACCTCCATCGTCTTCAGGATTCCCCTGGAGTTATGACTCCGCTCACCACTACCACCTCGATCGCCCCTACTCACGTCATCCGACGCACCTTTTATAATAGCCTCTTCGCTCCCGTCGTCGCTCCTGCGCCCGTTAGGCGGTGACGTCCGTGTCCAGCCGTCCGTCACGGTTGTTGTCGTAAAATCATCCATGGTGTACGTGAGCAAGTCACTCTCTTTGTGCTTCTTGAATGCATGTCCACTTCCACCGGCGCCACTTGCTCCCTGGTGGAAATAGCGACGACTGTGAGAGCCGGATGGTCTGTAGCCGGGTGACGAACCGGGCCGTCTTCCAGAGGGTGTGCGGCCGGTAGCGGCGGTGAATAGGGGTCCCAGAGTTGGAATACAAGCGGCGATGATAATTAGGTATTGCTCTGTTGAGATCCAGGTTGTTAGGTTTATTGTTTCAAAGGTGTAGTCTGCGCGGGCGACCAGTTCTGCCAAAAAGATGGTTTTGACAATGGCCGCAGCAGTAGCACTGATTGTACCCCACGGTTGGTTGTTGATTAGCATTGGAAGTTTTGTGAATTGAGTGGATATAATAGAAACTAGAAAAGTAAAAGTAAAATAAAAGATGAACTTACACAATTCCCAGGGCAAGAACACATGTGAGACCAATCTTCACTTTTCGAGCCATCTGGAGCTGCCATATGATGAAAACAGGGTATAGAGCGAGAACTAAATCAGATGCGGCAGAGAAGGCTGATTTGGAAATGAAATTCGATGTTAGCCTAACTATTTCATAGCTAATTGACGGAGGGGGAATGTGTGAGATAAGCGGAAGTTTTTTTTTATACATACAACCCTGGAAAAATGCATAATCCCTCTGGATGTTTGGATGCCAACATGAGCCTTTCTTTCCGGGGCCAGTGCCATTCCAGAGAGCAGTAGTCGGTGTGCATTGACCATAAATGGTGTACACACAGACAGAGTTGACTACAGTCAATAGGACCATACCACCGAAGAAGATATATCTTTGCCTTTTTGCTCTATCGACGATTCGAAGGAGGAAAAACCCAATGGAGACTTTGCCCCAGTTCGTCGACATAACATGAAAGCCCTGAGAGATCCAGTTGAATTTGTTCGCTTGAACCTTTTGGTGGTCGTTTAGGTAGTAAACATGACGGCCGGTGCCATAATGGATACATATCGTGACACAAACGGTGTTCACAAGTGCGCATGCCTGTGGGAAAACAGTTAGATACCATAATGGTTGATTGTCTACCCAAGGACAAGGAGGGAAAAGAAGTTCGTACCATTGCAAGGCACATAAAGGCATCGTCCCATCCCCACCGTTTTATCAAACGAGTTCTTGTTATGACTCTTGCCAGGACTAGAACGAGCGCAACACTACATTCGGCCCATGTTATGGCATTGAGCATCGGCCCTTTGTTGACGTCTCCATCTGGAGGAGGTGGTCCTCGATCGTCCATAGCAGCGTCGTCTTCTTCTACCACCTGTCTAGTTAAGCACCAGCTCTGCTAAACGCCATCGAAGCAAACGTGGCAGTGAGGAAGCAGAGGGAGGGAGAATGAGATCTATAAGGTGCATCCACAACAAAGTCATCAATATGATCTCCAACGGGATGGTTTAAATTAGATGGCCACGCCAAGATGGAAAATAAAGAGAAATATTTACTGGCAAACCAGGAAGAGCGAGTACGATTTACCGTGGACCCATCAGGCAGGGTAGATGAGCCGATATCAACGACTAGGCCTCCCAGCAAAATGTTTGCAGGTGTTTTTATTTTTCACCCCTCCCTCTTCATATCTTTGCTTATGGCTTGGGAGGGAATGTACTGCGTAAAGTCCAAGGAAAGGTAACCTGGCTGGAGAACCCCGGCAAGGTAGGAATTGCGCTGAGTGCATCCGCGCCATTGCAGCCACAAATATGGATGGGCTTCCAGGCGTTGACTCAGGAAAGCGAGGCGACCATCCTTGAGAGCAGTTGAACTAGCTGCATTCTTTGCATGCATTGGAAGCGACAACAAGACTATCAGCCCGCCGTCCAATAGAGATGGCGCTCTGGGCGGCCGGGATTAAATCCCTCTAGCGAGATGGCAACCGGTATTTGCGGCAAAATTTCTCCAGGAGTTGGAACTTTCAATAAATACTCCGTACTCCGTACAACTAAAGGAGGATAGGATAGAGGGCATCGCGATCAAAACCATGGAAATTTGGCGAGCCTGCTGAGAGGAGAGGCCTTCATGTTTCAGACTGCACATACATTCCCCTCCTTGCACTAATGCTGCTCAAACTAGGCATCTTGCCAGGATGCAAAATCTGCCGATAACGGAGTACATGTAGTTGAAGATGCACCTCCGTGCGATCCCAAGCTCAATTTGAAATGTTACCGGAATCGAGTAACTCCTTTCCAAGAGATGAGCTCAATGTTTGGAACCTCCCAGGCCTAGGATACAGGCATGGAGGAGGTCGAAAGGCCCCGAAAGCACTCCCAAAGCATTTGGCGATTACAGCGAAACGCTTTATAGATTACCTGTAGCTGTGAAAACTGCAAGGGCTTTCCACACCAGTCTCCATACTTACAGCAGCCTATACGCAGCGTACTCCGTACTGTGGTGACATTGTTGAGTCAAATGGATTTTTGAATGTCTCAGTGTACGATGCGTAAAGCTTAATTCCATAATACTCATGATATAGACACACACTAATTACACTAGTCCTAATGTAATTAGTGTATTACTATATATGGTTGAGTCGGTCTTGGCTTTCAGACTTGTGAGCTCCGCCCCCACACGTACGTCTCTCAACAATTCTCAAGACCCCCAATTGTGCCTGGTTTCCAGACGAGGGGATAGATTCCGGGTATCATACAGCATAGAGCCCCTATGGGATAGAGACCTTAGGTAGGAACTCACAAATGTCACTATCCCCTCGTCTGGGAGCTAGGATACACTTAGCGTATTTTTCTGCCACCCAAATTTATGACCGTGTTTATTGGCTGGAAACCGCTAATTCAACTTGCCTACTGGCGATATACAAGGCGGTAAGGCAATGTATCACCCAGACGAGGGGATAGGCTGCCGTAAGACTTCAGTGTCCCGGGGCTAAATGACACTTAGTTTGAAGCTAAAGCAAACCGCTGGACTAGTGCCACTTATATGTGCTGGTGACACTGGTGCACATCATCCCCCCGCGTCCACAAAATCGGGCCAGAGATACGAGTCCTGAATCCTGATAGGGGAACATGCGCGCCATGTTTTTCTTTTCTTTTCGCCCTGCAACGTGCGTTAAGCGAGTAGGAACTTGCCGACGCGTTAGAAACTCGATCTCAGATCTCGATTCTATTCGCAAGAAAGGAATGATCTTCATTGATATTCACAGTTTGAACATGATATTGTCAGCTCGTAGCGTATTCAAGATTATGCCACGTCTGGCTGTGGCAATATGAAACCAAGGCATTTGGGTGCCGTATATCCTGGGATGATTTGGCTATGCAACGCTGCAGACGGGGCTGGTTGGTAAGTCTGCGAGGAACTCCCAGTCCGACAATACCAATAGTTTTCGGGAAGAATTTTCACATGGATTGTGCAGTATTCCAACAGCATGATTTGACAGGGGAGCGCGGCTGCCGTGCAAGGTACGAAATTTTCTGTTTCTTCTGCTCTTCTCGGTTTTGATGTTTAACCACCAAGGACCCCAGCCATATAATTTAACCTGAATGATTGCATTTCACATTCAGTCGTTTTCGGCTTCGAAGAACGCCGTTCGACTTTTTGGGACGAGGCGCTGGGACTGAAGAAGCGTTCAACAACTGGGTATCTTCGCTGACGATTCTGTAGAATTCAATGACCATGGTGCTTATTCGATTCCCAAAAGATTATAACTGGCATAGTTAAAATCCACTGCTTTGATCAGAAGTCGGGTCGGAAAAACGGCAGGAGAACTGTGTTTTCCTTAGTTCACTTGTATCTTTCTTTTATCCGTCCAATAATCGGCCGTCGACACCATGCTGCTTCTTTTTTTATTTTGTCGACTCTGTTTGGCTACCTCAAAAGAAAAAAAAAGATTTCATTTTGGTCATAGGCTCACAGGGTAGATTTCGGAAGTTTCCGCTTGTCTTCGTTCTGTGGCTCCTGTTATCCTTGGATCACATACATACGCACTACACAGTAGATCATCGATCAACAAGTTTGCGAATCTCCCCAAAGCTTGGATCCTTGAGCAGACAAGGAACACTGAAACTGGAACCGCATTTGATCCGACCTGTGCTCTCTCATTTCACTACAAAGTGTACGGAGTAAGCAACATTTGAAAAATAACCGCCCAATTAAACAAAATTTGTGGCATGAACCGGTTGGAATGAGAGGCCATTAATGCCCGTGCTGTGCACATGGGCAATCGGAAATAAAAGTTGATTCTCCGCGCTTTGTCGGAGAAATTTTAGGCTTCTAGCAAATGCTAAAGTATGAGCTGTTGGCTGGTCGCTGGAGTATCCCGTCTGTCATGGACAATGTTAGCAAGGACATAATCAAGCAAAGAATAGCTGGCTGCGGGTTCAACCTCCCCTCACCATATAAATTGAGATGCTGTTCCCTAGCTCAAGGAAATTAGCTGAAAGCGCTAGATTCTTTAGGCATGAAAGAAAACGCATACCATGAGTAAGCGTTTAGGAATATAAATTCCTTTGTGGTCTTTTAGTAGTGCCTTGGCACGTCACAAAAATGCCCAGAGACACACACACACTCTAGCTGAGTAGCCTGAGCTGGGCCCACTGGCTGGCGGTTTGTTTCTCTCATATTGAATAAATAGTGGGAAATGGGGATAGATGTTCGCGTTATCGCGTAAGGCGCTTGTGTTGATGATCGTCAAGTCGCCCAAGATAGGCGCGCTTGGCTTCGATGTGGGTAAAAAGAGTTCCGCGGATCTCGGTTCTATCGAACCAGGACCCGTGGCCCAATTGGCAAGGCGTTTGACTACGATTAAACACACCTTCACATCAAAAGATTGTGGGTTCGAATCCCACCGGGTTCATCTTTTGTCCTCCTTTTATCCTTTTTTTGTAAAATTACATTTTCATGAGCTTTTTCTTATTTCTTATAAGCATGTTTTTTGAGATGCATTTGATCAGACTTCCACCAAAAGTATATATCTATTTCAAATAGCAGTGATTGATTGATTTAACTGGAATGAAAGAATGTCATGTGATTTTTTAAAATGATTAACTCCATACGTCATAGGACTCAGCAACAAAATTTTTTGAGCGCCGGACCATCATAGAGGCATCAGCCGCATCACAAGCTTTTAAAAGAAAAGTGAAAGAGTCACAATATTCTAGGGATCAGAAAAATATATTTTACTACTTTATTACTTTGTTTCAAATCCATTTTACCCAGTATCATGACTCAATGGTTATAAAATGAGGTATTTTTCTTCCACCAGAATAAGCTCCCTCGCGACAATGAACTACTCTCATCAGGCATATAGAACAACCATTTCTATGACGCAGCAAAAAGTTATGAACCCGGTGGGATTCGAACCCACAATCTTTTGATGAGAAGGTGTGTTTAATCGTAGTCAAACGCCTTGCCAATTGGGCCACGGGTCCTGGGTCGATGGTACGGATTTGAGTAGCTTGCGATTGTGTACTCCGTAGGCGGGTGTGGTGTGGAAAGAAGGGGAAAAAGCCTTACGAAAAAAGTTGATTGCCGATATCGGGAGATAGGAACCGAGGGAAAAAAAAAAAAATAAATAAAAATAAAAGAAGGGTTGTTCAGATTGAACCCGGTGGGATTCGAACCCACAATCTTTTGATGATCAAGGTATGTTTAAATCGTAGTCAAACGCCTTGCCAATTGGGCCACGGGTCCCGCTTCACAGTGGCGAGAGTGCTCGTCAATTGTTACAAAAAAGATAACTTTTCTAGACGCAAAATACCAATATCACATCAATCTATATCGATTTTTACTATAAATGTGTCGAATGCATTTGTTATTTTGATAGTACGGCGTTCCTTGGGGCCTCTCTAGCACAAATGGCAGCTCAATTTCCCGCAAGAGGCGGGAAATCCCTTCAAACCCCCCTTTTCACCTGAGGATCAAATAAATCCATATATATTTTGATCCATCCAGACCCCCAGACCAGGCCCACTCCTCCAGGGGTATCCTTACCACTGCGATTTGGCCAATTGCAACCGCATAGGAGTATGCAACTAGTCCAGCGCGTGATTTTACACTGAGGTAACCTGGAAAAAGCTAATTTCAGTAGCGCTGCATGCTCAGCTTTCCGCTCCAATTTCACGTTTCTGTGTCAAGCCAGTGTCGGTAACAAAACCAATCGGCGAGTTTTAGCAAATCAACTACAAAAGCTCCCGTTGACACTTTTTAAAACTTCTGGGGTGTTCTCTGACATCCACCGAGAATAGCCAGCCACGGACAGAGTGGGTGGCCGAACGGAATTTGCTTCCCGAGATGGCGAGATCCCGAATGACTGGGATGAATAACCAGGGTGGTTATTACTTTCCATGGACCATGAGCTTCCGGGTTGTTCTAGACGAAAAGAGGGGCTTGTGCTGGCTGCGAGTTTTGCGCTCAAAGTGGCTGTTAGCAGCGACGGGGTTACTACACAACTGTACAGCGCCTGCAAGATACCCCTGTTTCCTGCCAGGACGAGGGAGTTGTGCGGGAAATACGAAAACACGAACGTGGTTCTTGTACCTTCTTCCTCCACTCATACCAGGTTGGCCGGCTTTGAGCGAGACTCTGGTAAAGAACTCTACAAATTTGATGGTAAAGATAGCCAACTCCTTGTCGCTGTAGTGCGGTAAATGGAGGGGAACCCCCGGCTCCCTGTTCAAAAAATGCATGAAGGGACTATATATGTCAATTGCATGCTCGTAGCCTCTGCAGAATACCAATTTATATAAAGCTCCCGAGCAGACGAAAAGAAAGGATATAAAACCAGCAAATGAACCGCGCCCAATTAACCTTCAGCTTTTCTTTCGGCGATTTGCTTAAGCTGACACACGAACGCTCTCTGTTTAGACTGTCTTAAACTTCGCAGGGCCGGCCCAAAGTCTCATTCGCTTCCCGTAAATCTGTAATCCTAAAACCATCAAAAACGCAAAGCCGCAAATGCCCGTCATCGTCCCGAACTGACGAATGGTGCCCTGTTCATTCGCCCATCGAACCATGAAATAGCTGACAACAAACCCACCAGTCGTACGCCCGAAATTGATCCACGCAGCCACTTCTCCACTGGCTTCGGGGTAGCTGTCTAGCACATAGGCATTGACTGCAACAGTCGTGATCATAATTCCGAATACATACAGACCCCATCCTAGCGAAGCTAGCATATAGTGATACTCCCTCTCTAGTGCGAAGCCGAGCAGGATCAATCCCGCGCACATGAAGGGGGTCGCTATCCAGGTTGCTATGTATCTGGCTTCGGGCTCCAGACGGCCATTGTTGCGCCGTGCGGCCAATCTAGCAATGATGTCATGCAGCCAGTGGCCCGCGATTTCACCGAGGATGGCGCCAGTGACGGGAGTAAAGTAGAAGAACCCTTTTTATAGAGTGTTTGGTTAGGGATAAAAACACATTATAGGAGGATGGACTGAGTTGTCTACTGACCAATCTGTTTAGGTCCAAAGCCGTAAAGGGGACCAAGGAAAATGGAGAGAGTAGTGTTAATACCAACAACCCAGGCGAATGTCAATAGATAATACATCATGGAAATGAAGACGGGTGGTTTGCAGATGATGATAAGCGGACGCATGCAGGCATCTTTGAACGTATTGCGCAAATGGCGTGAATGCCACTGCTCGATTCCAACCATTCGCTTCCACTTTGGTCCGCGATGTGGCTGCTGAGATTCGGGGATCTTGCGATCATAGTATGTCTCGTCGATGTAGAAGACGATGAGGACTAAGCACAAAGCTGTCATTATCGAGTAAACGCCGAAGGCCCATTGCCATATCTGTGTGTTGATGATAAAGGCTGTGAAGAGCGGGCCGAGATACGGAGAGACAATGATGAAGCTGGACCAGATATTGATTTTTCGCGCATGTTCATGGAAGAAAAAGAGGTCTTTGATGAACATGAGACCACCCTGGAAACATCGCTTTTAGCTATCTGGACTTCAAGGAATGAATGCTGCTTGCGATAGGAATTGAACTAACCCCTTGAGCCACAGTGGAAAAAAAGCCATTGAGAATCCTAGCAGCCTACACAGCGCAAAATTGTTAGATATGGACACCATTCCAGTTTCCATTGGTTATAGATTGACATACCATGAAGGATTCAAATGTCTGGGCCGCTGTGCACCAAACAGCAGTCGCAGTCGCAATGACCGCAAACCAGAAAAAGACGGGGTACCGGCCGAAGTACGCCGCCAAAGCCACGACGAATACACCTCCGGCACCCAACATGAAGACATTTCCGACCTGTGAATGGTTTACCTCGTCTGGGGTCATATTCCAGATCCTAGATTTTTATACGGAATTAGGCTGTTTGTTTCTAAAAGTTTGACTATTGAGATGTTATATCTTACACAGCCTGCGGAAGCAGTGTCACGGCTCCCGTTGCGCTTCCATAATCAGGAAGGAATGCGGTCATGGATATAACGATGAGAATGAGGTGTTTCCTCCCCCATGACCAGTTGAGGGGATCCAATGGAGATGTCGATGGTTGGGGGATGAGGATTGTACGGCCATCTTGAGCGGTCTTCAGATCTCCCGCTTGCGCGTGGGATGTGTCAAAAAGATAGCCTTCCTTTCCAGCAGCAGCTTCAAGATTGTCAATTGCATTGCTAGAACCGCCAACAGCTATTTTGTCCTGGTCAGAGCTGCCGGAGGACGACTGTCTGGAGCTATCCTGACCAGCCATTGTTGTCTATTCACACTTTTTTCTCGTTAGAGGAACAATGAAAGAAGGGAAAATGCACCATTCAAAAAGAGGTGGTAAACGAGTGACGAGGAAAAAATTAAAATAGAGAAAATAAAAAGGAAAATAAGAAAAAAGAGGGGAAGGCGAAGACCAAAAAAAAGAAAAGAGAGAAGAATAAAAACTCGAGCTCATAGTACCAACATTTACACGCTGCGGATTAGAATCCCGCATTATTCCTAGAATCAACAGACGCCGCCACTACATGCTGACGGACGAGGAGACAAGGGATGCTGTCACAAACGAACCCAGGGGTCATTATTGTCTTCTCTTGACAAGGTCAATTGGCAAGGTACGGAGTACGGAGTATTGCCTTGAAAGTTGAAGCTCCGAAGTTCCATGCCTCTAACAACCTAGTTGCATATGCGAACTGGACAACCAGAGCATATAATCCTTCGCCTAGCAAATGGCAAAGACCTAAGACAAGAGGGGTGAGAATCCCAGGTTCGTTTAGATTGCAGCAGAGCAGATCGGGTTAATTGCGTCCGCTAAGTTCCACACGGGCCAATGGAGGGATTCTGCAGGTCTTTGGATGCCTGTCATTGCTTCGCTTAAGTATTGCATGCCGCTCGGGGGAGGTTGAATTCAAGAAATGGTGTTATTTTAGGGTTGCGGCGTAGTTACACCCGGAGTCTCCGCTCCAGGGCTAAGGAAATAATATTCGCACTTTTTTTCGAGAAGAACGAAAAGATAGACGCGGCACAGACGGCATATTTGGCTCGGCCTTTCGTTTATTTAAACTTAGCGCATCCTGCACGATCTGAGGGCCTGATGGGGTGCTCTCCCGCTGAGGCTTCAAGTGTGCGCTAAAGAGCGAGCTAACCCAGGGAACTTCAGGAACAACTCCGCTGTCCCCGGTCGACCTTTGGCCTAGCACGTATTAGCTGTATTACTATCTTGTTGCCACGGGGCCGCAAATTTCGACCGGTTTTGGAATCTCTCACTCTTAGCCTCTTGAGGAATTCCTGGCGCATCATGGCGGATTTGGGGAACTAACCCTTGATTCGCCATCATCCACAGCGGGGGTCGGTGAACTAGCTATTTCAGTCAATTTTTGAATTTAAACTCGTTCATTGCTCAAAGGAGAGAAATAGATACTCCACATGGAGTATTCTTAACCGATATAGAGCCTGGTTGGCTATGACTTGCATCTCAATATGCGGGAGAAGAAAATCGGTAAAAATTAGGTACGTACAGTACAGTACATACATAGAAGAAGCGAATCGGACCGACCTCGCTACTCCTTCGCATGATCCTAGCGTTCGGGAAGATATCCATTTCGCCAGGAAAGTCCCTTTGACATGGAAATGTATGGTGGCTGATAGAGGATCAACCTTGATCAAACCATTTCTCGCATGGCAACAGGGGATGTTTTTGAATACCCTGGGATTTCTGGTATCCGTTACACTGTCATTATATAGTCGAAGTCTTACGCTGTATACAAAGGGATCCCGTTGGGCAATAGCCTTCTGTCTAGAATTTAGGTTACTCGTCTATTCTGCCAAAGCAATTCCTGGCCTCACCTACTCATTCCGCATGAGCCTATCTATTTTGTGGGTGTTAAGGAGGCGGGCGCTGACTCTGAGAGAATTACGGTGAGACGAGTAACGGCATATAGTAGCCTGTAATGGAGGTCGAGCAAACAGGACGAAACTCAAGATCATCGGGAGATCTATACTGCGGGATATCATGGGGCTCATGCTTTGGGTAGCTAGGAACCATATAGGGAACCATTCGCTCATACGGAAGGAGAATCGCCATTCGTGACACGACTCCCAGACCGGTTCGGCATAATTCCGCATCGACAAATCGGAATAGAGTGCGGAGCGGCAGCGAAGGTGAAAGAACCTCGCTCCAAAATAAATAGAGCTGTGATAGGTCCAACTAATGGCACAGAAGTTGTAGAGCTTTCCCCATGCCAGCTGAAATGCCCATGCGGTGAGTGGGTACGAACTAGCACATCCCCAAGTGCACGGAAATTGCCTGTAATTCCTGGAGATGGCGGGTGCGATACCATACCCGTATCGCCAAGGGCGTTTAGGAAGAGCAATAGATGTAGGGTAAGCACAATGAGACTGAGGTTTGAATAAATAGGCTAGGATATTGCGCTTCGTCTTCGTTATCTCCTTCTGGGTTTTCGTCAGCGCTGCTAGCATGCTCCTGGAAAACGCATTGCTCTGGAACAAGAAATTCTCTGTGGTTCCATGCATACGGTTCGCTACGTACTACGTATAACGCTTCGAAGTTTGGAAGTCAAGGGAGGAGCTCCTTCAATATTCCCTGGCGGTGCCAGGGTGCACGGTATGGTATGGAGAGTCAGACATGTCAGCAGCCACTGGAACACTAACAGTTTCCAGAGTAGAAGACTTGCGCACATGTGGCTATGAGAACTCAATCCTACTATACGGAGTATAGTAAGCGTAACTATATATTTGGACCTGGGAGGATGTCACCTCGCTTACCAGAAGGGTAGCCTTGTGATGGGTCTTCAAGATTTGAGGTAAAAGGAAAACGAAATTGGAAACGGTGATAGGAGCCCTGTAACTGCTGGCTTTAGTTAAAGTGATATACAAGTGGACGGTACTCCGTAAACGCCATTGCGATGATTTATATAGGCTTCATCAACCGGAAAAAGGAGTTCAGCAGGTGTATGTTGATTCTCAAAGGATATGAGTAAGGCTGCTAATTGCGTGGTGGACCTCTCACTGTGAAATGGCAGCGATTATCAGTAGAGAAAAGCTGAAGAAAGAGTCGAAAAGAGAGCAGCAACGAGTCCATGTAACTACTGTACTTGCTCGGGAGGGGGGATTTTTGCCATTTGAAATGTAATATCCATGGATTTCAAGACATCTATCCGACGACAAATGAACCACATTCGTTGCTTTGTGCCAGTTGCTTATCTCGAACAACCACTTCCTGCTTCTTGCTGCATATATATATATGCATCCGCCGGCGGGGTACAAGAGTCCGGTTGCGGATTACCATGCAAGTAAACAGACAATGGGGACGCCCCCAATCCACGCAGGCAGGTTTGATTTCGTTTGTCAAACCACACACTTTTGAAGAAGAGCCCGGGATTTTGAATGTTGAATTCACATCCATTGACTGATTGACTGACTGATTGATTGATTGATTGTATGGATGTGTGATATGTCGAGCGGCTTTTCCTGGTAGCTATTTCAGGCGGAGTGCTTGGGGTTTGGAAGCATAATTATGTATACTCCGTAGTAAGTTACATGTTTAGATCACCTAGACAACCCCTGAATCTGGCTGCTAGGCGCTTAAAGTCGCTAACACATCCAATTCTGCTGGCGAGTTCCTTTGTTTTGCTTTTCCTCCTCTCCTCACATTCTATTCCTAATCACATTGAGTGCCAGTGTCTTGCTTTGTTTGGCTGACATCTCTCTCACAATGGCAGTCCTCTCGGATTTGCTCCCTTCTTCCCGGGACTTGCGAGTCTTGCCTCTGTTTGCTGCCCCGCTTCCCCGCGTCTCCCCAAAATTCGAGCCAAACGTGCACGGCCAATCTGATATAGGAGGTGACAGAGTGGAAAAATATGAAGTCGTTATCTCTGGGGTATGTGCCTGGAATGACATCTAGTTACCCTTCCCATTATTATATCGTAGTTGGGGATGGCCGTATTTATAGAGTTTCTATATGTTTGTGCGGGCAATCAAGAGTTCAAGGGGTCAAGCCTAGATCATGTGTAACCAACGATTGTTGGGTGTATTGCAATTTATACGAGTGTTTCAGCATGGAGATTTCTTTTTTAGGCATTATATTTCTCCGAAATCTGACAGATTGTGAATCGCTGTAGGCGGGCCCTGCAGGCTTGATGCTTGAGCTATTGCTGGCGCGTTACGGCCTGTCAGACTCATCCCTCCTCTGCTTGGATCCTAAACTGAGTTCTTTGAAGTCTGGTCAGGCAGATGGCCTTCAGCCCCGTACTCTCGAGGTACTTAAGAGCTTGGGACTGGCCGACGAGATCCTCACAGAAGGCTGTCAGATGTGGCAAGTTGCCTTTTGGAATCCTACTGCGGATCCTGAATTGGTAGCTAAGGGGCGACTGATCGAGAGAACTTCGATTGTTCCTGATATATGTGTTCCGGCTCGTTTTCCCCATGAAGTTACTATTCAGCAAGGTCGCATCGAGCGCATATTTGAAGATAATCTGCTTAAGTATTCGAAACGTGGAGTCCTGAGATCTAGCACTCTGGTGGATGTGAAGATAGATGAAGAAGAGGATCCCGAGTTTCCTGTTATTGCGCAAATTGACGTGGCCGGCGTACGGCGCATTATTCGTACAAAACATCTCGTCGGGGCAGATGGCGCACGCTCTACGGTTCGTAGTTGCATGGGCCTCCGGATGGAAGGCGACTGGACAGACCATGTCTGGGGCGTTGTCGATTTCGTGGCTGATACGGATTTCCCGGATATTCGACGAAGAACTGCAATTCATTCTCCCGTTGGATCCGTTATGATTATCCCCCGCGAACGGATTGCCAATGGAGACTACCTTACCCGCCTATATGTGCAAGTTCAGGAGGATGTAAAGCCAGAAGAAGGTGAACGTGACGGGGACAGCAACGGGACTGCAGCTGATGCAAAGGCTCGTCGAAGCAAGGTTACGGTAGAGAGCATATTCAAGCAGGTTCAATCTGTTCTACAGCCATATTATATCAAGCCAAAATATGACGAGGCAGTGGACTGGTGGACGGCTTATCAGATTGGGCAACGGGTCGCAGACAAATTCATTGTGAAGGATTCAAAAGGAATACAAAGAGTTTTCATCGTCGGTGACGGTAAGGATAGCTGCCACATACACCGACATTGAACATTAGCTGACGGGCTCTTAGCTTGCCACACGCATAGTCCAAAGGTCGGTAAAGTTCTTGTGACTACAAAATCTATTGAAGATGAGGCGTATCTGTGTTTAAATTGACAGAGATGTATGCGGATCACTAACTCTGAACTAGGCGGGACAAGGAATGAACGTCTCAATGATGGATTCCTATAATCTAAGTTGGAAGCTGGCCTACTATATTAACGGCCTTACTCCTGCTTCTGCAAATAACCTACCAGATCCAATCCTTGATACCTACCACGAAGAGCGACACACGGTCGCGCAGCAACTTATTGAGTTTGACAAGGCCTTCTCTTCTATGTTTTCGGGGAAGATTGACATAGGAGAGGGCGGAAATGGGGGAGGTGCTAATGGCTTATCACATGAGCAATTCCTCGAGGTCTTCAATACTGGAAATGGTTTCACTAGTGGGTGCGGTATTGAATATCCGGAGAATGCGCTTGTCGAGAAGACCTATTCCGGGAACCCAGTTCAGAGTATAGACTATCTATCTGGCATTCTGCGTCCAGGGCGGAGGCTCCTTAACGTACGGGTGAAGCGGCATGCGGATGGATGCCCTAGAGATCTCCAGGATGGTAGGCGTTTCTCTTTCTTTCTTCTACACCACGCGGGCCCACGACGTTCTCCTCAAACCGAGGGCAGTAAAATCAAATCATTGAAAAATTAATAACAAAAAACATAGATTTCCCTTCCACCGCGCGTTTCCGTATCTTACTCCTGACATCAAACGATTTGCTCTCCCCAACCGGCGTGTCCACCACAGCAATCAAAAGCATTGCATGCACGCTCCTGACGGATAGATTTCCCCCTTCTATCCTCGAGCTGGTTGCCATTCATCCTGAGCTTAAGCCCGACTTCCTATGGGATGAAGTCCCGGTCGAACTGAAGAGACATGCAGAAATGCGCTTCTATGATGGTAGCGAGTTGCAGGATGTGTATGCTACGTATGGGGTGCCTGTAGATAGGGGTGTCATTGCAGTTGTAAGGCCTGATGGGTATATCGGCGTACTTGCTGCTTTGGATGATGTGCAGCGGATTGAGAAGTATTTGGGAGCTTGTTTGCGGACTATTTGAACAATAGTACGTCTTGTGAGGTTCTTCTGTCAATCTCCTCTTTTCTTTGATTTCACGCGAGTACGTTTGATGGCTGTCAGCCCTTCCTCCTTCGTCTTCTTACTTCCTTAATGTAGCTGTCGCAGATGGTGGTCCTAAACCATAGATACAGTCAATATGTCTATCTTTTTCCAACTACATTCATGCCTGTGCGAATCGTATGTAATGTACAGTACATGTACATAAAAGCAAGAACTGCCCCTACCGAGGGCAAATTTATTGGTGTGTGCAAGTACAGACCAGGGTTTCGATGCTACCGATTTACTGAGTCCGCGAGACGCAAGAATTCGATAAGGAAAAGCGACAATGGCGTTAGAAACTAGTGAGTCAGGACTTTTTTACCCGATTCAACGCTTGGTTGTGCCTGTCCATATCAGGAGACGCTATCCGAAGCATCCTCAACTTCACCAAACCAAACAATATCAAGAATGAACAGAGTTCCTGTCGACTGGATCCCCAGGGAATAAGTACTACCGTCTACACTTTGTTTGTTCTGATTGACCTATGTACTATTTCCTTGCATACGAAGAGGAGGGGTAATGTTTGGAAGCACCTATTCACAGCCTGCACGTCAAACAACCAGTGATTTCTTGAAGAGTACAAGCTGAATACACGAGAAATTAGCAGACTTATGTTGCTAATTATAAGGTACGAGTGAGATCCCTTTACAAGATGTGAAGGGGGTTTGACTGAAGTTGTCTTGCTGCAATAATGCTAGATATATCGATTTAAGGGACATATCTCGGTCTAACATCAAAAGGAGAGGAACAATGCACGGCCACGATATCTTGATACAAAACTTCTCAGAATTTGATAGTTCGACAGCTATCCCTTGTTTATTTCAGACTTTCCATTGAGCCGGAGCCTCACCCCGCAATTCTCGTGTCGTCCACATGGAGGACTCATACTTCCCCAGCCAACTAACTTGATGGATGATGATCCCAGGCTGCTTGTTTCTGTTGGCTAAGCCAGCAATGGTTCTGTAGTCGACAAATTCGTGTAGCTCTGTTGAGGCTAGGCCATTCTTTAGAAGAAGAGATGAACTTTTTACCTATACAGGTAGATTGTTGAATCTCTCACATGGCCCTGTGAAACTCTGCTTCTCGCCTCTGGAGAGCTCATTGGAGAAGTTGGACGGTGCCTGAGATCGATAACCGATGGTGAGATTTAAATACGACACTTCTTGGTCCATCTGGTTTGTACAATTTTGCTTTCCTTGACCCTGTTCTTAGGCGTCTACGGATATACATTCATTATAACGGGCTGTCAGGGCATTTCATGGTCAAACCTCACACTATTCATTTCTGCTTTTAGAGTTATCGTTATCTGATATTCACCCTTCCAGGGCCGCTTTGTGTGCGATACTTGTCTATTGCTAGCATAGCGCGCGCATGCGAAATATTTTGTCACTATGGAAGTCTCCATGTTGATCATTGGGGGTACTTTGATGGCAGTTACTCTGGTATATCTGGCCCTTAATAAGGAGCAAAGAAATTGCCTTATCGGCGATATCAAGATCGGTGGACGTAGAGCGTCTTCTGCAGCCATATTACCTTGCTCTATATCACCCGAAAAACAGGTGTCTGCTGGCTACCCTTATGGTGATACCTTACCGCCATCACGCCGCCATGTGCTATCCGAAATGAATGATGTCCCACTCCCTTTGTTGGACGAGATGTCACCCATTGTATTTAACTTCAAAGCGCTTTTCACTCCTGTCACGGACTTCCGAGACGAACCCTGTGTACCAAAACTGATTGTGAAGATTCTGAAAGAGGGCAAGAGGCCCCTTCTGGAGTACAAGAATACATGGCATGTCGAGCACGTTGTGCTACCGGCCTTGGAAAAGTGGGCAGCTGAGAAGGAGGAGAAAGGCTTAGTCGAAAGTGGGTGGAAGGTAACCACTCTTGATGAGAGTCCGTGGTTTAAAAGGTGGGAGGAGAAGTGACATAGGCAGCAAGGGTTTTGAACGGATTATAATGAATGCTGGTTGGAGTTAGGCTTTTTCAATACCGTATATTTGTCATTTTTCATCTTCATTTGTCTTTTATTTAATAATATTTCTTGGACTCTCCAGGAGGAATTCGCGGATGATGTTTTGGTATCATTATATTGTACATTCAAATGGTCATGAATGGAAATAGAATTCCCCATGAACAAACACAGATACGTAATATTGATGTCAAGCGAGATAGCTTGACACTTAAATGAACCTGTATGCCCGTCTTAGGCGTTGGATACACTATGCTCTAAGCATAGCCCTCGTATAAAACATCGGTTGAAACGCCCGCGGTACGACTGCGATACCAGTGGCAGTCTTGCGTTTCGCCTGAAGGCACGGTGACCGTATTTCGAGACGTTCCGATACGTAGCTGGGGTAAACCACCCCCAGATTCGTGATTACGAACATCCAACTAGGAGAGCTCTGGTATGTCACGCACGCTAACCTTTCCGGTCTTGGGTAAAATGGCCTAGGGAAGGTTGCGCCCACCCAACTCCACAAGCTGGATAGTGGAGTCTCGGTTTAATGTTCAGTTCCTGCGATGGCTGCAGGTTCGGTTCATCAAGAGTTCGGCGCAGATAACAGGTGGTCGAATGGCTGCCAGAAGCTGCGGAGATGTGACGCTCAATATGGACAGCTGTAAAAAAAAAAAAAACAGGATGTGAAATGGATCGCATTCAGGCATCTTCGCCACGGCTGGATGCTTCCCCGCTGTCCTGGCTTCCATTTGAATCTCTATCAATATCCTCCAACTCCTCCGCCAACGGACTGATTCTTTCTTCAAGAATATCCAGATCCTCTAACTGAGTCCTCGAAGGCAACTTCCATAGACTCGTACCACATACGCGGTCCTTCGTAAGCAAATCGTCCACAAACTGATCAATATACGTGAGCATAAAGCCGTCTTTTGTCCTCCTCTTCAGTTTCCGGTAATCCACCAACAGCGGCTCGAGAGTCCTGTATATATCCGCAGCATCAAAGGTAAGCCGGATATAAAAAGCCGCTAGCGCACGAAGATATTTGAAGTCTCCAACTGCTTTGACAACGCCATCATTAGCATCCTGTTCCTCCTCCAACCCATTCCCTTCGCCACCCTCAACACGTTCATTTTCCGGGTCATGAAAGTTCAAATATTCCAACACTATATCTTTCTCTGGTGCAAGCTGGAGTAGCTTAAAGGCCAAACATAAGAATGGCGTTGGCTTTTGCGCAAGCCCGTATGTTCCTCCGATATAGGTAAGTTCCACGGCGCGATCGCAGAGAGTTGCAGCGTTGAGGCCGAAGCACTGTTCTTTCCAGTAGTATGAGTCGGTGATGCGATCACGAACGGCCTTTTCGAATAGTGTGGCAGGGTTAGCACCGCGGATTAAGGGCCCCGTGTAACCCCGATTGTCCAGCAGCGCACTGGCGTCGGCGCGGTGATATGACATTGTCGGCCTTGAGAGAGAGTCGTCAAGGTTGTGCTAATGGTTTCGCAAGAAACTGACGGAGAAAAAGGGCATCTCTAAGAATAGTACCTGTAGTATATTGTTAATACGTAGTCGTAGGGAATTACGCTGTGTTTTGAAGCTTTTTGTATATGGAGTGGTGTTTTCTGTGCTTTTAACGAAGCTCATCGTAGCCGTATCACGTGCCGTTTCGGGTTTGTCGTTGGAATAAGATTCTATGCTTCGATACTTAACTATCGATAAGGTTGCCCCCGCAACAGGAAAACTGAAAACACCGTCCCGCTTGGACTGATGTCGTCAGATTGCCCCCCTTGGCTGGTGTCTTGCGGAGGCAGCCCTCTCTCTGGTTATTATTCATTTATATTTATTGATATTTAGCAGACCTGGAGAGAAAATCTTTGCCTATAACATTACCGATCCACCACTTGCTGAATGAAAGCTTCATGGCTCAACAGAAGAGCGATGGTATCCCTCAGTTTTGCCGCATTTTCGACCTAAGTTACAGTTGACCATGGTGCTCCTCACGTCTTCGGGTATCTCCCTTGCAATATCAACGTCTATCATTGGCTTATTTACCCTTCTTCTATTTTTATCAGGCTATGTGCTGCAGCAACAGTCAGTCCGAGGTATGCAAGCCGCCCTCAGCCCTACCGCGCCAACCCATCCAGCATCGCGCCCCTATCCTGTAGCAGGAGGCTCACCTGCTGGCGCATATGTTATTGTCAATCAAGGGAAAGAGGCATTCTCCAGCCCTGATGTTGTTGTAACAGACAGTGGTGATACAGGAGAAGGAAGAGACGGAGAGCTAGGGGAGTCCTCGGGCTATGAGGGGATGAATTCACGGCAAGATGATCAGGGAAGCAATTATGGACAAAAGCATAAACAAGTATATCTTCAAATGGTATCAAGACCCAGCGTGTCGGGTATCTGCTCGAGTCTTCTATTCTTTAAAACGCTCGCCTCTCAGAGCAAGATCACGACAGATAAAGTTTTTCTTTACCCCAAATCGTGGGACAACAACGCGCCAACCAGAAGTATCGTGGAGGCGTTAAGCACCCTCAAAAACCACCAAGACGTATATGACATAATTATACATGCCATCGACATGACGGATCCCAACTACCGCTTCCCATCCAACACCAAACTCCTCAGCAAAGCCTCGCATAAATTAACTCACTACGAAAAGATCTTCTTCACCCGCTCCCCCGGCATGCTTCTCAATGCCTCAAAACTCAACCAACTATTCTTCTCCGAACCACCCACATTTTCATCCTCGTCCTCATCTTCATATTCACCATTGTCGTCATGGAAGAAGAGAAGAAAACCGAACGACAATTCACAGACCGATATGTGGGTGCCAACCCGCCTATCAACCATGAACGCGGACCTTCCCTATGCGTTCCTCGTCACAACAGACCATGACTCCTCGGGCCGTGTTTCTATAAGATCACACGTCCCGATTCCATCTGTTAAACAGTCATTGATCGTTCCAGCAATACCTAGATTCCCAGCAGAGAGAGTCACGGAGCTACATCCCGCCTATGTGTTCTTTGACAAAAGTAAGAATCAAATGAGGGAAATGGGGACTGTGTATTATCAGGAATGGAAGAAGCAGGTGCATGATGCCTGCCAGGGGATTGAAATTAATGATTGATGTATACTTATCTGGGAAATTTTGTGAAATTTTGGATCGGCGTTTAGCGTGCAAATGGGTGGTTTGTGTTTATGGTTGTCTTCGCATTTTGCATATTTCCGCTTGTCTCTTTTCTCTTTTCTTTTTCTTTTTCTTTTTCTTTCTTTTTTTTCCCAATATCTCGCCGGCTTGGCTTGAGTGTATGTGTATCTGAATTCACCTTTTCTTGGACATTACTGTATGATATACGTTGTTGGGTATGATTCCCCTTGAAACCTGACCTTTTTAGACTGCAGTTAAAATTTTCCAGGCGCAGTTTATTCTACATTTGTTCGTCACTGAAACGCAATCAATTGGGCTCTTCGGCTGAAACGCTCTGTTACGCTCTGTTGTATGAGTTCTAATTGAAAGACAAAACTATGAATACATCAATTACATCAGCGTGGCATATTATTTTCGGCTTAACAAAACCTGTTGATAGATTCGAATCCCCTGCCACTTGTTGATTAACACTCCCTCCAAACATTCCAAGGAAGAGCTGCCCAATATCCCAGCGCCAGTTCCATAAGTCATTCCCACACCAACCCCGCCAACATGTCATAAAACAAAAGCCATTGAAAGGTGGGAAGCTCTCGTTGGGCAATGTACAGCGATGGTAGCACTGACGTTGTTCGCTCACAGCTAAAAGCTAGGGCTTTTCAAAATCCCGCCACATGAAACAATGAGAGGCCATTCCAAAATGATTGATTCCCGACAGGATAGAAATAAAAGAAAAGGGGGTATAATAATAGGTATGAAAAAAGTACAGCGAAAAGCCCGCTTAGACGTACAGCATATAGGAATTGGGGCGGTATAATAAAACGCTTCAGAAATGAAATGCCAGGTGATGTATAGCGTTGAAAGATGCGTAGGGGGTTTCTGGAGCCTTCTAGAAATATCCAAGGAATAGAGATTAATATGATTAGAGGACTCCTATCTCATACCCAAGCAGAACTTCCGTATTGGCTCCTTCCCAGCCCCGGTTACCGCCGGTGGATATCATATACCGACATGCCGCATCCATGTACAGCTGCGAAACAACTCCGGTGCGATGCCCCGGAACAATGAGGAAGGGCACACTTGAACGGCTCGAAGACTGATCGCTTTTGAGATCATACAGGCGAAGAATATCGTACGAAGCACTATTTAGACATGGTTAGCAAATTAAAGTCAAAACATGTTAAGGGAATGATATGTTCATCCTAGAAGGTGATGAGCTTGGCTTCATAGAGGAACCGGAGACATACCAGATTAGATGTCTACCGTTTGGCATTGCTTTGACGGCAGAAACTGGGCCGCTTCCCTGGGGGAATTTAAACGTCCGTTCGGCACTGCGGAGGCCTTTATGCAGGCTGAATTCTTCTACGGTACCGTTGCGCCGTCCGGCATAGATATAGTTCCCATCTGGCGACCAACATGCATTCATGCACCACGGGGGAGCGTTTCGAGAAACGATCTTGGCAATCGGGTTTGGTTGTCGTCTGTCCCAGACTCGTATTGTGCCGTCAATCGACGCAGAGAAAAATGTAGTGTCTGATGTTATGTCTGAGGTTTCATCTGAAGAAGCTTCGGTTTTATCTTGGCTTGCTGGCGCACGTTCCAAATCATCGGCGTGAGAACCCCCCAGGGTTTCAGAAGATACACCATTCGGCAAAGTCTCAACTGCAGTGGCTGAAGATGGGCCCGTTTGATCTTCCTTCTCCGACCCCATATCATCTGTATGTTGACTACCTGAGACACCGTTTGGCTGAGTAGTAGGTATATCCATTCCATGTTTATCATCTTCGGGTTGCTGAACACCGTTCGCAAGAGCCTGGGAAAACTCATCATCTTCGTCTATCGCGAAAGCGCCACCAGACGGCGCTTCAGTTTCACCTCCATCTCCGTCTCCAAAAAGTGAATCGGTCCCGAAAAGAGAATCCGCCGGCGAACCGGCGCCTTGGTTCGTATTAGCACCTTCGGCTTGCCGCGCTGCAATTGCCCCACTTTGGTAGGCAAAACTGGAAGAAGTGTCATTGGCTTGGGTATT